AGCGTTGTTTATTGGCCGTGCCGATTTTTACGGGCGATTTACAACCCTTTCTTAGTATCGCATCGGCATGTGCGCAAAACGAAATATTTCACGGATTACATACATTGTCGGTTATCGACAGGTCAGGACTCGTAATTACACGGAAAATATACATAGGAATGGATTTTCTGTCGCAGTTAATTCAAATTAGACTTCGATTTTACAGCGCTTTAGTAATTAATGAGAATTGCTTCGACACGGTGCCGTGATAAATTACGCTTTTCTTTTACGAAAAACGAATTCGTGTATCTCTTACTACCACATTTTACAATCTGATTTGGAGTGGTGCCAGAAACCGTATGTATTCCAAAGAAACTTTTCCTCGGTTTTCTCATCGCCCCTTTTTCTTCGTTTCAAGGAGATCTCTAGCGACGATTTAAGTGTTGCATGGATACAAGAGAAAAATAGTTTCGGGTGTCGGTTTAACGACGGTACAAGTCAAATTAAAACTTTCCTGTTTTTCTTGCGCTCATCTCGACTCTTTAACCCAATTCTCAAATGTTTCTAAACGTGTTTTATGTTGTGGTTTTTTTAATTAAGGAGCTAGTTAGGCAGATACCGCTTATACAAATCCAGCTTTATTACTATTAAATGCACAAGAGAAGTTTCACCATCATTATTTTAAATGAAATTGTTTTACGACAATATAAAATGAAAGCTCCAATTTGTACAAAAACGCTGATAAATGACTTGTTTTGACGCGCCACATTTAGAAGTTGAAGGGATTCTTTTTTACGTATAGCAAAACAGGATTAATTCGATACGTAAAAAATACGAGATACCACTGTCTTTATCTGCCGTTAGACGTAACGAACAAAAGCCTCGAGGATATTCACCATTATCCTTCCACTATCGTTTTTTTCCACCTCCTATTCCAAAGATGAAAAATGTATTTCCAGCACAAAGGCGACTCCACTCGCTGCCCAGAAAATACATCATTAATGCATGGGAAGTGCGAGTTTTCAGTGACCTTAATGAGCAGGACTGAAAAAAGGAGACTGAAAAAATTACTCGTACGTAGTATTACACAAGTGAGATCTGAATGTGTGTCACGCATGAACAAAACGATGAAAGAGTGAAATATGTAACGACTTATATAGGGGTTTCGTCCCAATTTCTTAAAAAAAAATTAGCTGCGGTTTTGTAGGTTCAAACTGGAAACGTTTTATTAGTTATTAATAAATTCATTTAGAGCCGAAGTAAATAGGAATAATTGCCAAATTTTCTCATCTACCAAGAGTTTTGGCATTCAAAATTTCTGTTTATACCAAAAATATATAAATAGGCACTCGGTTTTTTGAACTGTATACCTACATAGGCATATTAAAACAGGCATTCAACGTGTTAACGTTTCCAGCAACTTTTCCCTATCTCCGCCACCTTTCGCGCCGTCACGTTAATTCAATTAAAGCGTATGCGACAAAGAATTTAGAATTAGTGACCTAGATGTAAATTGAATAGATTCACCCATGACCGCACGGTATAGGCGAAACAAGTAGATTTCAATATTTCATTGCATTATGAACGTTGCGCGGATACGGCAACCTTGTAAAATCGAACAGTAAAAGGGTGAGTGAACAAAATGTGGGACGCGTCCGTTTTTTTTTTTCGCCCATTGCAACGACCGAGGGTTGATACTTTTTCACATAAGCGCAGTAGTTTATTAATACCAACAGATTATAAATCGGTACAATTCCGATTGATTATGAAGAGCTGTAAATAATACTTCCACGTCAGCACTCGAAATGTTTTTTATTTTCCTGTTTATAGGATGATGTATTAATAACAAGGCGCTTGTATTTATTTGTCGGCCCATATGGGGTTTTTATGCCTTTGTTGGGACGCCTAATGCAGTGGCTTTATCGACCGATTACAAAATTTGTGACAAAACATCGTATTTACGAGGGGCTTCAACCTGTAAGCTTTGTTTAAATACCGGATAAAATATGATTTACATCACGCAGTTAGATAGGTTTTTAAACGGCCATAAAGATGTCGAAAAGAACGTTTTGATAGGTATATTTTAAGCGCAATCGCGCTTTATGCCCGTTTTTAAATTAGCTCCCTAACTAACCGAAGTTTGTTTTTATTTCAAATTTCTATTAATAAATTTATAGTTATTTAAATTTTATTGCCTGTAGTCAAATAAGTGGCAACTTAATTGTGCATGAAAAGTGCGATATATTCCGAGCTTCACCGTATCGGTCAAATGATAACGAAACTCATTCATAACCGTGTTACGAAAAAAAACAACGATTGTTGTTTATTAGGTACTTATGTATTCTTTTTAGCTGTGTTTGAACAATCATTAGTATATAAGCGAATTTTTCGATGCGTAATAATATCGTTTATTATTTTATATTTAACAAAATAAATATATTACCGTAATATTAACTAATAGTGAAAATGCATTAGTGCATGGTGCAATCACCCCGCTGCATGGTTAATAAAACAATCGCAAAAATTTCCGCGAAATACAAAAAAAATAAAATAATTCTTCCGCAAACCTAAATGTTTGGAGAAATTTTCGAATTTCTTGTTCTGTTTTCACCGTTTTTTATTTTCGGCGATTCAAGGCATTTCGAAATTGTTTACGGCGAGATTTCTATCAACAGAATTTTTAGCGAAAACGCGAAAAATAAAACGAACGAAACGATACATCCTAATTATAAACGGATCGTAATTTATGTAACAAACATTCGCAGGTCAATAATACTGGCGAAAACGCACGATAATTACGAAAATACGAGTACAATTCATTCATCAAACTGATCAGTGTATTCGTATGCTAATGAGCACTGTACGATTCTATACAGGGCGTTAACTAATAATACTTCCGATCGATTGACGAGATGTGCAATGAATTACAGGCAGAAGGTAATGCTCATGTTAAATAATACAAGAAAGAATCGTATAGAATCGACTTGTCCAGGAGTCATACATTCTAATGTTATAGGAAGTAAATAATTTTGAGGCATACATATTTATACAAAGTCTATTTCACAAGTAAATCGGTCAAATTTCTAATAGCCTTATCTTAAAATATATACGCTTATTTTTGGATACGACTTTTCTTTTACACGGAAACGAAACGCCGAAACCTCGAAGTGTTTGATAACGGACAGATAACAAGGTGAGTTATTCGTTTATCAAAAAATAATTCTGTAATTTTATATTTACTTTTCCGCTTTCGAAAACCCATGTGCATTGAAAAGGTGCTCTCTTATCAGTCGACAAACAATGCGTACAGCGTACAGCTCTACCTACCTAAATATTTCACAATGAATATAAATAGTTTCGGAATGTACCTATCTAGAAAACTTTGATATAATAGTATGAATTAAACGAGAAGCAAGAGGCCTAATTGTTAATCATCGGAGCGCCGAGCTGTTTAATACATATGCATAAAAAACTAATTTCCATTATGACAATAACATCGCGCAGCGTAATCAATGAGGTGCCTGGCTGCTTAAAGTAATTCATAACTTCCTGTCAGCGGAGGCCTTGTCGGAGTGGATTGACTCATGTAAGTTTATCCATTGAATACAAAAATTTTGTTCACCCATCGGAGAGACGCATCCTGTATCGAATTTCGATCGATTTTTTTCCCGCTAAACGAATATAAGATTTCAACCCTACTTCGGGCTTTATTGTTAGCCAATGTTCCGAATTGTGTAAGAAGATACAGCGTGGTAAAACGCTATTTTTTTTGTCGTGAAATCCGAGGTCTTCGCTACGCCATTATGGGGGGTCTCTCGTTAAATTTAACACATTTCCGTTCATCTACCCTTTATAAAAAGTTAATATTTGTTAGATACTCCGTATAAAAATATTTACATTCGTCACATAAATATTTATGCGACATCCCTCGTATGATAGATACTTTATTCTGTAGTGGATATGTCGTGGCTTTTAGTTAAACATATACTTATAATACAATTAATACAGAAGTTAATTGAATATGTGTGTAAGTATTTATTAAAGCATATTAATTTCGCAGCGATAAACACATAATGTTAAAATAATTGAGTAGTACAGGATTAGTGAAAAAAATATTTCAAAGCCCTTTAGACGACTATGAATATTGAAAATAATTGTATTGACTTCATGCTACAGAATATAGGACTTAACGGATTTTCAAATAAATTACAGGTAGGAGAATAGTATAGGCACCAAAAAAACCGAATGCCCTAAAACCCTAAACAATTCCATCTCGAAATCGATTACGATTCGATGCGGTTTTCAATGAAAAAGGAAATCAAAACAAGAAGAAAAAAACACCACGGCAACCTTGCAACAACCAGTTTAAGCTTAAATTTTTAAAACATGGGAACTAGGCATATTTTAGTTTTTTGTTTCTCGTTTCAATGGAACGAATTCAGTAAAATAAACCTTGTGAGCTTTAATAATAATTTTTATCCAGAATGAATTTGTACTGTTGATTTATAGCAATTCCTATTTCCTAGTATTCATAGTGCATAATATTCCTAGTATCTAATATTTCAAGTATCCTGAATTCTTAGTATTATAGATTTAAGTAAATTAGAAATAAGTAAAATACTGTCCGGGTATAATCTAGTTTTAAATAATTTGAACTTGTCCTAAATAAATGTAAATAAAACCGACTTTTTAGAGCAGATTACAAGTAAAAAGAAACTTATAAACCGATACCCAATTGGTAAACAAACACAAATTTTTCGATCGGCAATCTCAGGTGTGCAAATACAGATTGCGTACGAGCCGAATTAAAAACGTAACGTTTAATATCCTTATTAAAACGATGCATAAATGGGTAACTTCCTATATAGTACAATACAACTATCTCTCCGACCCGGCTCGGTTTACCACATAGAAAAAAAAAGAAGATAATACGGCCTAGTTAAACATAGCACAGATAACTCGACATCGATAAAACGTCGTAGGATAAAATAAAAATAAAAGTAGGTACAAAGGAAACTCACCTTGTCTGCCCACGATTTCGGCCACATGCTCCGAACTGGGAACCGGGACGCACTCGGTCATGTTCTGGGACTTCTTCGACCGGACTTCCTCCAAGCCCACGTTGGCCAGCGGATTGACGAACGTGTTGAGATCGCCGGGACTGTCGGCCTCCGCCACCGAATTCAGCGGATCGAAGCCCAGCATGGACAGCTCGAGGGCCAGCTGCAGGGCCCTATCGTCTCCTAATCCACTACCGCGATCCATGTCCGCGAAAAGATTCGACGCCGGCATTCCTCGCGACAGAAATCGAAAAAAATAACCCCCACAGTGTTCTTTTCTCCTGTTGTGGAAAACAACCGATGTCTGATTGTCGCTGGTTCTCGATAATTTTCCTTCTACTTACAAGCACTAGACTAGCTGGATGTTTTATTCATTAATTTCAAAAAAAAGCGCCGCTAGTAAATTTAAGTGTCTTTAAAAAAAACGAGTTCACCGGTACAAAAATATATTAGTATCCTACTCTCTAGTATTGTTTTAATATAGTTCGTTCTACGGATCAAGCAGCAGAGTTGCTCCGCGTGCCTGCTTGAAACTGACTGAAGTCGGCTTCGGCGGCGGAGCGCCCAGCGTGGTCGGGCACCGCCATGTGCGCAAGGATGCGGCCCGCGCCGGCCATGCGCACTGAAGGCGCCGGGCCGCGAAATTCGAAGCGCCGGCCCGCATTGGCGGCGCGCCGGTCGATCGCCGCGCACCGGCGGGGACGCCGGTCGGCGAGCCGGCGGGCCAACGCGCCGGCACCGCCGGAATTGTTTATCGCGGAACAAAGAATAAAAACACGTGGTCCGGCGTTTTGCGCGAATTCCGTTGCGATTTTTCCCAACCGTCGTTCGGCGAAACTTCTACATTGTTTTATACCTGGTTTCATCTAGCCTGTCTAATTCACCTAATCATTGAATCACTGTGTAACCGCTGCTGCAATTTTTTATTAATATATATGCATTCCGGGATGAACGATTTGGCTCAATTCTGCGAAGAATCGGTTACTCAAATTTAACAAAAATAACTCTTATGACTCTTATGAAAAAAATAGTCTGCTTAAAAAATAATACATATTATTATGGAGATATACGTTCCTACACCTTACAAAAAATTCCTATTTGTTTATCATCCTAATTATTTATTATCCTATTTAACTTACTCTCTACTCTCTCTAGGTACCTACTCTCTACTAGACAATTTCTAGTGAGTTCTATCATCGTATTGTTGAGACAAAATTGTTTGTAAAATTTCCCTCCTATACAATTAACAATTTTATTACGTAGCATTAAATTCGAAGAGAGGTCCAATAACTTCATTAATGATTTTAATTGACGTAATTGGCTAAGTTGAAATTGCCGTCGACATGGGTGGAAAATAACTGGCGCGAACTTTCTTAATAACGTCTCAAAGGTGACGCGAAAAGGACCTCGTGTATACTCCTTTTTTTTTCCTCCGCTTTTCGATGAACTTCGGAGAGTTTTTTCGCTGTTATTTAAAACGTAGTAAAGTGCTCACAGCATCGAAATTGGGAAAAGGCGAGACTTCTCTTTGTCGGTTAGCAAGGTAAAAAGTTTAAAGTGACATGTTTACGATATAATTGCCTTCTAAAAATAAAGCGGCCCTTAATTTACTTTGTATTGTTTCGAGCTAATTTCCATGCTGTGAGCTTGTACTTTAAATCAATATCGTTCATATTTCTTATATTTGCTTACTATATGTTTCAAAAGAGCCCTGAATCAAATTAAATACAGAATTTATATTTGAACTTACCTGTATGATCATCGATAGCACTTTTGATAGTTTGCATGACATAATTCACTAATAATTACAATTATAACCTTTACCTAATACTAACGATAATGAGTTAGTTAACCAAACCTACAATTAATTGTCGCAACAATAAACTCAAATATGATATAATAAAGCTTGTTTGAGGGCAAGACCTGCAGTCAATAATACAGGGTGTTCTAGAACTTATGGCACAAAATTCTGAGGCTGGTAGTTTGCAAAATTTGAGACCAATTCGCAGATTTCATTTTTCTAAAAAAAATTATAACAAACAAACTTTGAAATATTAAAAATATTTCAAAGAAATGCAATCCTGTACATCGGTTGAAACCCCTCAACCCCTCTAATTTTTTAGAATCATGGATATAAGTAAACTGGGTTTTTCAACAACCGAAGAAAATAAGCTTTAAACTCGAAAGGAATATTGGCTCACCTATTTTGTTGTTGAAAGCTGCTTAATTGTTCCAGAACATCACTATAACGAACAGGAATGAACTAAACTAAGAACACTAAGAACTAAAACAATCAAATAATTCACTAAAGTCTAATCACAAAAATATATTTAACCGCGATGTTATAACCAAAACAATACAATTCGCACTAGAAAACGATATCGTTTTTCTAAAACTGGAGGACGGAGGGGGAAATTTGTGTTCGCTGATAAAATACACCGAATCTGTTTTTTGAGTTAAATTCCGATCAGCTGAATATTCAGGCCAGGGTTGTATTCGCTCTTTGCATTTATTTCTAATGGCTCTATTTTGTGTATTATAATTTTTTTAGAAAAATTAAACCTGCGAATCGGTCTCAAATTATGTAAACTACCACCCCTAGAATTTAGTGCCATAAGTTCGAGAAAACCTTGTATATCAAATATACATACCTAATAAATTAATATGTTTTTAATTGTTCGGTCGGCATTCTTTTGATTAATAAAAAAGTTGTAAAATTTTTAGTAGATTGTATCGCATATTTAATTAAATCGACATTCCATCGACACCAGACTGATAAATCTCCATGGCAAAAAAAATCATTCCCAGACGATCAACAACCCAAATCCGTTTTCTGGAAATATTCCTATTATTGTTATGACGATATAATTATTTAACGTTAATCGTTTTCTAGGAAGGGGAAATCAATTTTATAAACACGGTACAGCAGGTAAACTTTTTCTGTAACCAATTTTACGTTTAATTAAATCTAATATACAGGATGTTTACAAAAATACTCTTCCTAAAAAGTAAATACTTGTAGTACCCAAAATAAAGTCTCATCTAAAGACAGCTTTATTATAGAGCACAAATATCAAAGTAGGCAATTTGTATTATGATCAATTTATTTTGAAATGGATCTATCCTCGATCATCGAGGCGTTCAGCCCGATTTTTCGATAAAAATAATCAGCGGGATCGATGCATGCGCTTGACCAATGGGTAATTTCGTCGCCGCTGAGAGGCCTGCCTCACACAAACAGCCAATAAACGCCATAAAAAACGGTCGAATGAATTGCAAGTTGAATAAAATCATTATTATAATAATGCACCGGCCCTCCAGATTGAAACATCGATATATTATTATTGTGGTATTCTGAACCAGTGGCGGAATTACCCTATTAAATTTCAATTGTTGGTAAGAACCTGGAGTTTCTGGATAAGAATCGAAAGAGCTTTACGATTGATTAATAGGATTAACTTATGATTGTTTGTGAAGTTGATTTCCTTATTTTCCTATGAATCTTAATACAAGAGAATGGTTAAGCTTGTATAATGATAAGTAGATAATAATAAATGCGTATTTAATAAATTGCAAATATAAATACAATCAAATTGTACTGAGAAATAGGTATTGTGTGCGGTTTTCCTAAAACGCTACCACTGCCTCATACCTGAAACTGGTTTCGGTTCGACTTTCAATTCCCTGGACCTAAATTATATCCAAATGATAAATACCTACCTGCGATCGGTCGCTTTAAAATGCTTTATAATAAGAAAATTTCGCTAGCCACCTCCGACTGAAATATTAACAACAATTTGCCGTAAAATGCAAAATATGGCAAAGTTCGTATCGATTTAGTTCTTAAAATTCACCCTACCAACTGGGTGAAAATAAATAATATATGGTTTGTTTCCTTACTGAACTGTTGGTGTATATTATAGAGGGTATATGTGAATGAGACAAATGATACTACTTTCCTGCCTACAATTCATGTAGGTATCCCGATTGCGATATGTAATAAACACATCCATTATTAATAACACACTCAGGAGTAGGTTCTTTGACCCTTCGTTTTTAATTAGGTATTTGGGTACCCGGTTTTTACAACTTCCTTCTTTGTGGGACAGGAATTCGGCATTATTAAAACGTGAAACTTTATGAATTTTTATTGCCAGATGTTCTCGGTGTATTGCTAAGAAAAAAATATACTCTGACAATCCCCTGGTAAATGCGCATAGCGAGGAGGGCGAAACATTCAAATTATTAGTTTTCTTTTCACAGACCCTTTTTTTGTCATTGAAGGGGCTCATTTTTGTAATTTGTAACTAGCAAATGGTATAGGTATCGTAAATTAAACGTTGTTTCCTGGAAGTTCAAATTGTAGTCAATACACGTGCATTTAAATTTATAAAATTACAGTATTTTGAAAGTTTGCTTGATTTTATGGTGATTAAAAGAAGGAATAATAAATGGCGCGTTTATTATTTCACCCAATCACCAATATTCATTACATTAAATTTATTTTTTAGCGGTAAATCTCCTGAAATACAGTCAGTGCTTCCATCTAGTAAAAAATAATCATTTCGTTCTCTGAAAATTTCTGAATGATTCTAAAACTTAGCGCCTCAGTTTCTCATCTCATTTGTAGATGTCAGCACGAGAAAAATTTTTGCATGCTTTGTAAAGTTTTTATACATTTAAAATAGAAAACTGCTATTAAAATATTTCGGAAAATCCAATATGTATAATGTAACAAAACTCTTACATACATAAATAACAATAAAAACCGTGAAACAATAAATATTACAATGGCGAGGATAATTCACCGATAGTTTTGTGAATGGTTTCTATAACCAAACCCAATTCTTTCAAATTCGCAAGAGCCTCTTTATGCAGTTTTCCTTCAGGAAGTTCGATTGGTTGGTGTTTCAGGAGGTCAACTGCTTCTTCCAGTATTTTTTTGGATTCCTAAAAAACATCAACCAATATATACCATTTCGAATTCAGAATACTCCACTTACCATTAAAGAGCCATAAATAACATCCGGCGAGTTTTTCCTCCTGCCAGTTTCCGCCACAGCTCCGTGCAATTTATACAGCAGGAATCCCAAAATCCTCCTTTCACCTAATTCCAATTAAATTATTAATTATATACCATTCACTAATACAAGTGCATTCTTACCAGGTGCTAAATTCTTCACCAAACCAACCAAATTCTGACACAACTTCAACTTCAACTGCAAATCATCTTCATCCAGTTCTTTCATTTCATCGTCATCGTTACCGAGCATTTGCAATAACGCCAACTTCACGTCGGTTAGATAGTAGTGATTCGGATGCAAGAGTTCCTCGTAGGTCTTCAGGAAGCTTTTACATTCTGCAGGATCGCCTTTCGGCATCTCGGACAGATCGGTTCCGATTCTATCCAGCAGATCTTGCACCGAGTACCAGGAGATTGAGCTCGGGCAACGCGTACAATGCCAGTCCCTTTCATTCTCGTTAGTGTGGTTGTCCAAGAAAGTTTTCGGTAAAAGGAAACCTTTGCAATTGCTACATACAATGGTAATATGAGTATATAGTTTAGTAAACCTAGTAAGTAGTGAAATTGTACCTATCTTGGCATCGTAGAGCGCTGAAATAGGTTCCTAATTCGGTCGGATCCGAGCATCTTTTGCAAGTACACCAAAAGTACTTGGACTCGTTCAGATGGTGCCTTCTATTCGCCGTTCCCCATAGAGGATCGGTGTAGCAAATACTCAAATTATCGCCTTTATTAACACGAGAGCCGGCCACCAAGACAACGTTCCCTTTGCTGGTGAAAGTTTTTGAACAATTGGAGCTGCAATTGTGCTCGAACATCGAAGTCTTCTCGTATATGGCTATATGTGGAGGGTTAGTGAGCGGAACTTCGTGGGAGTTTACCTTAAAAAATCGGCATGTAAGTTTTGTAGATGCTGAAAGCGTTGTGAGTGTATTTACGGTTAGTATTCCGCAAACTTTCAGGATGTCTTCTTCGGTGAAGATGCTGCCCAATTTGAAGAATTTTAGGATGAATTGGGCTATTTGCATACGGTCCTTGTGGTAGTTTTGAGTGCCTTTGCGTTCTTCGCAGTGCGATTGGAGTAGGTCGAGTTTCTTCCAGATTTCCGGGAGGAATTGCTTCTGGTAGAGGATGCGCAGGACCGTAACGCAGCCGTAGCTTGGATGGGTTATGCCGAAATTTTTTATAGAAATCTGCAATATATTTAAGTATGAAATCGAAGAAAGTGCGAAAAATTATGTAATATTAGGTATGATGTTAAAAATAAAAACGTTTCCAAGCAATTTCTATTATTCGCTGGTCTAAACATTCGAAGGAAGTCGAATAAAAAACACGTGCGTTAAGAAAAATTTAAATCTTGCCTTTAATTGATTGATATCCCGATATTTTTAGATAGTGTTAACTCGTTATAAAATTAATTGTAACTCGCTGAAACATTTCAAATATTAAACGAAACTTTTTCGATGGAAATATGCATGTGATCTACAAAAAATAGCTTTGATGTATACGTTAAAACCTCAAAATTCGAAGGCTATGGGGTGTAAATAAAATAATATCTACTCCTGATAGTTTACCTTGCTTCTTTTCAATACAGTGTATCTGCACTCCGGTATATGACAGGGAGCTTGTTCGCACAGCGAACTGCACATGGGCCAGCCGCATTTCGAGCAGGGTTTGCTGTTATTTTCATCTACAGGCTTACAGCAACCCAAGCACACAGGAATCGTGTTCAACGCAGGACCCCATATGAGGGGATGCTCTTGCAGGATCACCTCACCGGGGTTGATGGCTTTCGTCGCCTTGGCGTGCCTACCCAGCACATCGTCCTTACAAATCTGTAACAATTCGTTGAAAGTTTATCTTATTTCTGGTAACATAAATAAAACGTTTGTTGTAGGTTGGACCGGGTAAATAGGAATGTGGCGAGTTTATTTCGAATGGATAATTGCACTTATATTTAGAAACGTCGATTTTGCGGTCGGTGTAATGTCGTTTCGAAATTTTTAGCTAAATTGAAACATCTGTTTTTCGCTTAAATCAAAATGTTTGCGTCGAGCGAAACCTGGCCGTCGAATGTCCGAAGTGCATCCAGCGCGTTATAAATAACACGCGTCAAGGCGCACGTTGTAATTGAATAATTGTTATATTGTTATAATGGGTGTTCTACCTTGAATGGCCGACAGTTCGGTTTGTGCTGCTTCCAATGGGCCTTTTGGTGTTCCCTGCAGCAGTAACGGGCGTTGTGGCAGCTAGAGCATCTATGGGAGGCCTGTTTGTCGCACACCTCGCATTTCGCCTCATCCGACATGCTTATTCCTTCGATTTACTCGTTTAATAATCTCCCTAATTTATTTATAGAGCGAGTATGATACGATGTTTACGTGAATTCGAAATTGTCATATGAAACGCGCTTATACACTGTTGGCACTAAAAATAGACCCGGTTGGAAAAGACGAAACAGTCTTCCCACTTCCCGCTCGCAACGAACGGTCTAATTCCATCCGCTTTGGGGCGACGAGCGCGGGATTTTCGCGACGAATTTTCTCAGAAAATTTACTATTTTAATCTAAATATAAGCCGCTAGATCATTGATTATTAGTGGTGCAACTCCCAGATACCAACAACATTAAATTTTCTATAATTTTAGCATCGAAAAAAGTTTCACACAATTGGTAGAATTAAAACCTACTAAAGTAATACCTGCACTAAAAAATATACATACCCAAGATGACATGGTTGCTGTCTTCCAACTTCAATGAAACTAAATATTTTTTTAATAATCTACGCAATTATTTAATTAACCAGTAAAGAAAATATCATTTTCATGAATGAAATTCAATAGGAAACAAATCGAGGTGCCTACATAAATTTGTCACCTTGAAAATTGCTTTTAACCAACTTAACAACAACTTAAACAGACTACTGATCACGTAATTATTAACTTTTTAATGCAAAATTCAAAGTGAGCGATGATTCATAGAATACATCCCACACGTTATCGGAATAACAATTATTTTTTAGTTCATTTCTTTTGGAATACTTTACTGTGAGATGAAATTCAGGATAACTGTTTCTGATTCACTTAAATGACAAATTTTTATATTTTTTTTCGTTAGCTTATAAAATTGCAGTGTTAATGTGAAAAAAAAATAAACAAAAACATTACACAAAATAAAAAAAATGCGCCATTTAATTTTTCAATATTTTTCTCTGGATATTGATCTGAGAGAACATCTGGAATTGATTGTAAAATAAGGTATATATTATATGTAGATTGATTTAACATAAATCCAACTTATTTTCACAAAATAATTAAATTAATTACCGTTCGATTTATCAACAAACAGACTGTCTTATAGCCCGCTTGCATGGGTAAATATTGTGATTAAAAGGTACGCAAAAATTGTATACGAATTCGGACAGAAATAATTAATAAATTAGTGTATCACGGGTTTATACACACTAGGCAGTTAATCAAATTTGTTGCAAAGAATTGTACGAAATTACAAAATTTGAAGTTCATTAAAATTAATGATCTAATACATATTGCAAATATTTCTTTTCTAAGATACTAAACATTTTCTTAATTTAACATGATGATATTTCACGAATTGTCTATTTTTGTATGAATATAATATAAACTTTACTAAATTTATATTTGACAATTTATTCGTTTACCTAGAAAATTGTATAACTTAACACATCGTTATTTTTACTATGAAAATAACAGTTTATCAAAATATATACTTCGAACTATAATAATTTGCGCTAGTTGTAAGTAATACAAAGAGTTATTTATTAGAAAATTAGAACGGAGTTTCTAACTAGCAAAACTGTATTTTGCTGGACGAAAAATAATCAGGCATTTCCCGGAATAAATAGAAAATATTTGTACAAGCCGATTTATAAACCAAAAAAATTATTGATTCCCATGAAAGTTTACTAAAATAAATAAACCGAATTACTATTTGTTTAATTTCAATTAATTACTTATACTAAGCCACTCTGTGTCCAATAAAATAAGTAAAAACCCAACAGATGTTTAAAATGTAAATTTCGTGCAAATCTTTCGCAATGAACAGCAATATCAGCCAACAAAAGAACATGCGGTAATAACAAATAAATCCGAAATAAAAAAGATAATTTAAAAATAACTTTTGGCAGTTTTGAATATGCATATAACCTCCCACAAGCCACCTCGACCAAGTGGGGACGTCTCAAAACACCATCGCCAATTGTGCGCTCCTCCAGGAGTTCCCGTCGAATCGCACCGGAATCGATTGATCACTGTAAATCGGCCAATTTAATCAATTAAACGCGCGCGGTTTTTTGCGGAAAAATGAACGCGAGAAAGAAAAAAGTAGGTACCTACACAATCGACTAATTTGCGTTTTAATTGAAAGCAACATCACTTGCAGGGAAAATCCAGAAGCAGATCGAAATCTACTGTTAGTGACATAGTGGAAAATAGAGATGAATATTTCGGTGGTGGAATTGAAAAGTATTCAGTGAAAATATCGAAATTAATGGGAAGGTAATTTAATACCTACCGACGCTATTTTTTACTATTTACTTCATCTACGCTTATTATTTATATAGATATATGGTTGCAAATGTGGATCTAAGACCAGGTGAAGTAATTTTAAGCGAACTCCCGATAGTAGTAGGTCCTTGTACAGGTTGCAAAGTGCAATGTTTAGGTTGTTACAAAAATCTGGAAGAAAGAACTTTCACAAAGTAAGTATTCAATCCGATAAATAATGGCTAAGGCAATGTCAGAATATTATTTAAAGGTGCAAGCAATGTGGATGGCCTTTGTGCTCCCAAAAATGCAAAGGAATCGGCAGTATTTTTGGACACACAGAAACTGAGTGTTTTATATTAAAACAGACAAATTCAGCGCGATTTTTAAACTATAAAAATGTGTCCACAATACGAACGCATTTACACGCAATAGCACCTTTAAGGTGTTTACTCTTAAAAACAACATCTCCTGATCAATACAATTTAATATTAAACATGGAACACCACAACCCATTAAGACAGAACATTCCGGAAGTCTGGAATACCAACCAGATAAATGTAGTCGATAGAATTATCAAGGATTGGGGATTGAAGGAGTACTCAGAGGAGGAAATTCATACCGTTTGTGGCATTTTAGAAGTAAGAAAATTAAAGTTGAATGCAATTCAAACAACAAGCCAGTAAATTACGTTACAGGTGAATTGCTTCGAAATAGGCCACGACGTAAACGTTAGAGGATTGTATCCCAAAGCATTCCTAATGGCCCACGATTGCGTACCGAACACCAATCACAACGACGAGGAAAATTACGAGTTAACGGTCAGAGCTTCCACGAAAATTTTCCAGGGACAAGCTATTACGTTAAGTTACGCTTACACTCTACAGGTATTTGTAATACGCTGCAATGTTTTACTTAGTAATTATTTAATTTGACGCAGAGCACCCTAAAACGCAGAGAGCACCTGTTGAACAACAAATTCTTCGAATGTTTCTGTAAGAGATGCTCGGACCCCACCGAGTTGGGTAGTTACAGCAGCGCCTTGTTGTGCCCCAAATGCACAACTGGAATCGTTCTCTGCGACAATCCCTTACACGCGGAATCGACTTGGAGTTGTACTGAATTATCCAAGAAGTGTCCGGGTTATACCATCACAGCCAAATCCATGAAACTTTTGCTCGACAGGTAATTATTTTTTACTTGATTTGATTGCAACTGGTGAATTATTGGTTGTAGAATCACAGAGGAAGTGGACGGGATTGATTGCAATGATGTGGCAACGATGGAGTATTTTTTGAGTAAATACCGCAACGTTTTGCATCCTAAGCATTACATTAATTTTGGAATTAAAGTTTCGTTAAGTCAACTTTACGGTAAGACTAAAGGGTTTTTGATACAGGAGTTAAATGAGGATCAATTGGAGAGAAAAATTGAAATATGTAGAGAAGTTCTGGAAGTGTTGGATGTAATCGAGCCAGGATTCACGCGTATTAGAGGTAATTTCCATAGTGCAATAATAATAATAATAATTAGAAAATAATACAGGGTGTCTCATAAGTTGATAATTTTTTTAACTGCATATACTATACATAGATCTTTTAATTCTAAGCAACTTTTTCAAGTAAATTTGATTTAATAATCTGGGAAATAAAAGAGATGGAAATTTTTAAAATATCTTTAAATTGTGTCAAAAAATCATAAATAATTAATGACAAAAAATTAATTTTTCGAATGTTAAGTATGGAAAATGGCTAATTTTTATACAAATAATGAATTGGTGGACATTCTGATTATTTATGGAAAGTATTTCCAAAGCGTTTCTAATGAAAATGGCGACAATTTTGAGCAGTTCCTTTAACTTTTAATGAACAGGGCCGTATTAAATAACTTTTTAATAAATAAAAATTGAAAAAAAAACATGCTCTCTTATTTTGCAAAATATTAAAAAATTTGACTTGAAAAAGTTGCTTAGAATTAAAAGATCTACACGCAGTTAAAAAAAAAGTATCAAATTATGAGACAACCTGTATTTTGTTAATGTAGGTGTAACTTTGTACGAATTGCACGCTCCGTTGATGATACTGTTCACCAGGCAAGCGGCCGAGAAAAATTTGAGCAAATCCGAATTCAAACGGAGATTAAGGGAAATTTTTAACTATTTAAAGGAAGCCAGCGTTATTTTGCAATTCGAACCCAAATCGTCCGCCGAGGGTAAAATGGGCCAGGCTGCTAGGGAAGCCTTAAAACAAGTCGAGGAATGGCAAAAAATTATTGGAAAATTTTAAGCATACGTATTATTATTGTAACTAATAAAAATAATTTTATAGTAAAAAACAATTTGTTAATTTTAATATGTATCAACTTCCCATAGTAAGAGAATTTTACCTTATTGTCGAAAAGATATACCTATATAAAGAGCACCGAACCGTCTCTAGGTAACAGCCATCGCAAAACAACCCTAAAGAATATAACGAACAATCCGGTTCACCTTTTCCATTTCAATCGGGGGCCGGCTAGTCCGCGATAGAACGGCGGCAAACGCCGGCATCCCGTTCCCCATAATTCGTTTTCGATCGCACGCACCGAGCAAATCCCTGTATACTTAAGTGTGCCGATGAATTTGCGCTTGTGCAAACCGATCGATCACCGTTTCAGTAGGGTAGTTCAGCACCCCTTGTCACAGGCCACAAGGGTTCAGTTCACTCATGTCCGAGAAACAGCTGTAGTAGCGCTTTTTCCCATACGGAACGTCTAAGCAGGCGAAATACAATATAGAAATCGTGCTTTTGTTAGAGGCGAATTTCGAGTTTGATTTCGATTTGAGACTGTGGGTTTTTCGGCGCTGAAATAGATTAGGTGAGTTCGAATTTTAATTGTTCGATTCATTTACCTCGCTATGTTTAAGTGGATTTGATAGGTAACGTAAGTAATGTAGGGTAGATTTTTGTTGGGTTATTGGTGTTTTTAGGGGGAGATAAGGTCGATTAATTTGCGATAATACGCAAACAGGAATGACGGGATAAGCTCTTAGAATATTACGTATTTAGGTTTCGATTGATCAATATTTTGAAGGGGCGCGCGCACTGTGTAGAAAATCCCGCGACTTTTCTGCGCTTTCCACTTCGAATCCGATTAGGTTCGCTACAATTTTTCGATTTCACTTAATATTTAATGTTTATGCACAAATGAAGCATGTTTTGTCGATAATTTGCGATTCGAAATGGAATTCTGTGTATTTAAATAACGAAAAAATGTGGCGTAAGTTAGGGGTAAGTTGGGGAGTTGTTTTTTTTAAACACGTTTATGAAAATACTATTTGTACATATTTTTTCGATTTTTATATCACTGTTTTACATATTATTATGAATTATCTTTTTGGCCTGAATACGGCTCTGTATACTATTGACATTAACTTGTGCCGCTACCATTTCTAAAAGTAAAGTAACCAAACTTAAATGAAAATTTTAACGTTTATTGTTTGTCTTGTGAGCGATAAGTTAGTTTTTTCATATGAAAATTGGTACATTTCTTAAATTAATGGTATGTAAATAATTGTAGTAAACGTCGTTGTGTAGTAAATTTATTATTATCTTCATCATTAATTTTATTATTGCCGTTATCATCCCTTCTCCGTAATTTTTTTAGTCTACCTTAGTAATTTATTATCTCGAATTTTGAGCGGAGGTGTGGAATTTTTTTAAAGGGGTTTTAAGAATAATATTATTGTAATATAATTTTATTTATAACTTTAACATTTAAAAAAATAATTGTTGGGTGTACAATATATATTTATCGTTCAAAAACCCCTTTTAAACACTTTTAATTTGAATTACATAAAAGATTGCCCTTACTGAGTCAAAATCGTTGGTTATTTCTCAGACCATATGGATTCACAACCGTTGCGCGTGTTGCAAAAGAAAAGAACTACAAATTTTCGCGAGGATGAGACAAAATTGTTAATACAACTTTGGGGTAGTCCTCAAATACAAAACAAATTATACCTCACACATCGTAAAGCCCCCGTTATGCGGCTATTGGCAGCCAATATGCAACACCGTGGATTTTACAGAACGCCCGACGAAATCAAGACCAGGCTCAGGAACCTCAAATGCCTCTATCACAGGATTAAGAGGTCGATGCAAACGGGCGTCGGCAGGGGCACAGTTGATCCCGATTGGCCTCATTACAAAGCCATGGACGACATTCTCAGCAAAAAGAACCCCAATAGGCCGCAGGATATTTACAAAGAAGGCAACATCTTCGAGGGACCCAGATGCGAAGACATCAAACAGGAATTGATGGAGGAAGAAATTGATATTAACGATGACATGGAGTCTTACAGTACAAATAGCGTAGGGTAAGTTTCTACCCTTAAAATTAACCACTTTACTAAACATATTTAAATTTATTTACAGGTCAGAAGTGGACGCGGAATTCGAAGAGGAGCCCCATCAATTGCCACCACTAACTCCTGCTCCTCAAATACATCCAGAGAAGCAGAAAGATGACAACGAACCTATCAAAATAGCCCCAAAACCGATGCCCAACCAAACTAAAGTCGCCACATCTACAGGAAATATCCAAATCCCATTAGGTAAGATTTCATTAAAAATTCTGGTCTATTTTTACCTCTATCTCTTTCGTTTTAGGTACCACTATAAAACAGAATACAGTCGGCGGAACTTCATCAATTCCATTTCCTTTGCTTATATTAAACGGAATGCCCAATCAGAACGCTCAATTGAATCAACAGAAGAAAGACGATAAAACTCCAGGCAAACAACAAGGTAAGAAACCGATTAAGATATCCAATCAATCAGTAACATTACCGTTTCGTTTCACAGACGTGTCTCTTCTCCTGAAGAGCCTAATCGACATCCAAGAAGAGACCCTGAAGGTGGAGAAGGAGCGCCTGGAGATCGAGAAGCAGCAGCTCGAGTTCCACAAACTGGTCGGCGCCCAGCTGCTCACACTGTTGCCGATCTTCGGCGGTTTGGTGCAGAAGCTGCCCTTTCCGAACAACAACGAGGAGGAGGCGAAGAACGAGAACGAGGGGGAGCCGAGGAACGGCAAGAAGCGCAAGTACTCGGACGGCGAGTTGGACATCCTCAAGGACAGCAAAATCCTGAGGAACGTGCTGGAGGAAGGGATCAAGAAGTACATGCTGGGCGATAGGGAGACGATGACGGAATGTCGAATTAAAATCGAGCCGGATTGCGACGATGTATAGTAATTATATGAGATGTGATATATGACTTTTTTACATTCCGAACTTGTGATTTTCTTTTCGTATGTTTTAGTAATTTATTTTATTTATTTGTGGCTTATAAGATTTTGTTAGAACGTTTGAATATACACTGCAGTTTGATTTTGTACGTTCGTATTTTTATTATGGGTAGTATCAGAAAGGTTTCGATTTAACACAGAATACTTTATATAATTCAAAAGTTTAATATTAGTCGTACATTACACATAAATGTAATTGAATATTTGCATACGATGCTTGAAGAATCGACATCGGCGAATAACACAAAGTAACAAAAAATTATTCATACGTTTGGTAAAAAATAATAAGACTTACTAAGAATCCTATATGCAACGAATCTTTCGATAGAAAAATCGCTTCAAACCTTATTTAACACTTTAATATGTACCAAATTATTTAGCTGTAGGGTTCGATTCTGCAGCCGCTTTCTTCTCTCTAGCCTTCTTGCCTTCGGTAAGTGATAATCTATCGTTCTCGGATAAACGAGGTAAAGTCTTCGTGACAACTCCTGTTCCTAAAGTTTGACTACCGTCTCGAAGGGTAAACCTTTGTCCTTCTTCTATTACCATAGGCCTTATCATTTTAAGGACTAACCTAGACGCAAACATTAATAACGATTAATACTTATTTTAACGGGTGATTCTTGAGCTAATTTTGAGTCGAAAAGTTCATATAAAGATGTCCTCCGAAGCTCGGTTTTTCAAATTTTCAAAATAAAAATACAACCCTGTAAGTATATCGAAAACCGAGCATCGGAGTACATGTCTTTATATGAACTTTTCGGCTCCAAAATAGCTGAAGAATCACCCATTACAATAAGTACATTGTATTAATTAACAACCTGTGTAAAAAAACCGTTAATTTTGTTTAAACGGAACCTACTTTGAATCTTCACCAGGTATAACCATCTCCTTATCGGGTACTATAACTTGTACGGCGCAGTCCCACGTCCTGCTGAACATTTGTAACTGAATGTAAGATGTAAAAGGTTTGCTTCGACCGCCTTCTTCCTTGCTCAGCACGTAGACTTGGGATTCTAGGTGATCGTGGCTCTTGACTGTACCAGGTTTAGCCATTATCATACCTGTAAAATTGAAAAAAAATGTACCGCAAATGAAGTATTTATAAGAGTATTAAGTTATACCTCTTTTAATGTCGTCTCTTTTGAGCCCTCTGACTAGAGCTCCAATTTGATCACCGGCATGAGCCTCGTCTAAAAGTTGATGGAACATTTCGACACCCGTTATGGTGCTTTTCAAGACTTTATTGTAACCGACAAACTCGCATTCGGCCCCTTTCTTTAACACACCTCTTTCCAAACGTCCCGTTACAACGGTACCTCTACCTTGGATCGAGTAAGTGTGTTCTACAGGCAACAAAAACGGCTTATCTAATTCTCTTACAGGCGTCGGGATGTAAGCATCGACTTCTTTGAGAAGCTTCATAATAGCCTCGGACCCAATCTCCGGGTTTTTCCCTTCCAGAGCGCACAAAGCCGACCCGGCTATGATGGGGATGTTCTCGCCGTCGAAGCCCATCTCGGTGAGCAGCTCCCTGATTTCCATTTCGACCAATTCCACCATCTCTTTGTCGGCCGCGTCGACTTTGTTGATGAAGACAACGATGTGGTTGACGCCGATTTGCTTGGCGAGCAGCAAATGCTCCCTGGTTTGGGGCATCACGCCGTCGGTGGCGGCGACCACCATGATGGCGCCGTCCATTTGGGCGGCCCCCGTGATCATGTTTTTGATGTAGTCGGCGTGGCCGGGGCAATCGGTGTGCCCGTAATGCCTGCTCTCCGTTTGGTATTCGATGTGGGCTACGTTGATGGTGATGCCTCGGGCCTTCTCCTCCGGAGCGTTGTCGATGTCTTGGTAGCCTCGGGCTTTGGCCAGTTTCTGCTCGGAGAGGACTTTGGTGATGGCGGCCGTGAGAGTGGTTTTGCCGTGGTCTACATGGCCTATCGTGCCTACGTTACAATGGGGTTTGGTTCTTTCGAAGGTCTTTTTCTCGGCGTACAATCGCTTCTGGTTGTAATTCACGGTGGCTACTTGTAGGCATTTGGAGTAATTGCGTATTCTGGGCGATTTCGAGAAGAGTTGTTTGAGGGAATTGTGGACGACTAAAAATGGGTTGTTAAGAACAGGTGTTGTAAAATATGTGACAAGTTACCTGGTGCTAAAGCTCTTGCTACTATTATAGAAGTCATTTTTGTAAGATCGTTAATAAAAAGGAGTTTTAAGCGGAAAATCCGGCATGCGATTTATTATTCAATCATAAGGCGATGACACTAGTGACACATGACGTGACACTATTGACATTGACAGTAAGTTTCATCAGCATCGCCAACTATGAAAATAACTGTCAAATTTTGTCTACAGAAAATTTTGTAGTTGAATAACTTAATGCGACAAGACCAAAATATAAGAAGAAGTACTTTGACATTTGTTTTGATTTATTATGAAGTGAGGTTATAAAATATTTGTTTTTAACGTTTTTATGTTGTTTTTAGGATGGAAATGTAATAAGTTTACGAAATTTATTTATTTTAGCACCTTCTAATAACATTTTTTCTTTTTTAGAGTTACCAACAATTGCGCAGCGCTTAGTAATTACGAAGTTTTAAAACATTTACAAGTAATTAAAGATAGCAAGCGAAAACACAAAGGACAACTGGCTACAATAACATATGAGGTAATAATTTGGTATATTTAACTTAGAACTGTACACTCAATATTCAATTTTTCACAATTATCATTCATTTTTAGACTCTGAGGTATCTCGAGAACACTCCCGTAGGAGAACAAACATCAGATAGCATCAGAGAATGCATGAAAAGTCTAAGTGCATTTAACCTCAACAAAACCGAATTATTGATGATTATTAATTCACCACCAATTACTGCTTTGGAAATTCAACTGGTACGAAACCCAATACCATTGAATTCACATTTTTTAACTAAAATTACCATTTTTCGCAGATTGTAGAAGACAGTGAGGAACGTTTATCAGAAGACCAAGTTCAGCAAATTCTAGTCATTTTAGCTAACCACTTTCCTCACATAGTTAAAGAACAGTCTGATAACGATAATGAAGAAGCACCCGAATAAAGCAATACTCAAATAATAAAATGTTTAATTATTTATTAATACACCCAATCCCAAACCTATTCTTAATAATACAATTTAATAATAATAACAATATCAAATTAACAATTATTCTTTGAGCTTATTAGAAACTTTAGTGATTTTAGTTAATCACTTTCTTCACATACAGGGTGACATATTAGTACGGAAAAGCTCAATATATCTGTATTTATTGTAGAAGATATAAAAAAAAACTTAATTACAAACTTGAAAATCTTTTTAAGCTGCATATTTTAAAATTAGAACATGTTGTTTTTAATTCAAAAATTGAATTTTGCTCATTTTTAGCTTTCAAAAAATACAATATTGTATTATGTTATAGTGAGGTATCCACTTTTCCATGAAAATCGTACTTAGTTTAACACTGTAGAAACTAAATGGATTGGCTTGGCAATAAATTTCAGGGTTCACAACATTGCGAATATCCTAAAAATGTACAAAATGAACATTTTTCGTACATTTTAATCATACTGCTTACATGGTGGACCCAAACGCAAAAGTAACAATTTCTCAGTTATCTTAAATAGATCACCCTGTATTTAATTTCATTACCAGGAAGTACTTTTGAAGTACTTTCATTTCAAGTAACAATCATTCTTCGAGCATATCAGAAGATACGCGCCTACGCGGTGATAGCGAAGGAATGAATGGCGCAGGTGTAATAATATTTTAATTTATTGCTAATGAGTTGACGAAAATTTAATTTCCTCGACGCCACCTCTCTAACGACAATAATACTATCCGTTCGTGGAGCGAACGACGGCCGGAAAAACCGGCGTGTTTACATTGGCGAGCTCCGCTCTGCGAGAATCTTTATTGAATACGTGATGACAATATTCCAACAGCGCTGATGGCAATAAACATTCGATACCTTTTGAGCTGTTAGACCTTTTTGACATTCGGAATTTCGAACGGTGTTGTCTCGTCCTTTTGATGCGAAGCGAGACGGCCGGATCGAAAGACGTCGAGTAATTCTCTTTTTTTTGTTTGTATTTCGAGCGAATCGCTCGATCCGTACGGCAGGAATTTTATTTCTTTGAGATAGACCGGAATTGAGTTTTAGAAGAAATCGGAAATAAAAAATTTACGTGCCGGATCTTATTTCGCGAAATTATAGCTCGGTAGGCAACATCGCATCGGGTTTTTCCATATTTACCTCGAGCAGAACGGCTGTCATGAAGTAAAAGTGTTATTTTTCCCTTGGGCGTGTGTTCCTCTTGCCAGCCGGGGCCCGGCTGCGGGGCATTATTTATCAAATTGTTTTGTTAGGACCTACGAGAAGTCCATTTTAGCCCAAAACAACGAGAGTATTAATATTGATACCTTAATAAATCAACCCCGAATTTCAATCTACCACCAACCTAGCATTAAATAAAATAAGTATAAACTAGAAAGCCTAATGTCGGTTCGAAGGACACTACTCCTAAAAGAGCATACTCTATATTCTCTAACTATTCCATCCTAGTATATAAGCTTTAGATTTAATCCCAGGGCTGTTTATAACTTCCTTCTATTGGGCGGGGTGTAAATACAGAACAGAATCTATTTAGCTCTAATCTAGCAGCTATAAATATAATTACTTAGCTATATTTGTGTAGGAAAGCGCGTGGTCTGTTCAACGCTCGCTGCTTTAACTTGGCGGATTGTTTGAGTAACGTGCTCAATCCTAATTGAATTACGGACGGTTTGTGATTTTTCAGTGGAAACGATGCATTATTCAGACCTTTTCGAGCGGCATTCGATTCCCCGCTATAACAAATAGCGCCTGTTTGTTTTACTTGCGTTTAAATTAGAAAATAACGGGAAACCGTCAAAGAACGCCGGCGATTTTTATCCGGATAAACCGGAATCAATCGAGACGAGATAGGGGTTATTTAGTGCTCGGTAACATCATAACTACCGCATGAATTGCGCGGAGAAGCAGACGGCGGATAAGTCCGGAAATTTATCTCCAGTAGAGACTAACGGCCCAACCTAAATCCCTATTTGCAGACAACATATTTACTTTTGAGAAGACTCCGAGACTCGAGGCTCGGGATAGAGAGAGAGTAAGAGAAGAAATGGTGTATTGTGCCAAATGTATTCCGAACACGCCTCCCAACCGAAACATCATATTTGATACTGGAATCCCCGACGCGTGAAATATTTAGTTTCTGCTTACTGATACCGAAAAACAGGCGGTTATAAGTCGTAAGTCACTACATGGAAGAACCAAGATCTATTTATCCTTCCAAGGCTATTTTAATAGGCACCTAAAGTTGAATATTAGGCAACAACGCCCAGTTGCAGATGAGGAAACATCAAGATCGAACTTATAGCGTGTTCGATTGTCACATTTTATGATATTCCTATAGTCGTTGTCGCCTAAAACTGATAACGTACCATTTGCTCCCGCAGAACGACTTTTTTATTTCCCGAGAGGCCACGTACTCACTAAACATGCAAAAAAGGGTAACAAAATAAAAAAAGAACTCGGATCGGATACAGTTTATGTTCGATCGTAAAATTCCCTCAACCTTCCGCGCTCCCTTTACTATTTTTATCCAGAAAAATATTGTTTTTCGGTGTTATTAGGAGCGAGTTTCTTCGACGCGCCTCTTTTAATCCTCTCACTAGAAACATGGTTTATCTATTAGATAATTGTGTGAAAGCCAATAAGTGGCCGAGTCGCAAGAAAGACAATATTGATCGTTGGCAAGCGGGTGCTCGGTGCACTGCGGTTGAATTTGAGGATCTCTTGGTTTTCCATGATTTCCATTGTCACAGTCGATATACTATCCGGATTACGTCTGTCACTGTTATATGGAGATTACAATTGGAACAATTCAGTTTTTGTGACGGAAATAGAAATTCGACGGAAAGGCTGAAAAAAAAATACAATAAAACATTTAAACATACTATTATCTAACTCCACGTCTAGAATTTATCTGATAGTATATGTATTTTTGGAAAGGTTTAAATAATGTTCTTGTTTTCCACAATATTAGTAGATGCAATTTCACAGCGATGTTGAAACTACAATTTCGTTCGCTTGAATAGTTTTTAATTTTATAATGAGAGCAACGCAAATGGTGCAAACTGGAATCACATCCACTAATAGATATCGTAATTGAACTCATTACCCGAAATTCTGTTGGGTTAAACGTTCCGAATCGAAATCATTATTTGCGAAATGATAAATGAAACCGAATCGACGTTGCGTTTGTTGATAATATCGAAATTCGCCCGTTTCGGTCCCCCTTTTCTTAGGCGAATCGTTTATTAAAACCCGCCAATTCGGTCGCGAATAACAAGGTTTAAATAGAGAGGCTCAAAATACAAGGGAGCGGGTAATACGTTCTCCGGATAACCGACGAGCTTGTTATGATTTATGGAAAATTTTAATTGAGGACATAAATTTCTTAACCCCTTATTATAAACGCTAACGAGGTCAAATTGCGTTAAGTACGACGATAAAAAGTCCCTGTTTAGTGTGTGATGAGCGAGCGGTTGTAATGAAACGCGCAAAAAAACATAACGTCAAAGCGAAGATTAAAGGCTAATGTGAAATAAGAAAATGACGAGATATATTGACGAAGATTTTCCGAATGAAATTTCCAATTTCCTCCTACTCATACGTCAACGAATTAACCATAACCCTCGGCTTAATGGCTCGGAGATGGCAGAAGGAAAAAATCGAGTCGATTAATTAATACGCGCAGTTCTGTTCCTCGAATTGAAGTCAAGAGATCACTAGGTCGAACTTAATGGGGGAGTTTAATTTACATTGGAAATGGGACCTTCGCATCTAAGTTGGGTTGGAATCCGCGTATTTTCCCCACGTCTCGGTTTGTACTATTTAACTTTGGTGTTACAGCCGAATTCACCTCGGTTAACCAGTGCAGTTCATTTTAAATTTAAAATTTAATTATCTTCCTATTTTCTCTTGAACAATATGTTTGTGCTGCAATAGTTCAATTACTTTGCACAATGTAAAATGATAATTAATCTTAAAATACAGGTATAGGCGCATACAGGTATAATTCCCTAAAGATTCATCTAATCCACAACGCCACTGTGTTAGTCTGATGATTGAATTAGTAAATTAGATCCCAGTCGTGCTATTTATACTGTATATTTACTGATTGACATTACCGAATGTGTAAAGACACGAGATGATCGCGATCAAAAGGGAGTTGATTAATTTACTTTCCACATGTATAGTAATAGTCAATGAACATTGAGTATTAATATATCATTAAACTTAATAAAATTAAGTACTTAGATTTAATGTCGTATTAAAAAATGCCAGCGGGATTAATACCATTAGTTAGAATTTAGAAAAGTAAACATTATTAATTTAATTAGCATTTTAATAGAATAATTTAACGAAAAACTCATTATTCGTGTAGACCATGAATAAGACTTGCATTGTAAGCTTTGAAAATTTCGAAATAGACAATTTAAATTACCCGACGTCGTTTTTGCAAATAGAACCCAGAGAGGAATAAAAGACGATAAAATTTCGGCGTTTTAGCAATTCGAAATTACTTATACTTATAAGTAAAGCGGCGAACGAGCACCATTTGCATATCGTTGTTAGAACTTTCCGAGCGGCTCGGTTTTGTAAACAGAATGGGAATTTTCCGGTTTACCAGAAATATAGAGTGCAAACAATTCATCAGTGTTTTCTTCGTAAAAAATCTTCAGTCGTATATAAAAACGTGGAAACTTAAAAACCGTTGATTCGGAATCCTGAACTTTATATTTATGATCCCGTTGTCCGGGGATCGTAATTTGAAGCGGCATTTTTCATCGGAGCCGCGGGAGAGAAAGAGACGAGACGTTTTATCTCACAATATAGATTGGCTCCTTCTGTTACGCCGAGAAGAAATGTAATATCAATGAATGATGACAAATACTATTAGGTATCGTTCGAGAGTCGCTTTTCCGCTACGATTCCACATCGACATCAATATCAACGTTTATTCTATTTATTTGAGCATTTACTCTTTTTATTTCTGCTTTAATTTTCGAAGACGGTTGTTGTATTATTTCTGTATCTATATTCCTGTATTTTAGATTTTTTACCCGCCGGCATTTTGCTACTTATTTAAAGCGATTTTTGAAATTACAATATTAATCTCGATTGACGAAAATTGTAGAGTGATTATGCCGTTATTTTTCGTAATAAAAATTTAAGCCCAATTTTCCAATTTAACCAATTGGGCCGACCAAAACGGTACGAAGTTTCAGAAACTTAATTATCGCAAAGCGGCCGAGATGAAGTGTCTGTTAGTCGCGTTAGTCTTAATCGCAGTTGGTAAGTTAGTAAAATACCCGTAGGTTAATTTATATTTATGAACAACTTTCGTACTTAGATGGTGCCGCATCAACGCAAGTCGATATCAAACCGAAAAATGGGGAAGCAGGTGAGAAAAATTGTCGCAGCGAGGAAAGTAATTTTTATGATGGATGAAACTCTGTTGTAGTATCGAAATTAGCTATTTTGAGTTCCTCGCCGGTGGTGTACGGTTACGTAAGTCGCATTAAGCACAATATCATCACTAATTGCAAAGAGAATGGACGCGACATCGCAAAGGATTTGGAGGTAATTGATACAATTAGTACGATGCTGCTGATTCTAACTAACGATTCTTTAACCGCGTAGAAATCTTACGAAGATTTAGTTAATTGCATAAATACGACAACTCTCTACACCAACAAGAAGCTGGAATACATACAGAATTTAGAGGAGTGCAGTAAAACGGCTATACAAAAGGCGAAAAGTTGCTTGAAAAAGGAACACTCTTATTATCCCGATATTTTGTTGAAAATCGTTAAATCTCAGATCAGTTTTGTTTGCGACAATTACGAAACTATTCAAAGTACGTACACCTTAAGCACACTGTAATATGAAACACGACCATTTCCATATTTTTTAGACCATCTGATTCCTTGCATAAAGACCTATGAAAAGCAAGAAGTTCGTACTCGCCTCTTGAATTGCTTTACCGATGTAAATCGGACGGTTAAAGATGCTTCTTTAATTCCTCCTTCTATAGAAGTCTTCTGTCAGTAAGTACAACTCTACATTATACTCACAACATATTCGTAATAACAAAAATTTTCTCAGGAAATATGTACCATCACATAATTGCTTCATTGATATCCTGGAAAACGAGTGTAAGCAATTTCCCAAGCTCAAGCAATTTGGAGAAAATTACAATATCGCGATGAGTTACCCTTGCTCCAAAAACGGATCGAAATCCATTTATAATATGTAAAAATTTCCACAATAAATTGTCATATGATAAATTATTATTAAGTTTTATTGTGCACAAGAATTTAATCAGTTACACATGCCCGTACAAAGGAATTACCGCACTTATAATAATTAATTAGAATTTTTATCAGATATCCAACGTATTATAAAAATCGCTAGAGATTCTATCACCTACACTATATTCATCTATCAATAACATGAAGTATATTATTATTTTAACAATAATTTGTGCAACATCTGCACTGGCAGCACCTGAGTTGGAGTTAGACAACTTATGGAGAAATTTCAAGGTAACCATAACAATCTTCCGCTTATACGTCGTTTCCACTTAAATCTTAGCAATAATAAAGTAATCAATCTGCTCGTAGAATGACCATAATAGACAATATGCATCCGCCGATGAGGAAGCGAAACGTTTCGAAATTTTCCGGGCAAACCTCCAGTCAATCATGGAAAACAACCTGAAATACGAAAGAGGCCAGACCACTTACAAGATGGGAATCAACAAATTCACCGATATGACTCAAGAGGAACGCGTAGAGAAATATTTGACAAAAATAGAACCGCCGACGCATCGAGATGAAGCTGAATTACCGCTCACAGACGTGCCAGAATCCAAAGATTGGGCTGCTGAAGGTATGGTCACCAAAATCAAAGACCAGGAAGCTTGTGGATGCTGTTACGCGTTTGCATCAGTAAGCACAAAACACGTATAGACGTAAATCATCTACAAATTACGTTTCTTGTTATTCAGGTGGCAGCTATTGAAAGCGGAAATGCCATAGTAAACAAGAAACTTCAAGACCTCAGCGTGCAAGAAGTAGTCGACTGCTCCGCAGGTGATATCTACTTGAATCACGGTTGTAGCGGAGGCATTATCGAAGGATCCATACACTACGTCATGGACCACGGTATAGTAGCCGAAGAAACTTATCCCTACGCTGGCACCGATGGTAACATATGCTCAACTAACGCTTCAAAACCAATCGTAACGGTTAAATCGTACAAAAACGTTCCAGCCAATGAGACTCTACTCAAACAGGCAGTCGGTAAGTATCCATCATTCAAGCTACACAACAGAAAAATTTACGATATTATTGATAAATTAGGCGGTATTGGTCCTGTGGCTGCATGCGTAGATGCAAATACTTGGTTCGCTTACGAAGATGGAATCTTAGATGGACCGTGCTACGATAATGCTACTAGTCACGTTATTTTGATCGTTGGATATGGTACTGAAAACGGAGTTGACTACTGGCTTGTGAAGAATTCATGGGGAACGGGTTGGGGAGCGAAAGGATTCGGAAAAGTTCGGAGGAACAACAACAATGCATTCTGCTTAGCTACTTACACGGCGTATCCTATCATGAAATAATCGTGTTATAATTTTATCAGATAAAATTGTGAATAATAAAGTCAAATAAAAATGGAATTTACCGAGAAATATTGAAATTAATACCAGTAATTCTCGTGATAAAACTCATCGCCTGATTATACACGTAAACGGTTAGAAAATTTTGCAATTCGACTCATTTAAAATGAATCATTTTATTATTTATGCCTTAATGTCGGCTCTAACGGCAACAGCAAATCCGGAAATGGAAGATTTATGGAGGGAATTTAAGGTAAATACTATTAACAATTAAATTTTACAACCATAGTTTCCCACATGCACTCCATGATAATCTTTGCTTTTATTCCCGTTGAGCTCAGTTTACTACAACAAAATTAAGGCAATCTTCATTAAAACCTTATAGTATATTTTTAGTGAATAACTACCAGTAGATATATGCATTTCTATTATCTACTTTAATGTGTATAATTTCATCCAGAAAGAACATAACAGAATCTATAATTCTGTTGAAGAAGAAGCCGAACGTTTCAACATTTTTCAAGTAAACATCCGAACGATCAGGGAACAAAACCAAAAATACGATACAGGAGAATCGAGTTACTACATGGGAATCAACCAGTTCGCCGATTTGACTCAAGAAGAATTTGTAGCCAAATATAAATCAAAAACCAAGGTACCGACTGGAAGCTACGTAATAAACGAATTCCAATTGCCATTGAATGTACCAGATCAAAAGAACTGGACCGCCGAGGAGGTGGTAACAGAAGTTAGAGATCAGGATATTTGCGATTGTGGTTACGCCATTGCTTCGGTAACGTTAGCACTAACTTGGATGCGAGAATTAATAAGAGATTTTTAACCGAATTTTCAGATAGGAGCCGTTGAAAGCGCGTACGCAATCAAACACAAGACTCTCAAGGTATTAAGTGTGCAGCAAATTGTTGATTGTTCTTATGGAGAAATTTATTACAATTATGGGTGCGATGGAGGTATCATCAACGGTACTTACCGCTATGCAATGAAATACGGTATTATCGAGGAGCAATCGTATCCTTTCACACACAAGGATTTCAGTCCTTGCTTGTATAACCAGTCAACTCCTAGTGTTACCCTCGAGACGTTCAAAGAAGTCTCATCTGATGAAGAAATTCTAAAAAATGTAGTAGGTCAGTATATTTCACTTCTCACTATAGTGATTAATTTAAAATGTTTAGGTACAATTGGTCCGGTTGCAATTACAGTTAATTCCGAATTGTGGGGTTTTTACGAAGGTGGTATCTTCGATAAAAACTGCACGAACAACGATACTAACCACGTGGCGCTGATTTCTGGTTACGGTACAGAAGATGGTGTAGACTATTGGTACTTAAGGAATTCTTGGGGAACTAAATGGGGTTTGAATGGGTACATAAAGATCCGAAGAAATCTCAATAACGTTTTCTGCTTGAATACTTATGCAGCATATCCTGTAGTAAACTAACTGCAAATGCAATTATGTTCTTCTTTTTAAAGACACTAGAAAAAGTAACTAATTAAAGATCCATTGTGCAGGTTCATATTCTTTGTATGTACCAAATTTACCTAGATTCCCGATTGAAACAACGATATATTTGGCCCCCTTGATCATGTGGGCATTTGTGATTGGTAATCGAGTTTCATAATTAAGCTCGAACTAATGCAACGTATAACGACAAGTAACCCGGTTGATTGTTGTCGAGTGTCCCAAATAAGGTAGGTAGGTAATCCAGATAGGACGGGTTACGCGCATCAACTAAGCTCATTATCGGTATGTGACGTACGACGTCGGTCATCTGTTAATCCGTTTAACGGAAATAATTAGGATAGATTGATGTCCTTAATGGAATTTATCCGAGGGTTGATAAAACTAACAGATGGAATCACGCCGGAAAAAGCGTGCCCGTTTAATAGGGCACATTTATGAAAAGCATTTGCAAAAATATCGCAGAACCATTGTTGAAATTTGAAGCGTTTAAAAATAGAACAATAAAATTTGTTTGGAATTCGAATTCATTCGCAGTTAGAAATAAATAATTCTAGAAAAATATGACGAATAATTCTGATATGTAATATGAAAATAACTAAACTATTGGGTATAAAACTGGCTATAAACAAGTTGATTCAACATTCAAAATGAAGCGACCAATTACGATCATAATTGTTGTTCTAATTTCAACTACAATAGACGCCTTATCAGATCAAGAACAATGGCTAAACTACAAGGTAAACCAATAAATTCGCAACATTTTGAAACTACATCCAAAATATTTCCAGAAAACATACTCCAAGTCTTACAGGAATCCGACGCACGAAAAATATCGCTTTTCTGCTTTTCAAAGAAACCTCCGTTTCATCGAGGAGCACAATTTAAAATATGATAAAGGACTAGTTTCCTTCGAAATGGGCATGAACCAATTCGGAGACATAAGCCCTAGTGATTTCATCGAGGGGATCAAAACTTCAAAATCCGGGAAACCGAAAAACTTCCAAAACGCCAATCACGGCTACAACAACTTACCAGACGAAGTCGATTGGAGGAAAAAAGGTGCTGTGACCGAAGTTAAAGACCAGAAGAATTGTGGAGCCTGCTGGGCTTTTAGTACTGTAAGTTACCTCACAATTACAAAATCAAATATCATTTATCACAAGCACATTTTCAGACTGGATCAGTGGAAAGCGCGCACACAATAAAAACGGGGAATATGATATCGCTCAGCGAGCAAAACCTTGTCGATTGCGCCAAGGACCATTGCTCGGGTTGCGAAGGCGGCTGGATGGACAAAGCGATGGAGTACATCCAACTAAACGGCATTATGACTGAACAGCAGTACCCTTACCAAGCAATAGATTCCTATTGTCGATTTAATTCCTCCGATTCTTCAGTGAAAGTACAGAGTCACGTGTACGTTAAAACTGGCGATGAAAATGATTTGAAAGCAGCTGTTGCCGCCCAACCGGTTTCTGTTGCTATTCACGTTACCTACATGTTCCAGTTTTACAAACAAGGTAATTCTTCCTCTCTTTTTTCTACTAGTATTTATTATTACTCTTATTCCAGGAATACTGAATGATCTAACTTGCCAAAATGATTACAACAGCTTAAATCACGCGGTGCTCGTTGTTGGATACGGCAGTTCCAGCGGAGGGGATTACTGGATAGTGAAAAACTCATGGGCTAGTACGTGGGGTATGAACGGTTACATCCTCATGACGAGAAATGAGGATAACCAATGCGGAATCGCGACATCCGGCGTGTATCCCGTCGTTTAATTTAACAAACCTGTCTGGGAACGATTAAAGTTTATCTCTTAGTTGTTCATTTTAACGCCGATGCGACGCAATATAAAACTCCTCCGAGTGTCCGAAGTTATAAATTTCATGATGCCAACGACGGCTGTACTGACATCGGAAGTTTTTCAATCCTTCATACGGTGTGTCGTAAATTTAATCCCTTTTAACAATTTCTTGAAAGTTAAACTGCGTTCTAAGAAAGAAACTTTGTGTAACACTGTGCTAGTTAATTAAGGAATGAGATGAAATAATAAGAAATTGCTCGTGCATAACTAGTTTATTTAATTACGTTCATAACTTAACCCTAAAATTTGAGTACTTACTTAATTAAGACTAATTAATGAATACTTTTCAGAATAGGATAAGCTGTGTAAGTTGCTAAACAGTAAGCATTGTTGTGGTTCCTGCGTACTTTCAAATAGCCGTTCAAACCCCAATCGGCTCCCCACGAGTTCTTCAAGTACCAGTAATCTGTGCCGTTTTCAGTACCATATCCGGCCACTAGGACTACGTGGTTAGTTGCTTTATTATCCGGGCATACCCCATCGATTATCCCGCCAGCGTAGTGGAACCAACTGTCATCGGCTACTGCGCAAGCTGCAACAGGACCGATTGTACCCACAGCGGCCTTCAACTGATCTTCATCGGGCGCTACGTTTTTGTAATTTTCCACTGACACCACGGCCAGATCTTCTTTGACCAAACAATAATACTGGCCGAATCTGTATGGATAAGATTCCTCGGATACCAGACCGTGGTCCATGGCGTAGTGGATTGAACCTTCTATGATGCCACCTGAGCATCCTTCGTTTATATACGTTTTGTAGGAGCAGTCGAGAACTTGCTGGACGCTTAGATTCCTTAGTACGTAGTTGGTTATTGCGTTGGCGCTTTCGATTGCTGCTACCTGATATTTAAATTATGAATACTCTTTGTTGAAAGTAGCGGTGATTACTTACGGAAGCGAAGGCGTAGCAACAACCGCAACTTCCCTGATCTTTGGGTACGGTGACGACGCCCAGAGAGGTCCAATTTTTCTGGTCTGGTACGTCGGTGACGTGAGATAAATCGACTTCGTCTCTTCGAGTCGGCGGCTGCACGTTTGTCAGATAAATCCTCGTTAGTTCGTCGGCAGTCTTATCTGTGAATTTGTTAATTCCCATGAAGTAAGTGGACTCGCCTTTCTCGTATTTCGCATTGTGTTCATTGATCATTCGAACGTTAGCTTTGAAAATATCGAATCTTAGCGATTCTTCTTGCCAGGATTGGTATATTCTGTTGTGATCATTCTACAAAACGTATCTACTTGTACTTGTGGTATAAAAGGATTAGTGATAAGCATAGTTACCTTGAATTTGCTCCACAAATCTACCTCGGATTCTGCAAATTTCGCCGCAGTTGAGGCGACAAAAAGCAAAAATGCAACGAAGAGCTTCATTTCTGAATAATCTAGAATAATTTGATAAAAGATTTTTTATAAGACGTGAAGATTGATCAGATATTAAAAAATTTGCTATCTACGATTTTAATTAGTTTTGTGGATTTGCAATAAGAAATAATATTAGATCATGCTGATAATACTTACTGATAAAAATGAAAAAAAAAAATTATAATTTTTTTATATTCCTAGTAATTTAATAATTATGTATAGTACCTATACTATGTTCCAATTTCTGAAGTGTGTACACTTATAATTGATCACGTAGAGCTTGAATTTCATTGAAATAGTTACATTTCCTTTTAAATTAAGTAGTTATTTTAAGTCTGTTTAGATCATGTGAAGATTGGGAAATAACGTCATTCCAAAAATTTTAATACTATCTCTTTCAAATCAAAAATTAAAACAATAGGTGTAGATAACAAACATATCAATGGATACTTATTGAACAATTAAGTAAGTAGATAATTATCAACATAAAAAAAATCCCGGGAATTTTTGCCCAATAGAAAATAATAAAGAGAGGTTTGTAGAGTAAGTAGAGATTCTGTCCTTAAAGCATTACTGTTTAATGTCCTGTAATTCATTAATTAGTTTATTAATTATCGCCCTATGGTTCATAATATTAGCCACTTAAGATTTCCGATTCCGGGATCCCAACGCCCTTTTCGACTAAAGCTAAATAATTTAGGGAAAGTCCTTGAGTTAGTTAACGTACTTACGCTTTTATTTTAGGGATAAGTGTGACGTGACTGCGAAGGGTTCCTAATTTTATATTAGCTTATACCAAAGTTGATGAAAGGATTTGCCCGAAGACATACACTTGCTTGAAGCACCTATACATTCATCTTAACCTGAATTATGAAATCTGAACTTGATAAACGGATAAAATCCTGATAAATCGCCTCGAAAGTTCGGCTAATATATCAAGAAATAAGATGAAAAGGGACGATCATAAAAATTCCTATCGGAAGATTTAAGTTCATTTAAAAAAAATTCAATATCCCGACAGGTAATCGAGGAAAAGTTATGCGTACGTAAAGCGATCCCTTTGTTGCCAAGACAAAGACATTTTTTTCAGCTAAAAAAGTTTTTTCGATCGATGAACCTAATATAATATATACCTAGCATATAAGGTGAAGAGAAAAGTTGATTGTATATGAATTGAGAGGATAAACGTTTCAATAGTTGGTGGAATTTAGGAATCAGTTTTTCATAAAAACTTATCGCATCAATAAACCGATTCGAGTGGAGAGAAAATATCAAACGAACAATCCTCGATACTACAAAATCTCCAAGATATTGCACCGAGTTCTTACTATCGCTCTCGACCACACGCTCTCCTGTTATTATTGGAAATTGAAGGCCCCTGTAAATTCTTATAATAATAAATATTCCAGAATGTCTCTCTGATAGGGCGAAGTCCGTAAAATATTTATCCTAGCCGGAATTCCGCCGTTCCGGAAATGCCTCTGGTGATTCCAAAATCATCTAATATTTATCTTTACGTGACTGGAGCTATTTATTAGGCGGTTTTATAAAAGCTCTAATCCGAACCATCGTACTTACAATTAAAACTGATTTCTCTTATTGTGTAACAATATTTAATTTACAATAAAGTCATTGTTAAATTTGTATGTTGTAGGTACATTTAAATAAAAAGCTAAAATAAATCAATAGTTTTATTACATCAAAAAAGTAACAATTCTAACAAGGGTATCCAGATGGTTTGTAATTGCAGTAACTGCTCTTGTGTGCGCCTGTTATAGAAACTCCTGACCAGTTGAAGTTATCGCAACCTTTGCTTCCACAAAGGACGTATACAGCTTCACTGTCCTTGCCAGTCATAGTTCCGCGGATGTTGTTCAATTTCAATCCGTGAATAGGAATGTTGCCCACCGGTGAGCCAGATGATTTACCTCCCTTGTAATTCTCCTGAACGTTGATTCCATAGTTGGTCAAGCCTTGAAATTTAATGTTGGTGTAGGTGATATCTTTCATGTAACCAACAGCACCGTCAGTGTGGGTTTTGATGTGGATGCCGTTGCGGGAATTCTTAACGACAGAGTTGCTGAATGTTACATCGGACAGTCGATTTTTGGTGGAATCAGTCTTACTGACTCCTACTGATATACTCAATCCGTGACCTCCGGAGCAATCCAAATTATCAATATGGATGTTGGAACCAGAGTTAAGGGCAACACAGTCATCTTGATTCTTGACTACAGAGTTCTTGATAGTTACACCGCTCGATGCGGATACATCGAATCCATCGGTGTTGTGCCCTAAATGGTTTCTGTCACCAGCGGATACGTCGATGTTCCATTTGTCCAGCGTTACAGAATTGCTGTTGAGAACCGATGTACATTGTTTGGGACAATTCAAGAGATGAATGTTGGAGAATGTGGAAGATTGAGCTTGTATTCTAAAGAATTTAGGTTTATTGTTACCAGAATCTCCTTTTCCATCCCAGTAATGGGCGCCCTGTCCGTCTAACGTCGCTCCAGATCCGTCTACTGTTAAATGATTTCCTTTGATGAGAACCATTGGTCCTTCCCATTGCACTCCATAACCAAAAGATGTCGTACCCTTGAAGGTTAGTGTGGTTCCCGATTTCAGATTCAATAACAATTGTTTTCCTGCTGGTACGGCGAGATTTTGCACGACGATGTTATTACAGCTTTTAGTTACACTACCCACTTGGCTGAACTGTGTAATAACACAATTAGCACCAACGTTCGTTTCGTTAAACAATGGGCTTGCAGTGGCGCAAGCTACTGCAATTAGAGCTATGGTGAATTTGATAAGGAACATTTTGTCTATGATTAAATTTGAACTAATTCGTCGGATATTTATAGTATTTCATAAGTTAATTGAATCTTAAAAAAATATTGATAGTAGACTCGTTCAAGATAGGTACCAATAAATTTGATTATGTTCAGTAATAGTTTTATTTTTAACTAGTTATCTAATAGTGACGCAAGCAATCACCTTAAAATGTTTACATAAATATTTTTTGTCTATTGATAAACATAGTAGCAGTATTACTTGTAAATTATCATTATACAAAATTTAGGGATTAACGTAATTCAATAAAATAATTGAACAACAAATGTAGGTAACAATTTTATTAATTCTAACAAGAGTATCCCGATGGCTTGTAATTGCAGGAGCTGCTCTTATGTGCGCCGCTTATAGACACTCCTGACCAATTAAAGTTGTCACAACCATTGCTTCCACAAAGGATGTATACAGCTTCACTGTTCTTGCCAGTCATAGTTCCGCGGACGTTGTTCAATTTCAATCCGTGAATGGGGATGTTACCCTTCGGTTTATCGGTTGATTTACCATTCTTGTAGTTCTCCTGAACGTTGATACCATAGTGAGTCAAGTCTTTGAATTGAATGTTGGAATAGGTGATGTCTTTCATGTAACCAACAGCGCCATCAGTGTGAGTTTTGACGTGGATACCATTGCGGGAGTTACTAACAGTGGAGTCACTGAACGTAATGTTGGACGCTCGGTTTTTACTGGAATCAGTCTTGCTGACTCCGATTGATAAACTCAAACCGTGACCTCCGGAACAATCCAAATTGTTAATATGGATGTTTGAACCAGAGTTAATGGCAACACAGTCGTCTTGATTCTTGATGACAGAGTTTTTTACCAATACGTTGGTCGATACGGATATGTCAAACCCATCGGTATTGTGGCCCAATTGGTTTTTATCACCAGCGGATACATCGATGTTCCATTTATCTAAAGTGACATGATCGCTGTTCAGAACTGAAGTGCACTGTTTGGGACAATTCAGGAGATGAATGTTGGAGAATGTGGAAGATTTAGCCTGGATTCTGAGAAATTTGGGTTTTCTGCTCCCGCTGCCTCCTTTTCCATCCCAATAATGAGCACCTTGACCGTCCAGCGTAGCTCCGGCTCCGTCTACTGTTAAATGATCTCCTTTAATGCGAATCATCGGTCCGTCCCATTGCACTCCGTATCCAAAAGAAATTGTACCTTTAAACGCCAGTGATGTTCCTGATTGCAGTTCCAATGTCAGTTCTTTACCAGCTGGCACGGCGAGATTTTGAATAACGATGTTTTTACAACTGTTAATAACATTATTTACTTGACCAAACTGTGAAATAACACAATTACTACCGACGTTTGTCTGGTTGTACAGAGGAGTTGCAGTAGTGTAAGCTACTGCAATTACAACTACGGTTAGTTTGATAAGCAACATTTTAACTGGGAATTGATTCAGGTGGAATGGAACACATATTTATAGGATCCATTAGTCACTTGAAAATTAAAAAAAATATATTGATACATAGTATTATTTATTTGCTTAAGTGCACTGATAGTTTCATTTTGAAGTGCCTATTATTTACGCACGTAAGAAAAAATTAAACGCACTGTTCAATTTTTCTAATATTTATCTATTATTTTTCTATTTTCTATTTTTCTATCTAATTTCACTATGCAACTCTTCTATACAACTTTTCTATTTATTAGTATTTCTTTTTATTTTTCTACGAATAATTTAATTTTTTACTAATGTAAAAAAGTTACAAAGTTAAAGTTACTAAGGTAGGGTAGTTAAAAAAGTTACTAAGTTAAAAATCATAAATTCATGAGAATTTTTAAGAATATTATAATAAGTTATTCCTTTTACAAAGGACTGAAAATAAGAAATATAAATTTATTTCATATTTTTGAATTAAGAACCAAAGGTAACATTAGTAACATGTTGTTGAACACATCAAAGTTAAGGTAACAACATATTTATTTGCTTTTAAAGTCGATATTATATCCAAACAATCGTTCATAACATTTGTATTTGTTAAGTTGAAACTATATAAACATTATTGATAAATAGGTATGTATAATTTTTAAAGTTTCCGTTTGACGTCAATATTTAAAATTTCATAATCTCAAGAGGTAAGCGGATAATGGCACTAGACTGACTATAGAAAATACTATTATTATTTAATTAGTAAAAGCCGCTAGATTGAAAGAGATGATTAATATTCTCATCAAGAGAAGTGTTTGTAAAATCTTTTTAATATGATTTAAAATAGGTGTGTGGTATGATTATCGTTTGGTGAAGCCATATAACATTGGTAAAAGTGGAAGAAACCCATTTAAATAAAACATTAAAATATGTGCTATAATATATTGATAAAATTGGTGTTCATTATTCAAAAATTAATGAACTTTTACAAAGCCTATTTTAACAAGCGAATCCAGACGGGTGGTAATTACAGGAGGTACCCTTCTTTGCGCCAGAGATGGAAATTCCTGACCAGTTAAAGTTATCGCACCCTTTGTCCCCACAAAGAATATACACAGATTGGGTGTCCTTACCGCCGTTCATGCTTCCGTGAATGTTGTTCAATCTTAAACCATGTATGGGTATGTTACCCAACGGGGTAGGAGTGGACTTGCCATCTTTGTAATTCTGTTGAACATTGATTCCATAGTTGGTCAAACCCTCAAATTGAATGTTGGAATAGGTAATGCTTTTCATGAAACCACGTGCGCCATCAGTGTGCGTTTTGATGTGGATACCATTGCGGGAATTCTTAACAACGGAGTTGCTGAATGTCACATCGGACAGTTGATTTTTGGTGGAATCAGTCTTGCTGACTCCTACTGATATACTCAATCCGTGACCACCGGAGCAAACCAAATTGTCAATATGGATGTTCGAACCAGAGTTAAGGGCAACACAGTCATCTTGATTCTTGACTACAGAGTTCTTGACAGTTACACCGCTCGATGCGGATACATCGAATCCATCGGTGTTGTGTCCTAAATTGTTTCTGTCACCAGCGGATACGTCGATGTTCCATTTGTCCAGCGTTACAGAATTGCTGTTGAGAACCGATGTACATTGTTTGGGACAATTCAAGAGATGAATGTTGGAGAATGTGGAAGATTGAGCTTGGACTCTAAAGAATTTAGGTTTATTGTTACCAGAATCTCCTTTACCATCCCAGTAATGAGCACCTTGGCCGTCTAACGTGGCTCCCGATCCGTCCACTTTTAAATGATCTCCTTTGATGAGAACCATTGGTCCTTCCCATTGCACTCCATAACCAAAAGATGTCGTACCTTTGAAGGTTAGTGTGGTTCCTGATTTCAGATTCAATAACAATTGTTTTCCTGCTGGTACGGCGAGATTTTGCACGACAATGTTATTGCAGCTTTTAGTTACACTATCCACTTGGTTGAACTGTGTAATAACACAATTAGCGCCAACGTTCGTTTCGTTAAACAATGGGCTTGCTGTAGCACAAGCTACTGCAATCAGAGCTATGGTCAATTTGATATACAACATTTTTAACTTCTGAATGAATTGTAACGATTCCAACGCATTTATATATAAGTCACTACAAGTCACTTGAATATTATAAGAAAAGGACAATGATATCCCGTTTTATTTATTTTTAACTAATGAAGTGTCTGATAAGTGCTGCCTAAAATAAAATAATGCGAAAGTAACGGAAGGTTTTACTTAAAAATCCAACTTAAAAATTGGCATTTCTAAATAGTAAAAATGGTTTCTCAAAGTTTATTAAAACTACATAATATAAATGTAGACAAATTCATCAGTTAAAAGTTTTAACTAGTTCTAATTTTAGCTCAAGTAGGACAAGAAGAGTCAATAAATTGATAACCAAAATGCCGCGTTTACACACCTAGTGACATCTAGTTCAAATAATTAAGGGGCGGGGGTGGTAAATCAATAAAAATGAACGTTGAAAAATTAAATTAAAAAAAAATTAACTAAACTGTGTTATTATCTAAGTCTGGACCTGGAATTCAGATACGCGGTATTGCAAATATTATGGTAATCGAACCATTAATGTGCACTTAACATATCGTATGATTTCTGACATCAATATAGGTAATCTCCTAAAAATCTCACCAAAAATACCTGCATATTTTACTGATTTTATTTTTAAATATTTGAAGCACAACGATGATATGAAGTAAAGTGAGTGGTACTTGATGGTTGTTTTGCTATTATGACGTGCATTACAGAAAAATACTGATATTGATGATAATAGTGCGTAAGAACCGAAGAATTACGGTTCATGGTAAATCTGGTTGAATTAATGAAAAATAGGTGAGAAGAAATATAATAAAAAGTCATTGAATTAGTTTTACAAAGTATATTTTCGTGGTAAAATTATTGCCATTTAATCCGATTTTTTTTCTTCATGAAATATTTAAAAAAAATAATTTAAGCGAACTTGAGAACTTGAGCCTTATAGAATAGCAGAAGCTGTTCTGATATGAACATTTTTCTAGCTCGGAACAAGTAAATAAGTTTTTGGGCGGCGGATTTTGCGATAGTGGAGACGTGTTCACGCGAGGTTGCGTTTGATTTGATGTTGACCCCTAAAAGATGCAACTAATTACAGTTCAGTTTCAAATCGATATAAAGTGAATCATCCGTCAATGTTATAAATATGGTGAAGGAGTCATGTCAAATTCAATTATCAGCGGCGCGGTATGAATAAATACTCATAAATAGCATTAAATTCACATAACATGAATGTATTTAATTTTTTCAAATAATATTGAATTGCCCTTTAGAAAGAGCTTATTTTGTTGTTCAAATAGCAATTTCAGTGTTTCTATTCTATGAGCAAATCGGTGGTGCTGTAAGGGACCATTTAATGTTTTAAAGTAGTCTCAATTGTACTATCGAGATTCCACTTTTTTTTCATTCCCCTTTATTAGAGTTTAATGCTATTTATAAGAATATTTAATACTCATACCGCGCCGCTGATATTTGACATGACTCCTGCACCATTTTTCATAACATTGACGGATGATTCACTTTATATCGATTTGAAACTGAACTGTAGTCGTTTTAATTGTTTGGTAACTCCCAACTGTCAACTTTCGATCTGTCATGTTATAATCACGTGTCATTATGACTGTCAAACATGACAGGCAATTCAAATCTTGCGGTCTTATTGAAACACCCTTTATAATACAAAATTATTTGATTGATCATTTTAAATGATTAATCAGTTCTTTAATGATTTAAAAAGGACAATTTACTTTCACAATCACCTGAACTTTCATTAGTTTTAAAAACATTTTTCATTAATCCGTAATTATACAGAGGGTACTGTGGTGCTTCATTAAAAATTGTGATTTGGTTTGTCACGACTAATCCTGTCGGCTATTGAGTGGCAATTTTGATATAGCAGGAATATTACGAGAAGAAGCTTAGGCGTCATCGGTTGTCGTTGGCCTTGGGCGCAAGTAATTCAAAGCTACAGGACAGCAATGGCGGATAACCCAATACACGCATCTATGCGTCTGTTGTGAAAGTGAACCGTTGAGAAGTAGCAGTCAGTGTGTTGAGTCCGATACCTGTCAACAGTTGAGTATCCTCTGAACGGTGCTTTAGTGTTGTTTATGCTGCACATAGAAGCGAATAAAATTGATGCTGACTCGAACTGCGACGGTTGCCAGCCAGAACGAGCTCAGCGTTGTGGTTCAGGGAACCGCTGCAGGCGACAATTGTCAACAGTTGTCAACAGTTGCGTTCCCTGAACGCACCCAATGTTTCCAGGAGATTTATTTATATCCACCGTGCTTCATTAGCGATTGGAATATGGTCATTTCTATAAGTGAACAAAGAAAGATTATTAAAATGACAGTTGTCAGAGTGAAAAGTTGCAATGACACAATGTCAGTCTTTCTTTTTCCTTTATAATTGTCTAATGGAAGTTGCCTTTATCGCACCCATTGCCTATATAGGGTGGGCCAGAACCTACATCCCACCGGGAATTGCATTATGGAAACGACAATGGAGATGCCAAAATTGCAGCCGAAAATATGAAAAAGTTAATCCTTTAGTAAATAAGGAGGTTTAAAATTGACCAATCCCAGTAGGAGTTTAAATCCACGAAAATTACGTGAATTAGCTATACACCAATTTGACATTATTAAAAGATTCTATGTTCTTTTCACTTTCAAGGTTAACAAAAGCTGCCAAGATCAGCTGCGACTATTGAACAAAGATTTGCTTCCAAATCGATCATTCATGAGCTCCATCGTGCTGATACCAAACCTTCAGAATTTTTTATTGCTTCAAAAGTGGTTCGAATTGAAAGATCCATTTTTTGATCCACAAAGGGACACATTACTGTTCTAATTGCAGCAATAACTCATTAACTCTTAAGGGGCGTGTGTTACAACCCTTACAATTTAAAAAGGAAAGTACCAAGTGTTGTACATTTTTTTAAAAGGAAATTTTATGGAGAATTAAGTAATACCAATATTGTCTTAACAAATTTTGATTTTAGCGCTTACTTGTGAGAAAAATATCATTACATAATTCAAAGTGTGACACCTCATTAGAAAGTTATATTGTTTTAGTACTTCAGTGCAATAAATAAAATTACCCGGATATCGCATTTGTTATGTAAAATCAACTTGACTGCAATACTTCGCACCCTTTTGTTTTATTATAGATTTCACAGATAAATGTGATTAGAGGAGAATCTAATTTATTGCATTAAATTTCTGATAAAAATATCTTTCAAATTTTCGAACACCCTGTATTAAAATAATAATACAACAGTAAATAAAGGAATTCTAGCAGGTAAATTCATCCTGTTAGTAATTACAGGAAATTTCCTTCTGAACGCCTGTATTAGATACTGCAAACTAGTTGAACTATTAGCAATCGTTGGAGCCTCAAAGATTGTATACTGCTTTGTTCTATGGGCCCTTCATGGTTCTTAACCATAGGCCTGTCGGCATACCTTTATTTCCTATTTCATACCAGTAATAAAATAGTTTACATCTCATACCAAATAAATATCTGAAATATCTATCCTTCTATAAAATTTTATCCTTTATTTCATATGCTATTGTTTGACGTCGAAGGTAAATACGTATATTATTTCAAATCAAAAATATTTTTATTTTAAAATCTCAAGAGGTAAGTAGAAAATTGTTTGGCAATAGATATGCGATAATTATTTAGTTCATTAAATATTTAATGATGTCATTTTTATTTTTATCAAGAAAAGGCTCTTAAAATACTTTTAAGTACTATTTTCATTTATGTTCATATCAATTCAAAATATCAGGTATTATCTCGTAGCTAGGCAAAGGAAGAGCCATAAGTCATAGAGAATTGGTTAAATTGGAAAAAACCCAAAGATATTAATGAAACATCAAAATATTATGTCATATACATTTTGAATTTATTTGTAAAAAATAGAGAACGCTAACATAGCATATATTAACAAGAGAATCCAGATGGTTTGTAATTGCAATGACTATCCTCGTGGGACCCGGAGATAGAGACTCCTGACCAATTAAAGTTGTCGCAACCATTGCTTCCACAAAGGATGTACACAGCTTCGGAACTACCGCCGTTCATGGTTCCGTGGACGTTGTTCAATCTTAAACCATGGATGGGTATGTTACCTGAGGGGGTACCAGTGGACTTGCCATTTTTGTAATCCTGCTGAACATTGACTCCATAGTTGGTCAAACCCTCAAATTGAATGTTAGAATAGGTAATGTCTTTCATGAAACCACGTGCGCCATCAGTGTGCGTTTTGACGTGGATGCCATTGCGGGAATTCTTAACAACAGAGTTGCTGAATGTCACATCGGACAATTGATTTTTGCTGGAATCAGTCTTGCTGACTCCTACTGATATACTCAATCCGTGACCACCGGAGCAAACCAAATTGTCAATATGGATGTTCGAACCAGAGTTAAGGGCAACACAGTCATCTTGATTCTTGACCACAGAGTTCTTGACAGTTACACCGCTCGATGCGGATACATCGAATCCATCAGTGTTGTGTCCTAAATTGTTTCTGTCACCAGCGGATACGTCGATGTTCCATTTGTCCAGCGTTACAGAATTGCTGTTGAGAACCGATGTACATTGTTTGGGACAATTCAAGAGATGAATGTTGGAAAACGTGGAAGATTTTGCTTCTATTCTAAAGAATTTAGGTTTATTGCTACCAGAATCTCCTTTTCCATCCCAGTAATGAGCCCCTTGGCCGTCTAACGTTGCTCCAGATCCGTCTACTTTTAAATGATCTCCTTCGATGAGAACCATTGGTCCTTCCCATTGTACTCCATATCCAAAGGATACCGTACCTTTGAAAGTTAGAGTGGTTCCTGATTTCAGTCTCAATAATAATTGTTTTCCAGCTGGTACAGCGAGATTTTCCACGACGATATTACTGCAACTTTTGACAACATCATTTACCTGGCTATATTTTGTAATAACACAATTTGCACCCACGTTTGTTTCGTTGTACAATGGGGTTGCAGTAGCGCAAGCCGCTGCTATTAAAGCGATAGTGATTTTGATATATAGCATTTTTAATTCTTAATAAATTGTGAGGATCCTAACGTTTTATATAAGTCAATGTGAGACACTTGAAAATTACAAGAAGAAGATAAAGATATATTATTTTATTTATTTCTTAACAAAGTGGCTTTATAAGTGTTGTTTGGAATAAATAATGCGCAAGTGACGCAAGTAAAATAAGTGTTTTGACAAAATCGCTATTTCTCTTGCACCTTTTGACTTTTGATAAAAAACGAATTTATTATAATGAACTGTTCGCAAGGTGGGCTGTTCGCAATACCTTATAATCCTTTCATAACATAAATAAAGTATTTCAAAACTAAAATGATTTTGCAATGTTTATAAAATCTATTACAAAGTTAACAAACGTTTCATATATAGTTTTAATATGACAATAGATGATTTACAAGTTAACTAAAATTTTGTCATTACACATGACAACGAACAATACGACTAGTTCATATCATTTACTACAAATCAATTATAAAACTCCTAAGAGAACAATTTTGACAAAATTTTAATTAAAATATATTTTTAATATTCTTTATAACAAATAATGCATACCTAATGTTAAATTAATAATTAACATAGAAAATCTATTTAATAATAATTAGTAATTAAATAACAAATAAAAATAAATATTTTGAAAAACTAAATTGAAAAAAAATATTAAATTGTGTTATGTAAGTACGGGCCTAAAATTCGGCTATAAGTATTATAAACTTAATAATTGTGCTCTTTACATTCCTTTACATATCGTTTGGTCTCAATAATCTCACAAAAACATCAAACGATAAGTATTTTGGTAATTCTATAAATATTTGGATATTTTGCATATGCGTGTGCGTCAAACAATCGATAAATTCACAAATATTGATGACAGTAATGATAGTATTTGATGCCTGTTTACTTAAAATTTTATGATAGCTTTTATTATCTGAATCTAGGAATTGCAATTTAATAGAACTTAAGTAAAAACTAATGTAAAAATCATTGAAATAATTTGATAGAGTACTATGGTATTATAGTACTATACTATTATATTAAATTAAATTAATGGAATTGCCTGTGGTTGTAAAATCTTTTTATTAAGATTTAAAATAGGTATTTGATATAATCTTCATGTTATATGACGAAGCCATATAACATTGGTAAAAGTGGAAAAAGCCCATTTAAATAAAAGATTAAAATATATGCTATAATATATTGATAAAATTGGTGTTCATTATTCAAAAATTAATGAACTTTTACAAAGCCTATTTTAACAAGCGAATCCAGACGGGTGGAAATTACAGGAGGTACCCTTCTTTGCGCCAGAGATGGAAATTCCTGACCAGTTAAAGTTATCGCACCCTTTGTTCCCACAAAGAATATACACAGATTGGGTGTCCTTACCGCCGTTCATGCTTCCGTGAATGTTGTTCAATCTTAAACCATGTATGGGTATGTTACCCAACGGGGTAGGAGTGGACTTGCCATCTTTGTAATTCTGCTGAACATTGATTCCATAGTTGGTCAAACCCTCAAATTGAATGTTGGAATAGGTAATGTCTTTCATGAAACCACGTGCACCATCAGTGTGCGTTTTGATGTGGATACCATTGCGGGAATTCTTAACAACAGAGTTGCTAAATGTCACATCGGACAGTTGATTTTTGGTGGAATCAGTCTTGCTGACTCCTACTGATATACTCAATCCGTGACCACCGGAGCAAACCAAATTGTCAATATGGATGTTCGAACCAGAGTTAAGGGCAACACAGTCATCTTGATTCTTGACTACAGAGTTCTTGATAGTTACACCGCTCGATGCGGATACATCGAATCCATCGGTGTTGTGTCCTAATTTGTTTTTGTCACCTGCGGATACGTCGATGTTCCATTTGTCCAGCGTTACAGAATTGCTGTTGAGAACCGATGTACATTGTTTTGGACAATTCAAGAGATGAATGTTGGAGAATGTGGAAGATTGAGCTTGGACTCTAAAGAATTTAGGTTTATTGTTACCAGAATCTCCTTTACCATCCCAGTAATGAGCACCTTGGCCGTCTAACGTTGCTCCAGATCCGTCTACTTTTAAATGATCTCCTTTGATGAGAACCATTGGTCCTTCCCAATGCACTCCATATCCAAACGATGTCGTACCTTTGAAGGTTAGTGTGGTTCCTGATTTCAGGTTCAATAACAATTGTTTTCCTGCTGGTACGGCGAGATTTTGCACGACGATGTTATTACAGCTTTTAGTTACACTATCCACTTGGCTGAACTGTGTAATAACACAATTAGCGCCAACGTTCGTTTCGTTAAACAATGGGCTTGCTGTAGCACAAGCTACTGCAATCAGAGCTATGGTGAATTTGATATACAACATTTTAACTTCTGAATGAATTGTAACGATTCCAACGCATTTATATATAAGTCACTGCAAGCCACTTGAATATTATAAGAAAAGGACAATGATATACCGTTTTATTTATTTTTAACTAATGAAGTGGTCTGTAATTCGACTACAAGTATTATGCACTTAAATATTATGCTTTTTACATCCTTTACATATCGTTTGATCGCATAATCTCAAAAAAATCAAGAATGTTGATAATTGAAATTTGTGGATATTTTGCATATGCGTGTGCGTCAAACAATCGATAAATACACAAATATTGATGACAATAATGATAATACTTAGCGTATGCTTACTTAAAATTTTATGATAGCTTTTATTGTCTGAATCTAAAATATGCAATTTAACAGAACTTAGTAAAAACTTAGTAAAAACTAATGTGGAAACTTGCATGAAAAAAACTTCATATGAACCTATGTTTTAAACGTCTTAACTGAACTCAACCTACCTTAACTTAACTAAATTTAATTTAGTTTTTATTCTTCCTATGTAGTTCTTTTCGGTTGATCAAAGCTGTCCTGTCTTAGTAGTTTTTCTTTTTTTATCAAACAAATGAATCTACAAATAGTTATTTGATTCGATTCTTTTAAACTCCGGTTATATATTTAAACACTTTTCATCTTTAGCTGGCTATTTAACAGTTTAACCAGAGAATAAATATTAGTCCAAAAAGTATGGAAACGGTCTGAAAAATTGAAAAAACATGCATCCAATAATTTTTCAAGGGCTATCCATTGATGCCAATATCAAATAGCTACCCCACCCCTTAAAGCGTGAACGGGGGGGAAACTTTTAAAATTTAAATGGAAACCCTTATTTTTTATTAAAGATTCGGAATCCTGGCATCAAAATAAGCAAGTTTTGTCTGAAACATTTTTTTTAAACTAAAATTTCGAAAATTTTATTGTCCTTAAATGGTCATAATCGCCATACAGTATAAACAAATTACGATTGAAAAGTAAAAAACAATGTATTATAAGTTCAATAATTTCATAAAAGCTATTTATCGACGTTAATAACGACCCCCTACACCATCCCCAGAGGGGTCAGTGAGTAGCTTCAATAAATTGAATTTTGAGAACATTAAATTTTAAAATTTTTAGCATTTTTTTGATAGTTTTGAAAAATTATATATATTCTCTGATTTAACCAATTATTTTTGATAAACCAATCTTTAGAATTCAAATCTTTCCAAATCAAAGATGATTTAGATTTGAATAAAATTGTTCAGGTTATTTTTTGGATTTTGTCACTGTGACGTGTGCATGAGTATTGTTATTTTATTATATTTGGAGTTTGACGTTGAGAATGATTTTGAACTGGATCGAAAAAGGGAAAGAAACAAAAATTACTTTGAAGGGGAGAAGAAAAATCTAATAACAATTTGAGATCGTCTATAATGAAAATCTTCATCAGATGATATTAAAGATGATGATGAGGATTATGCTAACCAAAGAAACACTTGCAATGATATTACAAATTATTTTATTTGAGTTTAGAAAACATACGACCCTAGAGCAAATCTATTGTTTGGTCTCTGACTTTAACTTTGCAAATTTCGTTGGTTAATTTAAGCGTCAATTTAATTTTCGAATAACGCGCTATTTGTTGTTGGTGGAACAAACTTGTGTATTTTTATTGCGCAGTTAAAATTATTCATTGAATAAGGTATTATTTTTCGTTAGTGAAACCGGGCATAAACTGTTTAATTCTTGGTTCTTGGGGCTTCTTATACTGATTAGCAAGCACATAATATGTACATTACGTCTTAGTCATGAGAAATATTTCTATAAATATTATTCATGCATTATATTGTCAAAGAAAAGAAATGATTTTCATTTTTCAATGGTGCCTAGAGTAATCCCTAGTCCCTAGTCCCCAGAGTACTTTTGGACTTTGGAGCAACCCTTACAAATGGCAAACTATTGTAAGTTGTTCAACTAATAATTATCAACATATTTTTCTATATCATGTATAATTTTATTTAAGTAGTGTAAAATTGGTTGCCTAGTAGTTGTTTTATGTAAGTGTTTCTTATTCTTATGTAATTGTTATTTTTGAAGGATTTTGGATAAGTTCTTTTCAATTTATGTGAATAAATTTATTAATACCTACATTGCGTAGAGGGAATTTGCAACTTTGCAATTTATAAAATTCAATAAATTTGCTAACCAATTTGGCAATATTTTTTATTTATTAAATAATATAATAAGTAAATCTAGGAATTCTAACAAGCGAATCCACTCGGTTGGTAATTACAGTAACTACCATTCTTGGCGCCAGTAATGGATACTCCGGACCAGTTGAAGTTTTCGCAGCCCTTGTCTCCGCAAAGAACGTACACAGATTGGCTCTCCGGACCATTCATGGTTCCGCGAACATTGGTCAACGTCAATCCGTTAACGGGGATGTTGCCCACCGGCGTGCCGGTGGAATGGCCGCTCCTGTAATCCTCCTGAAGATTGACTCCATAGTTGGTCAAATCCTGGAATTCTATGTTACTGTAGGTGACGTCGTTGATGTGTCCCGGCGCTCCGTTGGTGTGCGTCTTGATGTGGATGCCGTAGCGGGAATTCTTAACAACGGAGTTGCTGAATGTCACGTTGGACACTTGATTTTTAAATGAAGCACTCGTGCTGACTCCTACAGATAAACTCAAACCGTGACCGCCGGAACACTCCATGTTATCGACGAGCATGTCCGAGCCCGAATCGACGACAACGCAGTCATCTTGGTTTTTGACGACAGAGTTTTTGACTACTATGTTGCTCGATCTGGAAATGTCGAAACCGTCGGTGTTGTGGCCCAACAGGTCCTTATCACCTGCAGATACGTCTATGTTCCACCCGTCGACCGTCACATCTTCGCTGTTGAGAATCGATGTGCATTGTTTGGGGCAGTTCAAGAGGTGCATGTTGCTTACCGTGGAGAATTTCGCTTGAATTCTAAGAAATTTGGGTTTTTTGGTACCTTTGCCTCCTTTTCCGTCCCAATAATGGGCACCTTGACCATCTAGCGTAGCCCCGGCGCCATTGACAGTAAGATAATTTCCTTGTATGCGAATCATTGGACCTTCCCATTCTTTCTCGTAACCAAATGAGATCGTACCTTTAAACGTTAATGTGGTATGGTTTTTTAAGTGCAATTGCAGTTCCTCTCCTGATGGTACCGAAAGATTATCCACGACAATATTTGTACAGGCTTTATTTTTAATAACACTTTCCACTTGCTCGAACTGCGTTATTACACAATCATCACCGACGTTCTTGACATCATCCAAAGGAGTTGCCGCTGCATAGGCAGCTATAATTAAAAACAGGGTAAATTTAATATGCATCATTTTGATGCGGTATTAATTTGGTTAGATTCAAACTCAAATTTATAGCGAAAATGTAACTCACTTGAGTATAAAAATGAACTAAGATAAAAGATATTATTTTCAATGTATGTAAGTGGTTTGATTGTGATTTGAATTATGACGCAAGTAAAAAGATGAAGTAGGTATTGTTAAACAATTTGTATAAAGATAATTTAAATAATTGAGCAAAATTACAATTTTTAATTGAACCATTTATTAACAATTAAATCCAGTAGGTTTATAATTGCAATAATTTCCTTCATGACTACTTATGGATACGCCATTCCAGTTAAAATCAGTACATGAACCGTTTCCGCATAAGACATATACGCCGTAAGATTTGCTTCTTCCTGTAACGTTTCCAGTAACGTTAACCAACTTCAAACCTTCAATTAATATGTTATTACTCGGTTCTCCTGTTCCACCGGTCCTGCCATAATTTTGTTGAACATTCACCCCATACCTGTATATGTCTATAAAACGAATGTCACTGTACGTTACATTCCTAGCGAAGCCTTTGGCTCCGTCTTTGTGCGTTTTGAAGTGGATACCGTTACGAGATCTCTTCACGACGGAATCGTGAAACGTTATGTTCGACAGCTCGTTTTTGGACGAGTCGGTGGCGTTCAAGCCGACCGATAAGCTGAGTCCGTGGCCTCCCGAACATACCATTCTGGTGAAGTACATGTCGCTGCCGGAATTTACGGCTATGCAATCATCCTGGTTCACGACGGTGCTGTTGGAGATGATGATGTTGGTCGATTCGGAGATGTCGAAGCCGTCGGTGTTATGAGCGATTTTGTGAATATTCCCAGCGGAAACGTTGACGTGGAACGCGTCGAGCTCGAGACTACTGGAGTTGGTTATACTTACACAATGAATAGGGCAATTCAGCAGGGATATGTTAGTAAAAGTCGAGTTCCGGGCTTCTATTCTTAGGAACTTGGGCTTGCTTTTGCCCTTTCTTTTCCAGAAATATATCCCTTGACCGTCTAGTATAGAATCAGGTGCTCCTCGAATCGTCAATCCACTTCCTTTAATGGACAACAAGAACCCTGTCCAATCTTTCTCGTATCCGAATGAGGTGTTTCCTCTAAAAGTCAAACTCGCATTGTTTAGAAGATGCAATTCCAAACTCACTCCACTTGGTACTTTCAGATCTTCGACGATTACGTCAGTGCAATTCTTCACTACTTCATTTACTTGAGAAAACGATTTTATAACGCATCCTGATGCAGATATTTCCAACCAGAAAAATATAGTTAAAAATAAATGCATTTGCCAGCGAAACATGTTTAGGTAATAGCTAATTTTACCTTGATTTTGGTATGTGCTTCAAAAGCTAAATGCAGATGAACGGATTGATAAGAAACGATAGGTATGTATTATTGTGACGTCAATGCATATTCGAAAATAATTGATATTATTTTTAAACTTATCAAGTACCTAATAATTGTTTACTTGTATAGAAAGAATTCCAATGTTTTAAGTGCTAGATATTAATTTTTTGATGTTGATTTTTTGATTATATGATAATTGTTACATTAATTTAGTCTTAAATTCAATAATTAAATACTTTACGTAAATAACAGTTAGATATCTTAGGCAGGTGTAGTAAATTTATGATTCTTGTAAATGAAAATCGACCCTGAAATCGATGGGTGCGGATTTTTATCTCGTGTGCGTTCTAACAAGGTCTCCATCTTCGATGTCTACCTTAATATTATCGATTTCCAAAACCAGTTTGAACCCGGTAGTGACGAAAACTGGTAGTCGAAGACGCAGAAAAATAACGAGTAGTGGCCTTTGATTAAGTCTGCATTTCGTAAACTAATTAAGAAACGATTTTTACTACGATTTAACACGATTAATTCGTCAATGATAATAGGATATCCTACACGAAACAGCGTGTTTATGATAATTAACACGCGCGTTTCGATTGGAATTACATTATCCCACTTCTGAAAAATATTCTTTCCGTATTGCAAATTAACGGGGCTGGTAATTTCACGTAGATTGCAAAGTAACTGTTTACTCTAATGTCAAATTTAATCCCACAATAGTGTCCCTAACATCATCGTTGTTCTCGTTGGCCCGGTTCAAACATGCTTGACCTAGCGGCATTGTTATAGAGATAGCGCGAGCCGAAGTTAGCGAGATATTAGCAAGTTTTGACTCTATTGAAATGTCTTGGAATTAGCCGTGCTCGGATTGAGGCTCAGATGAATATTCAACGAGGGTTCCCCAGATGTGATTTTTCGGATAATCTTATTTCAGGGCGAGTAGATTGAAGTCGAACGGGAAAGACAAAGGTTTTATGATTACGGTCGTTCGATTTGCATTAAGCGGATTCCGTATTTAAAACAACGTGTAAACTAAATTTTTTTCTTTATTTCCTCTAATCCAAGTAAACATCACCTATCCTAGGTTTTATTACGTCGGCGTCGAAGCCAAATTGAATTTCGCCATTGCCATCACAATCAGATGGAGATTTATCGAGAAGTGAGCTGAAGTTTCGAGCTCATTCCAAGATCCCGGCTACTTTACAAAGTATATTACGTCAATTACGGTCGAAGTGGTTACTTCAGGAATCTCTTTGTTTGAGAGATTACTTTGGCATAGTAGTGGAATCGTCGCGTTCGTATAAAGTAGGTAGAACGTAAAGGGGTGTGGAGTACAAAGCGATATATATTATTAAAGACATTTCGGAGTCAATGCAATATCGAAATCATTTTTAATTATAAGGTAATATGAACATACCGTAATTTCCATATACTGTATTAGATGAAGCGTGTCGCAAGGTCAACCTTCTTATTCTTTTTTTGTTTCGACTAATATATCTTACCATCTCCTATTACCAACGCGTATCATCTATCAACGCATTCACTAACCAACGTAGGTATATAAATTCAGAAACAATACAATGAGTTTATACCAGTTTCTTCTACTCGCAAACACAACACAGACCTACAAGATGTTCAAATTGGTGGTGTTGTTCGCTATTGTCGCTGTTGCCTCAGCCAAACCTAGTTGGTTAGCTCCTGCTGTGTACAATACTGCCGTTGTGGGATCAGTACCGTCTACAATCAGCCAGCACGGTAGCAGCATCGTCCACAGTGCGGATTTGGTCAGTCCTGTTGTCCACACTGCTCCTGTTGTACACGCACCTATAGTACACGCGCCTGTTGTACGCACTATTCCTGCTGTAGCTGCTTACCATCACGCTCCTGTCGTTTCCGCCTATCACGCAGCACCAGCGGTTTTCATATAAATTTAATCGATGTTTTGTATTTCGAATGAGGCTATTTTAAATAAATTTTGTACCCATTAAGATTTTTGTTTCTTGTTTGTTTTAAAGGAAAATTTTTATGTGTAACTCATTTACAAATTAACGGAAAATACCTAGTTGAAAACTATTTCGAGTTTTCGAGCAGTTGAATTTTCGCTTTGTTTTCGTTATGAATTTATGCCGATATTGATGAAATGATTTTGTTATGAACGAAAATCAATTATTCTCCGCTTTTCGGAATGGAAGTTTAAACTTCGATGCTTCGAGAAACTTCGTGCAACATATCGTAATTGAGGAAGTTAGGCAAATAAGGGTGCAACGACGAAATGCCACTATAATTTTCCTGCATGATTTATGAGTTGATTGTTTTTGTAAGTGTAGGTACAGATTGGTGAACGTGTAAAAAGTATCTACTAATATAAGAGGTTCTTCAAAATTGCGCAAAGATGGTTTAATATCCATTCCACACATATCATAATTTAATAAATCCTTGTGATACTTTTATTGTAGTAACAATGAAGAAAGATTCTGCTCAGTCAAGCAATCAAATTCGTGTTTTTCACACAAAAAACAACGATTTTTTTTTCAAATTATGCATCTTATCTCGAGCATTTTTCGTAATTGTGTCGCCCATTCGAAGCGAAATAAAACCGGTACATCTGGTTGAGAAGGCCGTTGTTACAATTTTAAAAAGTATAATCGCTGCATTTTTTTCATGTAATCCCATTAATGCTTGGCATTAAAAACGAGACCTCAATTATTCAACTGCTTCAAGTTGAAGGTTAAGGCGAAAAAGCGAGAGTGAAAGGTGCAAGAGTTAACGACCCGAATCCTTTATTCAACTTAACTGCATGCGTAGGTACACATTGATTTATTGTATACGCAGAGCTAAACGCTCGTTAATTTTAAGAGTTGTGTATTATTAAACGCTTGTCCCCCCGAATATATTTAGCATAAACATTTTCTTGTATGGTCACCAGGAAATATTCTTAATAATTTCGAATAACAATAAATCATCCCTTCGTTGGGGCGTTCTTGCTCAGATACGTCCATCACTTTTTGGATCCCTTTATTTGTAACTATAAAATATGCACCCTCTTTTTTTCCAGTGGGACCGAGCGGAAAAGCCGGGCGGTCCTTCTTTTTGGATATGGTAAAAAGAAAATAAACGAATATTCGCTTAAACGTTTTTCCTGATGTATTCCCGTCAAAACGGGAAGTTCCCGGAAAAGTTAACCCGCCGATTCCTTTTTGAAAGACTCTCTTTCACGACGAATTTTGCAAATGCGAGAGAAATGTTAATTCTCGTCCGAAGTGAAATTTTCAATCGATGGAAAGAATGTTTGATGAAGGAACTCGCACTTTGGATTTTTTAGACATTAGATATAATTATTGTTTGCACGATCTAAGAGGTATTAAATTAAAAAGGGTTGTTTTTTTTAGGGGTTTTTAAGGGTTTTATACAGGCAGTTTCTATAAATATCAAAGTGACGTTTAAGTAATGAAGAGGGGTGATTTTTTTGGTGCAAACTGGTTCATAGATTTGTAGGATTTTATAGTAAACAGTTTATTCATATGAGAAAATAGGAATAACTTTATTTCCATTTGCTACACTGCAGTAGGAAACCCCCTATATGTATATTTAATTGCATTTTTGTTAATTATTTTTTATACGCTCCAATTAACGTTCTTCGACAATGGGACTGGCGAAATACATACATCGAATTTCAGCCTTGTGAAAGGTACTTACGCATCGAACTCAACCTTGTTCCAAGGTTCCTAACTAAACCGAAGCAGGAAAAAAGAATTCGTCGTCGCAACACGCGTCACCCACCGAATTTTTTTCGCCGTCTTCAAGATATAAATACCGGAGGGAACCAGTACTCAGCATCAGTCAGTTTGTATACTCGCAACACAGACCTCTTTAAACAATCAAAAATGTTCAAATTGGTGGTGTTGTTCGCTCTCGTAGCCATGGTTGCTGCCAAACCCAGCGGTCTGTTCGTGGAGACCTACAGCGCTCCGTTGGTGCACGCAGTTCCAGCGGCAGTCAGCCACACCTACAGGCAGGACGTGATCAGCAAACCCGCTGTGGTGGCGTACTCCGCTCCTGCTGTGGTCCACGCTGAGCCCGTTGTACACGCTGCGCCCATCGTCCACGCCGTTCCTGCTGCTGTTAGCTACAGCCACAGAAGCGATGTTATCAGCAAGCCAGTTATCGCTGCCTACAGCGCCCCGGTGTTGGCTTACTCGTCTCACCCATGGTAAACAGAGGACTGATGCAGATTGGTGTAATTGAAATTTATCAGTTTTTTTTTCTGCTTTGATTTCGGCAAATATTTATTCGAATTTTTTTTTTATAATAAATCACAATTAATCTGATTTTGGAATTTTATTTTCGGTGTTCTCGTGCAATTTATGTTGCAGTGGGTAGAAATATGGGTACAGGTATAAATATGAATTATTCCTAATTGGAGTAATATATCTACTATTGCAGGAAATATCTGTAATGGTATTGAAAAGATTGATGAAAGTTTGTAAAATTGGAACTTTAAAGAAAACAGTAAGTAAATATTAATATTATCATTATTATAATACTATTACTATTAACACTGTTTTTAAAATAGATTGATTCTATTCTAAAGGATTTAACAAAAAATTGGCAATGTCTTAAATTATACTACATACTTCTGTAGGCAAAATGCCATATAATAAGTTACAGCCTGTTTAAAGTGCTAACTGAAAATCGTTTTTTTTTTTCCGTTTTCATTAACTCCAAAAGTATTCCATAAATTTTTAAGTTTGGCACAATTCTTATACTTATATGATTTTTATTATACAAGGTAGTAAAAAAGTGTCACAAAATGAAATAGGAGGGTAGTGTGGTTCAAATAATTCAGAAATACTAATGTTGTGCCAATTTGTGACATTAGGGCCTTCTCAAACTATGACTCCTCATTTGCAAGCTTTTTTTAACAGAAATTTAATGCAATAAATAATATTATCCTCTAATCACATTTATCTGCAAAATCTGTAATAAAACAAAAGGGTGCGAAGTTTTGCAGTCAAGTTGATTTTACATAAAAAATGCGATACCCGGATAATATTATTTATTGCTCTGAAGTACTAATCAATATAGCTTTCTAAAATGAGGAGTCACACTTTGAATTACGTAACAATTATTGTTCACCCAAGAGGTCGCTAAAATTGAAATTTGAGAAGTCAATATTGGTATTGCTGAATTCTCCATAAAATTACTTTTTTTAAAAATAAACAATACTTGGTACTTTCCTTTTTAAATTATAAGGATCTTTACCTCTCACCGCGATGGTTAATGTATTGTTGCTTCAATTAGGGTAGAAAAGTGTTTCCCTTAAAACTAAAATTGACGTGTCTGAACGTTTATTTTAAATGTCGATACAGCTCATGATATTGTCCTTTTTCCTTTTAAAATTACCGCCCTTTCTCTTGCTCTACAGCCCAAACGGCTCATTTGCGGACACATGTTTATAAATACTTTTCTACTTATTTTGGGACATACTACCCCCCATTTCATTTTGGGGCACATTTTTAACACCTTGTTCAAAATATAATTTCCCTCTATTTTTCTCTATCTTAACTCTGGCCTTAGATATCAAAATAATAATAAATATTAAATATTCTCCAGGAAAATAAGAACAAACTACAGGGTGGTCGATAAGTCGCTTTACCGAAGTAAACGCGCTAGTAGATTCGGAGTCGATAAGTTTCGTCGTTAAAGCGACTTATCGGCCACCCTGTTTGAAAAAATAAATATCGACGAATAATTCAAAAGCCTTATACATTTGGTAAAAATGTAAGATTGGTTTTATTTGAAATTAATAAATTTTTGTTTGTATATTTTTTATAAATTGGGTCGTTCATCCATTTCTCAACTCTAATTGCCTCTAATATCCCCTTACAAACTCAAGTGTTTTTCACATGCACATCATTATTTTTGTTGATAACAATACTAATCCAACTTCGTTTATTTTGACTTAAATAACTTCAACATTCGCAGGAAAAGACTTTAAAAAGTAGATACTTTTAGCGCTTGTTTGTTCAATTTTTTACTCTTTCGGGATCTCTTTAGGTCCAGGCTATTTTTGGTTGAGTGGTTAGATGCTAAGTGGTTAGGTGTTTTGTCCAAACAATTTATTTTTTTGGATGTGCCTTGCAATCTGGTAAAGTTGCAAGATTATAAAAATCAAACTATATTTTAAAATATGTCTTCATGTATCCCCTAATAGTTAAAGAAGAAATAGGATCAATCATTCCATTGGATCCTACTAATGGACTGCATTTACCATCCTTTATAATGAACTGTTATCATTTTTTTTAATTCAGTTAAGACGACAATATTTAATAAATTACACTTTATTATTATTCCATTTTATAAAAGTAAATAAGTACAAATTATATTAAACAGTTACTCTTCACCAAGCGTGCACGGCCGGCACGTGAGCAGAGTACGCCCAAACAGGAGCACTGTAAGCAGCCACGACGGGCTTGCTGATGACATCGCTCCTGTGACTGTAGCTAACCGCAGCAGGAACAATCTTGTGGACAACAGGAGCGGCTACAATAGCTGGCGCCGAGTAAGCAGCTATCACAGGCTTGCTGATGACGTCTTTCCTGTAGGAGTGACTGACCGCCGACGGTACTGCTACCACCGGTAGGCTGTAGGATTGCACCACAGGAGCGCTGTGTAACCACCCGCTGGGTTTGGCTACTGCGACGGCCACGACGGCGAACAACACCACCAATTTCAACATGTCGATAAAATAGGTCTGTGTTGCTGGTAACAGAGAACTGATGTCGATGTCCGCGTATCGGCGAGCTTTTATACCATTCTAGTGGATGGAAATAGGAACGTACACCCATTAACTTAATCAGATCATGACGATATTAGCGCAATTTCTTCGAATCGTTCTTTCCTGATTCGAATTTCGAAGCGGACCTTGATTCAAGGTGACTATCTAGTTCAGTGCTGCTTGCGATAAAGGTTAACGGTTGCATAAAATCTAATATGGGTATTCCTCATTATCGATTACGGATTACAATTTATTGTCACGCATTCTACTTGTCTCTTCTAATTAAGGATTTACATAATAAACGCTATTAATTGAATTTGCCATATTCAGCAGTTCGCTTTAGTTGAGAATGCTGTAAATCAATGCTGTTGTCAATCAGATCAATGTTGAAATAAAAGAATCCTTCGCGTGATTAATTTAATTAAAAAATGCATATTCTAATGAGCAATTGTAAAGGCAATGCGAAGCAAGCAGTTAGTAAAAGTTAATAAAAAAATAAAGACCTTAAAGAAGACCTTAAAGCTTTTCTATGATCTAGATTATGTACATATGTAGTTGGTACACTAATAGGAAATAGCCATTTTTCAAAAAAGGGTAAAAGAAATACAGAAAGACGAAACTTTTGTCTACGATGGAATGATATCTGTATTGATGATGTCACAAAATAAGTAATATCCTCTTCCTGTTTTTACTTTTATTTTTTTGCGTAGATACCAAGGTCATTGAATTATTAGGAAATTAATAAAATTGATTAGTAGATATACTTTTTAATTAATCATAAGTAGGTAAACTACGTTGTTAATATGCAATTTGGATACATTTCGATTAATACTAATTATGCGGATGCTTTTTTCATGGTTACATAGTAATAAACTGAATATTAATATCCACCTAGATACTTCAATGCAATTTTTAAAAGTGGCACTGATCGGCAAGACATAATTTAAAAGAATTCAAGGCACCATTGTCTACCAATAAATTCCTGCAACTTTAGTTATATATTTTTTCAGCGGCAACGAAAAGCTTCATTCCTGCAATTGTAACCGCATCGGGCTCCGGGGTCTGATATCTGCGTAACTGCATCTCATTATTCCCAACAGAAGTGTCCATTAGAACAAAACATACATACTATTATTCTTAACACGAACCATTTACCGCCGCTAACTGGGTACTCAGCTCACGAAAATTCGTTGTATTTCGTCTCATTTCATTTTCCGCGCGGCGTCACTGCAGAAATGTCGCGCGCAGTATTGTACTGGCAAAGAGTATCTTGCAAATTTTTTGCCGCCGAAACTTTATTTCGTGCAAGTTTTCTATATTTTTCACGTTTATTTGCATAATGCATAATATGGATATGTGGAAATCGATATGAATTTTCCAATTCCGGTTCCAGGCTTCAGTTTGTGTACACGCAGAGTTGCCGATGGTTATGTTTTTCAAAAATGTATCCATGATATCCAATCAGAAATTATGTTTTTTACTATATTATGTATCCAGCTGCCTTACCAACCGGTCCTGTTTCTCGAAATGTTTCACAAAAATGGCGCAATACGAATTTATTAGTCACTTTATGGCCGAGAATGAGGAAATTTTCGTTGTTGCTTTGAAATTAGGCAAAATTTCGTGAATTAGACTAGACATTCACTTAAATGGCACTTATATACGAATTCTCCAGATTTTAATCTTAAGTTATAAGTCGGCGAACGCTGGCGAATGTGGGTTAATTTCTGGGTTAATGGATAACATTTTAAATGGATTAGAAATTATGATATAGAGATATTCTTTTCATGTTGCAATTTTGCATCGAGTAAATAAGAATTTTATATGCCTTCATGTTTTTTAGGAAGTACTTTTTTTAAATGAAAACCTACCAATTATTTTTTTACGGTAAAAAAATTGCCTGATTTTTTTATACGCAAGGTTGAAGCTCGCACGTACTACGTTTACAATTAAACTTTTGCACTTCCGACGCCTCGGGTTCTATTAAAAATTCATCTTCTCGTTCAATGCGATCTCGGGAATAAATTAACGTTAATTTAATTAAAAATGCCTAATAGAAAAAGTTATTTTCCGTTATTTATATAAAACGAAACGCTTTGTGGGTTTAGGTGTGTTAAAATTTCCAAAATTTTATTCAGCTTCGAGAATATTTCCAGGACTAAACAAGGGGAGTGTAAGTTGGTTAAGATAATACTAAATAGTAGGAACATTAATACGTAAATTAAATATTGTAGGAAAGGACTGCGTTGGAAAATGGGTCACCTTCTCCATTCAGATTTGGATCAGAATTTGCGCGAAGAGCGATAAGCGACCGCCCGTAGATTAACAGCGATAAAGTGATGTCGTGTACCTACTAGGCGAAGGCAGCATTTAGACGTGTAGGATTAGTGATAGAGACTCTCACCAAATCTCATTCGACAGAATACTCTTTTATTTTCAATATACCTACTAATCCATTATAGTAGCTCCGGAAAAATCATTACTATTCGATTTATAACGAGTAATAGTATAATACAAACAGATCGTTTCAAAATGTGACTTCAAGTGAATGAACTGGAAATTTTATAAAGAATACCGTGTCTACTACAGGGGATATGCCTCTATTTATGTAAGCATCGTGATAAAATCTACACAAAAACATTTTGAGGAAACCTGAAGTGAATTTCAATTGCGGAATGGAAATTCGCTCGCGGTGAAATTTATAGTGTAATTATACTAGGGATATCCGGGGATAATTTTCTGGAACTGTTGCCTCAAAATATGCTACTTTGTACTATTAATTTAATTCGAATTTAACATTACATCACATCACGTTTTATATGAAATTGGTGTTTTAATGCAATCAATGAATAAATTATAACTGAACAATGTAAGAGTAATAATTAAAACGTGGCGATGAAACAATTAATTAGGTGGTAATTAACAAACAACTATTGAAAAAAACGAAAGAAACGCCAGTATGGGACAATCAATTTAATTGTAATCGAAACAATTCATTCCCGGCAATTAATTTTAATTATCCATTCGAAGTTTTAATGCAACTCGCCGAATTCCCCACGCAACTTCGACGGGCTAATTTGCAATCGATTCAATTACGCGTCCCATCAGGGAAACTTCTCCCGACCGGGTTTTCCGCCGAAAAACGAAATTCTCTTTCTTAACAGTGCATTAGTGGCGCATAGAAAAAAACGAATTCACTCCATTGATTCAAGTTGAATTTCTAAGTGAGTTTTTTTGTCTCGCCAGCGGCGTTGCGCAAAAAATTTCCCTCATCAATGGCATAACTTTAGATTTATACCAAATTAACTACAATAGTGTATGCTGTAATTGAGTAATGTGATAAAAGTTTTGTTTACAATGTAGTTGTGTGAGAATACAAGTTAAATTTTGTGTTTTCATTAAGTACCCTGTCTCTGGTTCGTTCGGTGTGATTGGGTCGATAGGGGTCCTTTTTTTATAGCAGGAACGTGCCAGTCGAAGGTCGAGAATATCTTCGAACTCCCTTTTGATTTTATTACGATTTTTAAGTCGACATTACGTCGGGAATTCAACGTGAAGGTAAAGAATGAACGCGAAAACGTTCGAAAAGGTGTCATGTCCGTTAGTGAAGTGTTAATATTTAAAGAAGTCGAAAAACGTTTTCTGGAAATTGCCTCCATCCGAAGAAGGGAAAAAATAATAGAGAATTATATCGAAGGGATCTTTTAGTGATATTTATAGATAACACTCTGAACGAGTAGGCAAATAATTGACTCAAAGACATAACCTAACAGTTCGCATTGACAATAATGACGCGGAGAATTTCAATGCTACCGATTTAAGCCCTACAAAAGGGGAAATTATTACACCGGCTGTCACTTACACAAAACGCGTTGTTTGCTCCCTCAAATCCATAACGAAACATTTATCAATTCGGAGTAAGTAGTGCATTAAAGTTTAGCGGCTGTCTGGAGCACACATAAAGCGTAAGGAGCTAACCGGCCGGGCTTATTTTACACGAACCCGGAGCGAATTCTCTTTTAACTTTCACGAAGCACCGGAAGTGCATTACTTTAACAATTCGTTATAGTTAACTTCTCGACGATGCATACTAATGAGCCAGAATAAATATAGTTTAAACTTTTCTAAAGGAGCTTTAACATAGTCAAACGCAACGAAAGTTACGTACAATGTAAACGAGAACTAGCAGTTAAAGACTTTATTAATTAACAAGTAATTAATTAATGATGGTAAATAAATTTAGAAAATCTTGGTGGTTCTTTAAAAATGACTTGATTTACAGTGATAATTACCTACTAAAAGTGATTGTTTGATAAATTTACGGAGGGAAATTCGCGTTTGGATGTAATTGGTGGGAATTTTTTCCACGTTAATTAATCATACCGAAAATCAGAAACTTCTGGGAAATTCTGGTTGGGGACTGGAACGAGTTTTCTATTTAAAAATTTATTATTTTACCAACTTCGTTGAAAATTACAGTATTCCCTACGTTTTGCGTCCAATTAGAAGTTTAATCTGCTTAATCTCGAATTAGATTTTCACGGGAAAAGTTGGGTTTTCATTCGGATAGTTTCGCGTTAAATAGAGGATATTTCGACGGGATGTACGTAGACACTGTGAGAGATTTAAAAAGTTTACATTATATTAGGGTTCCGATTTTATTTTTTCTATAGGTATAGAGCTTGCATAAAAATGGAACAAATTTCGAAACTAAGTCGGCTAATTATCATTCGGTAAATCTTTTACCGGTGTTTATACAAGTTAAGTTTCGCGCGGGCATCATAAAAACCGAATAAAGTAAAACTTCGTCTGTCGTTATCCCTCGAGACTACTTTTACACCCTCGTGAAACGCCCTCGAATAAACAACCACTTCAGCTATTTTCTCCTAAAACTTAGGGGCTTAAAAGGAGGCGAAAAAGATATAACCAACTTCCATTGCATTCCATTCACGTGCTTATCTGATTCTTTTTACGTATGACTACGGAAGTAATTGCGAAAACTTAGATTAGTTGTTCAATTTAGTTATCGGATTAAAGTGTTCGACTTTAATACAAAAATGAGAAAATTTTGGAAAGTTTTAAAATGGCTATGCTCCTTTATCGGATTTGTTTTTCTTCGTAAACGGATACACGTATTTCAAATGCCTTAAATTCACACTAAACCTCTGTAACATCAACATTATTATTTTGTAAACAAAATAACGTAGCGAAACACATGCATATGTCCTGTGGAGTAATCGTAATTTTAATTAAAAGTTGGCGCTTTCGCGCTGCTAATTAAAACAAAAGTAATTAAGCAGTTTCGATGAATAGTTGTTCGAATATATGAGAAATTTATGCGAAACATCGCATTAACCAAACGAGCTCCGGAGAGATATAAAGTTCGTCCCGAATTTTACAAAATCGATATGGCGGATTTTTGCGTTTAGTTTCAATCGTTGCTAAGTTATTAAAATTTAATTTATCGCCTGCGAACAATGGACATTATCTGCCCGAAAAACTATTCGAAATTACCCGGCTGGATTTTACGGTGAGATGAATTTTTTGGCAGGGCGTGAAATTAGGAAGATAAGGGTTGACAGTTTAAATTTCTTAATACCCATCATACAATTTATGGGTAAATTGAACAAATAATTACCCCTTGCTTTACTCGGCGCTTAGGTATAATAATATAGATGAGTTTTTAGGGGATTTCTAAAGAATTCTTGCGGAATTAATGTATATATTTTTGTCAAAAAATTTCTTAGGGTAAATTCCAATGATTTATTAAAAATGTTTAGGAAATTTTATAAGATTTTAAATGAGAAGACCGTTAGGTATAATTAAGGGTTTTTTTTGAAGTTTTTTATTAACCTGTAAATAACTGCCAGTGTACAAGAAGAAAAATAATGAGACTAACTTGCTCTTTCACTCATGGCTGAAGGTGAGTAATTTTTACCCGCGATCGTTGCGAAACAACCCCCGGCTAATTCCGCCCGGAACGGATGAATGGCCATTACTTCTAATAAATTTCACATTTAGACCCTTCGCTTATTTACGATTATTAACACTGGCATTAATTCGGGTTCGGATGCGAAATATTAATAATATAAACAAAGATGTTTAGTCGAATAATTACCCGGAGCCCTTTCGAGCTGGCGAATAAACTAATTAACCGAGTGGTTTCGGGGTCGTTGTCTCATCGAAATTCGGATTTCCTTGTTAATAAAACGGATTTACTTCAGCGAATTTTTTATAGGTATTTCCTATTACTACAATTAAAATTTGATACAGTTGTGCTAAAAAAAAATTGAAACTAACAAATTCACATTGAAGTATGTGCAATAAGTAGTGGTGGTGGTAAAAGAGTTTAACATACGACCTGAAAAATTCCCGTCACATATGCAAGCACTCGTCCCGACCGAACTAGTTCCTTTGGGGCCAGCGAAAGAATTTCCGAGACCGCCGAGATTCTTATTGCTGTTCCGTTGCAAGACCGAAAGTTCGGGAGTTGCACTTCCGCCGCGCTCGGAGGCCGGTAATTCGCGCTGCAAAAATTCCCAGTCGCGGGCGCATGCAACTTGGAGAGCGTCGCGACGGCGGAACGGCCAGTAGCCGTCGAATCGTGTCGCAGGAATCGCGTCCTGAATCTCGCTCCTTCGCTAGGCGGTTTCCGTCGTCGAGTTCGTGCGCGTCCGTTGCGGGGCGGATGGTTCTTTGCGAGGAAACTCGAGTTTTCGAATTTTGGTATTTTTAGCGAGCCCCGCGAATTTTGGTGGTAATTTTATTTTTTGGCGGAAGCGCCGTTGTTCTATACTGATATGATTTGGTATCATTACTATAATTAATAATTAATTATATCTCTATTAGATATAGATATAGAACCTTAGGTAGATACCTACTAATGCTAATTAAATATTTTATAAATATTAGGTACCTATACATTTCTTATTACTAGGTTACCAGGTTTTTTATTAGTATCAAAATATTCCTTTGTTTTCTTGCATATAACCTATTGGCCGATTTCATAAAATTATTTTTCTGTCTACTAAACTACTCTATATTATTAAGAAAATAGTTTAGGGAGTTTTAGAAATAGCATTTAACCATAAATAATATACTACCCTTATTACGCATTAATGAAGCGGCCAATTATTTCCTCAATTTGATCGAACAAATCGGAATTAAAAAATATTAATTAATTTCTCCTGAGAAATCAACTATTTGAAGCATAATAAATCGTAAACTTAACCAAAACTATGGAAGGATTTTCATACTTGTACCTTTAACTAGCAGATGCCTATAGATACTTAATCGTTTGACAGTTTTATCTCCAATAATATTCCCGTCTAATTTATTTCATAACATAGCGATTTTCGCCTTGCAATTTTTACCCTTTGTCCTGTAATTAAAGTGGATTTTTCCCCTTACGAAGAAAAAACACCAATTAATTTTCTTTGACGCCGACTTTCGCCGGAAACTCTTTAACGGAAACCCTATAGGTGCTTCTAAACTTCGTTCATTACTTCAATCTGAAGGCTATCAGTAACAGTTTAGAAACTTTTTTATTGGTTAACGAAGGCGATCAGTGCGTTTGAAAAGCCGGTATCCGGTCGGGACGCTTCAAAAGGAAGCCCTTATACGAGGAGTTTATTAGACGGACCTCCTCTCAGGGAAAGTTAAGTTGTGCGCCCTACCGCAGTTCAACCACACCTGTTGGTCGGTCGGTTAAAATGCTCGGTTAGTTGATTAATCGGCTGATTACGAAGTTTCATTGTTCTCATTATTATTAACTTAAATACAAACAATTTTCTAAAACTTTTAATTAACATAGACGTTTACTTATTAGAGTAGTAATTTATTACCTACTAAATTAGAAGTAGATTATGGTATAAATTTAACATTCTTTTCACTGTTTTAAAGCTTGTTTTAAGTTAACAAATCCCACCGAAATAATTCGTCTTCTTCTACCGCCCCTACCTTACAACCCGCTCAAATAACGCCCGTAATACGAATTAAGATTAATTCATTGCGTTAGAAACTTTTTAAGATACTTATCTAACCTCCCTCTCGTCATTTACAGCTGGTAAAACGCCCGTTCGTTTCGACTGGAAACTCGCAACACGCGAATATCCTTCTTGAACTCAAACGCCACGGTTGTCGCTATTAAGTTTTCCAACGGTCGGAAACTTTTCTTATTAAAGCAGATAATACCTTTGCCTAAGCGAATTTTCAGTCTCTTGTAAAACGTAACTGCTCGCCGTCCTGTAAAATAATTTGCATCTGCTTAATTTCGCCCGGTGTACCGGCGCTCTCTCCGCCGGACGAAATTTAGATTTTCTTTATACATTGGATGAGGGCGCGATTACCATATTTTAATTTCGAATGGCGAAAGAATTTACCAAATCCGGTGCCAATTTAACGAATTCGACACGTTAGATTTAATAAATTGAAAAGTTTCCGATGGAGCTCGGCGGGAATTGTAAAAAAATTAATTTCGACTCGAAAAAAAAATCCAGAACTCGTCGGCTAACTTTCCCGTTTGGCGCGAGGAGATATTTTCAATTCCGGAATCGAAGCTCGGGATAACAATCTCCGGCACTTTCCGAACTATTATTGGCGGTGCGGCGAGATTCAAACTACTTATTGGAAATCAAAGTCGACTGGAGTCTAATTACGTCAAATGAAGTGGTTTCTCGAACCAGCCCGAGCAAAATCTACCAATAGCAAACTTACTACTACTATAGTAACTTTCAATACTTTATCTACCGTGTAATGTGTGTTCATATGGTGCATAGTTTTCGAGGCTAAAACAAATTCAGTTCATAAAATACCGAAAGGCGTGCATTTTCCGGGTTCGAAATGAGCCATTAAGCGGGCGGCGCGTTTAAAACGACAAGGAAAATATTTATTTTACACCTACGTACGATAAACGCGATAATTTATTCAAGTGGCGAGATAAGCTCGCCGGAGAGCGTCCATTTGGCTAAAAGGACGTGTTTAATTCATGGGTCAAAATGCACAGCGAGCTGTTCCTTGGGAGTTTTAGGACGCATGCATATGGAGGAAGAGGCCCCGAACGCTGCGATAAATAGCGTTTGGATTAATTGGATTTTTTTTTTGTTCTCGTCACATTTGTCGTCGATTCGACGTCGAAATGCAATTCGCGCGGAACTCGCTCGGCGATGAAATAAGTCGAACGAACGATGAAAATTTTCGCGGTGTCGATGTCGCGCCGATCGAACGCGCTCCTTCCATCGAAAATTACACAAACACCGCGAGGATTTTATGCAAAGTTTCTCGCGATGAAGTTTCCCGCTATGTTTGACAGTCCAATTTAAAATGTAAATTTCGAGTGCGGCGAAGTGGCAAATTGTACGCGGAAAAGAACTCAGTCCTGGCGAATACGTTTTCAGTTTTAATATGGGCTACTTTGAAGCTTTTTTTCCTGTAAGTTGCTTTAATTAAAACGTCGCGTTAAAAGAGTTTCGGATAACTTCAGCGCCGCGAAAAAAGGAGATTTTCGTTCGCTAATCCGGAGGAATTTCCGTTTGGGGAGTAGTTGTTCGCGAAAATTGCGAGATTTATTTTAGTTTGTAGTCGGGATTCAATTGCACATACATACCGACATTCCCTTAATTCTATTTAGTGTAACTCTTATTTAAAAAAATACTCCCTTTAGCACGTCTGTTCAAATATTTTTTTAGTTGATCAGTGCATCTGTATTAAAGTTAAATAAATATTTTATATTGCACAGAATAGGTTTATGGACAATTAAAAATTTATTGAATCAATAAAACATCCAATATTCATTAATATTTCATTTGAATAGGTTTATCTGACCGCTAAATGGAAATTTAAAATCCATTATTGCAGGGGTGTAGAGTTGATTCAAAACTTTGATAAATCAATTTGATTAGGTATTAGTACAAACTTAGATTTGCTAAATAATCAAAATTTGGCAAATCAATTAAACCGATAATTTGGTTCTATAATTTTGATATCAATTGCAAATATTTTAGGTTACAGAAATTGCCAATTAAAATTCACTGAAGCTACGTTAGTGGGCTATAAAATACCAATTCGATTTCGATCGGTATAATTTTCGCGGAAAAAAAATTTACCTATTAAACGTGCAATCGACATTAGGATTTGTCCATTTTAGTAATTAATTTTACCGAATAATTCAAAGTGATGTGAATATTTTATGGCGAACATGTTTACCCAAAAATGGTGGTGCATTATTGTTGGATATTTCGTATTGGATTCGTCGTTTGGAATTAAGGGTGAGTGGATTGTGTTTATTTATTTTTGTGGCAGTGAGTGGAGCGAAAGCGAGCGTCATTTTTATTTTTATTTTAGGTGTTTTTATTTGAGAGTGATTTTAGTATTTTTTCATAAATAAAGAGGATTTAGTAATTTCTGCTATCTGCGCTTTATTTTTTGATTTATTGATATATGAACCATATTTTATATAACGAGAGTTGGTGTAGGCAAAATATAGCTATATAGAGCTATATTTATTTAAATAAAAAAAAATAATTGGTGGAGGGAAATGTGTATTTTTTATCTTTGACTGTTTCATCTAATTCCAGTAGTTTCCTCTGCTTCCTGCGTATTTTGAAACCAATTATTGACAATTTTAAAGGGTAGAATTTGCTGAATTTTCCTACTCTTTTTTAGGAAATTTCCAATTATTGGAATAATCCCGATACACAAGTAATATCTCACCATTTTCGAAAACCGGAAATTGAAGTTTGCTTTGCCATCGTTTCAGCATTAGATAATGGAATAAACATTCCCATGCGCGTTTTCAAACAATAATATCTATACAATTTTCATGATTTATCCAATAATATAATCCTATATTTTCACTGTATTAAATACATTTTGATTTCTCGACTTCAACCATCAACAATTTTATTAATATAATTATATTCATCACACACTTTCTTCATTGCACTCGTCTTGTCTAAGATGATAAAATTGACAAATTACTTCCCGAGAAGTATTTCCTTCGGGCGTAATTCGTCGCCCGGAAGCATAAAAACCCCGTCACTCGAGATTCCTCTTATTAGCCGATTTCAATTAACGGAGGTTCGGTCTCGCTTCCATTCCGATTTTATTCTTATCATTTCCCGTCTTATTCCGCGAATTAAGAGTTAAAGTATTCCGATTGCAATAAGCCGATTTCGGTTTTCGCAGCGCGACGAAATTCCTCTTTGAATGCGGAATCCAAATGAAGCGTCGCCGCGCTTTTACATGCACATTCTCGCTTCTGTTCGACGTCGGGATTTCCCCGCCGAAATGAGAGAAAAATAAAAGAGCCGGAATGGGCGAAACTGGTATTGGAATTTTTTAAGAGGATTAATTCGGCTCGATGTCGATGACTTTACAGTTAAATTTACCTGCATATAGGACAGATTACTTGGTATTAAAGTAAAGAAACTATACATATAGGAAATTTTCCGAACAGATTTGCATAAAAAGCGTGGGAAAGTTTCTGCGGATTAATCACGGAATAGAGATTTATTGTTGTCGAATTTAAATGTGTCCAATTTCGGAAAATTCGCTTTTATTAGCTGGGAATCTTCGATGAAATGTACGGGACGGTTTTAAATCCAATCGGGACGATTTCCGTAGATTTATAGACAGTTTTCGGGCTCGAGTTCGACTAGATGTTTACATTTGTCGACCGGAATTCGATCGAAATCGACGATGACCCGATCACGATTACAGAGCAAATAGCCGTTCCATTAATTTATTAGCATGTTATATTACGATATCGACACGCTGTAGCGACTCAATCGAGTTTTTGGGCTCATCTAACATCCAGCGGAAGTGCGGTTTTGTAATAGAAGTATTCGATTTCATTTACGACTTCCCTGTTTGATAGCCCTTTCGAAACGCAATACGCCGGTGAGGGAAATCACGGAATATCGCTGTAAAACATTACCAGGCGTTAAACGCTCCCTGAAGGACTTCCGCTGTTACGATGAGGAGCGGTTGGAGTGGAATTTATCGGCGGATTGGGTTCGCGTGACGACGACGCACCAATTCATTTAAAAGAAAAACACTCGGGAAAACGAGAACAATTCCGTTGTGGTCACTTTGTATTTAATAGACGGTCGTTCGGAAGGTTGATGGGCTAACGTTTCTAACTTCCCAGAGAAGGAAGGTTTATTAAAATTTATGGTAAAGTGTTACACATGCATACACATACATCAGCTAGTATTATTTTAATCGATATTGCTAATATTTGCATTAACAGACGGAACATAAAAGCGCCAGCTTAGTTTATTTTTACAACTAGCAGAAATTGAGTTAAAATGTTTAACTATGGTTTTTGAAATCATACTACGTAAAGTTAGTGTAAACGCTAAAATTATAGTCGGTACATTTTTTGATCCAAATAAAAACCCTGGATGTTTTTGTTGCATTACATGTGCACCTATCAAAAAGTCCATTAATTCTCACAAACCCTAAAACAATTTCTACTACAGCGCGGCTAAAAACAATTTGTTAGCCGATTCGTCAACGTTAACAATGTTACAATGTCGTTTATTTATTATTTGCATACGTGCCTTTCCTGCAGAGGGGCAGGAACAACATAAATTTCTCGTTTATACATATACTCTCCGTATAAACGTAAATAATTTAACTGAAGATTTAACGCTTTGCCTGCCATTAACGATTTTAGTGAATATTTGGTAACCCAGTTCATTAAGATTTAATTGTCATTGAAGGTTTTATTAAATTAGCGTTATTTTCTCTACTGATATTCGAATAAATAGATTTCGTGACGTTTCAGTTAATTATTATTAATTAAGGGGGAAAAAGAGCCGAACAAAGGGAAGTCGTGAACGTTTCCTATCGAAATAAATTTCGTCGTCTTCTACGACGCGGAATTAAAATTCGCCGAGCGTTCGTAATTTCGTTAGAAGAATATCCGGATGCTGCTTCGATGACGATTACTTTTTCACGAATGTAAATGATATTTGAACTTTCGATATTTCGTTAAATCGATTAGGATATAACGAGATACGCCTAAGAAACGCGAGCGAAATTTATCCCCTCGATTATGCAGCTTTTTTAATTGAAATATACGGGGTTGTTCCGGTAAAATCGTCTTCGGTATGTCATCATATCAGAAAGAACAGTCGTTCTTTAAGGTTTAAATCGAGTAAAAAAAATTGAGGTGTATATTTTCCGGGGCACTACCTGTCTATAAAAATCCACCCCTAAATCAAACTAATGGTTTTTCGCGTCATTTCATCCAATGCGCTTGGTTTTCCCGCTATATCTACCAGGAATAAGTTATTATGAATTTCAATTTTTTGCTTTTCCAACAAATTTCTATTACCTACCTACGTTTGTATAAAAATCGATATTTAAGTGATATTTTTTGTTTCGTATGTTCTAATGGACCGATTGGAATTAGAGTAAACTATACAAAATTGATATAATAGTGTAACAAATTCGAACCAATTTCCAGTCACAGTAGCGATAACGATTTCGAAGTAAAAGGAAAGTTTAATTGCTGTGTCGTAAGTTGTATTGCTTTAGCAGTTGGTACTAAAACTTCCAACTCGAGCACGCAAACAAAATTCGCATTATGCTTTAATTTCGAAGACGAATTCTATAGTTTAGTTTCGAACAGCGCATTATTAATTAATATTTTATTTCTGCAACATGCATGATAACTATAAACAACATTTAATTTCTACCTATTTCTACTTATTATACAGTATTAATTGGTTTCTTTAAACCAATGTATTCAATTAGAAAATAATATTTCTATTGAAAAAAATGAATTCTATTAAAACTTCTTTTAATCCCTAAATAAATCCCGGACCTTTTACTATTCCATCATTCATTATCCTTCATTTATTTTCCTTAATTCCAATCGAACTTGTGAATGGAAGCGTCGAAGCATCCAAATACCAATTAAAACCAAATCGGGAAAAATATTTCGCAATCGGAGAAGAAAACTCCTCATTCGTTCGATCTCATAAACTTTATAAATCAGAGTAAACAAGCGGAGTAGAAATGTCTTTATTGTCTTCCGACAACTTTTTCCCGAGGATTCCCGTTGAGTCGTTTCTTTTGTAAACGCGAGTTCGAGAGTCAACAAATCTAGTTAAGATCGAGGAACTTATATGTTGTTTTTTCCTCCTGCTCAAACTCGTCTGATTAATCGGAAGCAGGAATGCAAGAGAGGGATTTCCAATATTATGAGAAGAAAAGAAAGTTCTCTTTTTCTATAAATAACTATTAGCAAACTACAATTGTACTTTTATAAGCATCAGCAGGAGTATCAGGAATTCGATAAGGAAATCGAAGCCCTAGCAAATCCAATTTAGGTTAGGCGTTGTGGAAAAATTAAATTAATTTAATAAAGCGCCGGGAATAAAAATCGAGCTTATTTAGAGCCAATCCGAATCCCCCTCGTTTTTCATCTAACATTATAATTTAGAAAATAACGAAATTTCCAATAATAACCGGCGGGCATCCGCCGCGTCAGCCATCTTAAATCGCAATATAAATTTGATAATCGCGTCCGCAATATTAGCCTCATTTAGAGCGAGGGCGGAGAGCAGGGAGCTTTCCCGCCGGGTTTAGAGCCGAGGCGACACTTCCTGCGACTCCTCTCCGGTGTAACTTTCTTTTGTTATTGCGCCCGCGAAAACAAACGAAAAGACAATCAAGGAACTTCGTCGACGAAAAGTCAAAGACCATCCCTTATTTTCATTTAAACTTTAGTTGATCTTCGGAGAGGGCTCTTTATTAAAATGATTTTCCTTATTTTTGTTTGGGAAGTTCGAATTTCCGATGAGCCGTCGAATTAACTTCGCTAGTGTTTTTTAATTAAGCTGCCAAGAATCGAGATAAATATTTACACGACTTTTTAAAGGATTATTATTATCATAACTTATAAATTGTTACTATGATTTTTTTTCTACCAATTTGATTTAGCTTTTTTAATCTACTAGTAGGTAATTTTAAAAACATGTAAATGTACAGGGTGTGGCCAGCTAAGAATGCGAGGTACTGTATCTGGGAAACTATGCATCGTACAGGATTGCGGTAAAAAAGTAATTAAATTTTTAGCCTAAATTTTAGGTTAGGAAAACGATATCGAGATGCGTTTTTCGCGAGCTTATTTAGGCAACATAGCTACTTATTCACGAAAAAAAATCATACCAATGTATTTAATTTTTTTGAGAAATTAAACCATTTCTGTGGGAATATCGAAAAAAGCGCTCTACTAGCGACAAGTGAATCTAACAAAACTTTAAATAATATAACTTTTGTAGCCCATCAAAAATAGCTTTTTTTAACTAGCCCAAGTTTATTTAAATCGGCCCAGCCGTTTCGAAGATTCAGGCTGTTATAACACTCATCACTTTATTTATAAAGATACAGAAAAATTGTTAAACAAAAAATGTTCATATTATAATGATCTGGTATTTTTTTGTTAGGTTAACATAGTGATATTTACAGAAATATCACTTTTTTAGTTTCAAGATTGCAGTTACACTACCTAGCTAGCACCCATTTGGGAAACTTGATAATATTTTCCAGGTTTTTCTCTTGGCCGTTTTAGTAATAACTTTACCTCGCTAAGTTGGCCATCCTGTATAGTAATTTTCAATAAAATTCCTAAGCCAGTATTATTTACAAAGTACAACAATACATCAAACGAATTCTTTGATCTGAATGGGTCTATATAATTACGAGAAAATTCTCGTTGAGAAGAATCTCTATTTGAATTCCATGGGCATTTAAACTTTTCGAATTAAAAGAAAGAAGCGGATAAAAAGCGAACCTTCAACTGCACTTTTTTATAAAGTAGGTCTCTGAATGATGAACTAATGCGGAAAATATCAGATAGCATTTCGATTTAATAAGTACTGGGAAAATTAAAACTACATGATTCTAATAATATAAATATACCATAGTGATAGAAATAGTAGAAATAATAATAGTAGAAATACCATATGCAGATGCAATTAGAAGGCGAAAACACGATCTTTTTATAGCAATAAATCAAAGCACAAAAACGTCGAGCAATTATTGTTGCATAATTAAAACGGAGCGTACCCGAAACTCCGGGCGCAGAAAAGTTTCCGGTGCGATGCTCTACGGTTTCGGAGCACAAAAACCGGACTGCGAGCGATCGACGGCGTTCCCGTGAAATAATTCATTTTAAATCGAATCCTCGAGCCGCGATTTCAGAGCGCCGGCTAATTATTGCATAAATTTAACCGCGACGAGAATTGCCAATACAAATATTGCATTTCGTTCGTTTACCGGATCTTTCCGCGAAACCCGTTCGCCGGATGATTAATAATTTCGCTATGAAGGTAATTTAGAAAGTTCATTCCCAACATCCAAAGGAAAATTTCACACGCTAAAAGTACCGACAAACATTTACCTAATTAATTTATGTTAAATATACCAAGCCAGTAAATGTGTTACTATTAATACAAAATATAAATAGATTTGTTCATCAAGAAGGTATAATAATAAACTACAAAAGTAATCCAGAATGCGAGGGATTAAATTTTATGCTTATAAATCTCCCTAATTTTAATTCTTATCTCAACATCTTAATTAAAGTATCTAACTTTACTAAAATTTTTGTGAATAAATAAATTTATGTTTTATATTGTTACACCAACAAACAACAGGGAATGTCTTCATTAATTTATTTGCACATCTATACTGTTTTTGTCAATGGATAAAGTATGCAGGAAAGCTACAGGAAAATCTTATGGTTTAACTTTCTTAATTGACTCGCAGCGAAACTGCTTACGTGAATTTTAAATTTTAAACAAAACGAAATAAAGATTAGCGTTGAGAATGTGAAACTTTTCCGTATACAAAGCGAAACGGCTGCTGAAACAGCTGCAAAAAGGACTACGAAGGCGCCTTACAAAGAAACGTTGCGAGTTTGTTAGTCATGTTGATTTAATAACGGCTCCGTAAGCCGGAGGAATTTACTTTGCGATGCTTAAAATGCTTTAATTAAACGCCCGATAAAAATCGAATTGTTACACTCGAATCGTTTTTATTGTTTACAGATCAGATAAACGACCACGCCGTTATATCCAGAGTACCGAATGAAACTCCGCAGTTTTCCGGGCCCATACAGAACGTTACAGTCGCATTAGGACGGGAGGCCGTCCTCAGCTGTACAGTCTCCGATCTGGGCCACTATAAGGTAAATTTCAATCTTATTGCTTCCATTAGTTACCGTGTAAAAATCTTTCCCATCTACCCTCGTAATTCTTCATAAGTACCTAACACCTAATCGAATTCCCATTTTTAGGGCGACTTCGAGACGGTCGAAAGGGCGACTTCACGCCCTTTCAGCGCCTCCGGAACGGATGTTACGCTCAGAATGATAAATTACGTTAAAACACAAGTGCTTCGCGCGATAGCACAATCCGAGTAGAGAATATATTGTTTCATTAATCATTGGACGGATCGTAGTGTTTTTGATCTCATAAACATTATTAAAAAGTCAGCTTTGTATTGCGGAAAATAAGGGATTTGTTTCAACAACTATCAATTTGCACAAGATGGGGGTTTATATGGAAATGTTTAGACAAAAAGTGAATGGATGTAGATGAATAAATAGATAGAAAATGACATTTTTCAGACGAATGGATAAACAGAAAGAACTATATGCATAATATATTAATTATTTTGAATGGGTTCACTTCCAACCGGGTTTTCAATACGACGATAATAATTAGTGTTTTTTTTTGTCATTGTAACATTTTATTAAAAGTCCTTTCTATTCATTAATCGACATCGTTCGCTCATTTATCTCGACTGGGGCTTTTGTGACGGCGGCGAACGCATCGAAAAAGGATTCTGCAGCCGGGGGACTTTGTTTTAATGAAATGGATCGCATGAAGGAACAATAAGGCCGTATCATTATAGTAAGTGGAAACAGATGTTTCTAGCTTGCAGTGATAAATTGACTGGCGGAAGTTTCTTTTTATACACATATAAGCGAAGTTATTGATTGGGTCGCGAAATCGGGGCGAGGATGACGCGAAGACGGTTATTCGGATATTAGTTTATCGACATGGATATGACATAGTTTGAGTCGGGATTGTTGGATAAAATCATTCCGAAAAGGCGTTTCGTAACCGACGGTAAATGGTGAGGTATATAGCCGATTTGTAAACGTTATCTATTCATCCCCGCGTCTAACCATCTTAGTTTACTCCTCTCCATTGCTGTCTATTCATTCCCTTCTATTCAAACCAGCCTCATATTTGTGGTAGAACGAGGAGATTTTTATAATAAAAATATAATACACGTCGTTGTCATATAACGCTTTAATTATATTACGTACTGAATTCTTTTGTAGTAACAAAAATGTAAAAATTAGAAGAATTTTTATATCATCAGTTTCGATTCGTATTTATTCTTAAAATATTAAATTTCACGGAAATCAAAGTAAAGGGAGATTTTAATTAAGAATTAAACAAGTACCCAAAACCTCTTCGAATCAGTAAATTAAAATCTCAAGTGTAATAAAGTTTTAATTAGGTGAAGATTTGTACCTAACGGAATTTCTAATTTTCGTTCTTCCGTCACTTTCGAATTTACTTAAACAATTTTATTAAATTATTAGAACGCTTAATCTGTTGGATAATTCTCGCTTGAAATTGGCATCTTCGTATTTGAAGTACCATTGTGGCGTATTTATTTCGTATCTGGTGGGAAATGCGGAGATAATTGGTAATTTTATTTCGTACTGAAAGTAAGTTTCCCGATCAGCTTGGAAACGTTCGTTAACGGTTAAAATTAAATATAATAAAAATTACGAGGCGCAATAAAATATTAATGGGTCGAACTGGATGGCGGTTTATACGGCGAAGAGAATTTACGGCCGATTTAAAGCGAACTATGCTCTTTTCTTTAAAACTGCCGGAAAGTGCGAACATAAAACTCGGTCGCGGAGATTCGACCGTTTATTATAAATGAAAAATTTCTGCAATATGTGCCAAGTAATTTTCACATATTGAACGAACGCCATCCGGAATGCATCCTTCTCAACCACAACAACATTAAATTAAACTTATATCCACGTAATCATCAACCTCCCGTTCACGTTTCGCTCTAACTTAATATTCAATTTAGCGCGAATCGCTGTATCGAAATCCCATATCCTCATCCCTTTAGCGCCCTTAACGCCCTTTCGGAAATTTTCGCCCGGCTTAGCGTCCGACCAACAGACATCAATAACGACACGTTAAGTAGAGTATCACGACCGCTCTCGGAGTTCGAAAACTAGCTGGAGCTCATTAAGGAACCGCGAGAGCAGATTTTCCGAAATAAATTACTCGGGAAAAGTTCGTCATCGAACGGAAGGAGAGCGGGAGGATGCCGGAGACTGAGGGGTGGTGTATTAGGGCGCGCTTTAATAGCGAGTGTTAAACGGTTTTTTTTTGTAGAATATCAGCTCTGGCGGTGTCATAGTCGCCTGCGTTTTGAATTAGCAAGATGAATTGAGCGCGAGGTTCTTTTTCGGGCGGATTAGGAGTGGGAAATTGAATGGAAAAGAGTGGACAGAGTTGGGAATTTTATGAAAAATTCTTATGAAACAAATTGTTGTACTTAATGTTTCACAAGATATTTAGTTTCCCAGTAAACAAAATTTTCTCGTTATAGAATCAGGTGTTCAATTTAAAATAATGCTTTTGTGTAGTGTTTCATTTTCTACAACTTCTGACATCAATCGTGATGTCTTACCTCATAGTTTCTTCAAACAAATAAAATATCCTCCACATTCAATAAAGGCAAGTCTTCTCATACATATACTTATGAATATTAAAGAAGCATTTAAAAGCAACTTTTATCAATTTATAACCTGTTGTTTAGTACAGAATTACAGAAGAAAAAAAATACTATTTTGACCGCAAAATGACGATTTGCGCCGCTCGTGCCAACAAATCTTTCTCGATAGAAATTTTCATATTTTTGGGGCGCGCAAAAAATTTGATGGATTAACTTCGCGAAATCTGGACGGGATTTCGTTGGATTTCGTTCTGGCGCGAAAAAATCGAACTGCTTGCCATTTGGGAATATTAAAACCGGAGGACAAAGTGGGCGCATTAATGCGCATAAATCTATGGATATAATAAGAAGCATTCTGTGAGTTATGTATGTAAATAGAAGTATCTTTTTGATTTTATTATGTGTAACTCAATAAATAAATCTTCGGAAATAGTACATTCTTACGACGGAAAAATTTTCCTTCCGAATTCATCCCTCTAATAAGATTTTTTTTATATTTATTTTACATAACATCGAAAACAGACTTTCGATTTTATACAAAAAAAAACCTCACCTTGTTCGAGGAAACTCTTCGCCGAATACTTAAGCCGATTCGCTTGTAAACAAAGGAAAAATTCAATATAACCGATGTTTTTTTATCAAAGTATTGCAAGGATTACAAGATTGGCTCTCGGGCACCTTTGTTGCGTCGCCGCAAGTGTAAAAGCTCCCACGCTTGCTGTCCAAACAAGGGCATTTTCAATAAAATGATTATTAACATTTTTCTTGATGCAGTGTAGTAAATTACTTTCTTATCGAAGGACTTACTAGTATTTAGGACAGTAATGCGTTGTAACCAGCAAACCTTTTATGAATGTATTAGCAAACATGGGGTGAAAATTTGCGAACAAACACCCCCAAACGTTCGTTAGTCGACATAATTTATGAGCCCTAAGTGCGTTTACAATATATTAAACACTAAATTCAAATGCGGTTCTAGAATTAGGGCGTAATTGCTGTAATTAAGTAAGGGCGAGATCTGGTCCCTTCGCAAATCGACTGTATGTTTTTTCGACCGGGCGTAATCTAATATTAGAATTATGTAAATAGCGGGCTCGACCCTCGTAATAAAACAGCAATTAAAAGCAGCTTTCGCGGAGAGACCTCAAAACAGCGACCGCGAGGGTGATGACAAGTCGCCAATCTTCCGACAATTTGCCCGTCGTTAAAACTTCGCCCCATTTAACGTTTTATATTTTAATTTACTACACCTGGAGCGCCATCGGAGTTTTACCGATATTATTGAATAAAAATACGATTACAAAGTTGGGTTTTAGCATGCTGGAGTACGGAATAAAATTAGAATAATTGCGATTCTTAAATTATGTAGATATATTTGGGGCAGTTTTATTGTGACAGTTATTCATAATTTATGAGCAGTTTATTATAATTGACAGTTTTTTTTCAGTATTTTTAAGAATTTAGTAGTAAAATGAAAATCGCATTTGGTAATAAAATTTAAAACGTTATTTGTCTCGCCGTTTTGTTTACTGCATAAATTTAAATAATTCCAACTGCGTGGCTAACGCCTTATAAAATATGTATTAAATTTTTCACAGTGTTAATATCCATGGAAAAGCGCCTTCTCCGGGGGAGAAACCGTAATTTTCTCGCGCGCCATTTAATACGTAAGAATAGTATAAGAAGGAAAAATTTCTCCTGAGAAACGAACCGAACTAAACCAACTTATTATATGTATGTACTTACTCAGTTGTCCCATCGTATAGCTCAAGAGTATGCAACGTTAAATATTTACATTTCTACCTATATTTTCCCGCAAATCCACCTACATTCTTAAACGATATTACATCATGCTTGTTTCGCCGCATCTTAACATAATTGCCCTGGTTTTTCAGGTGGGATGGATGAAAGCGGACGATCAAACCATCCTCGCCCTGCACACTAGGGTCATCACCCACAATCCTCGGATAACAGTCAATCACGACGACAACCTGAAGACGTGGCAGCTGCGCATCAGGCAGCTGAAGGAATCGGACCGCGGCTGTTACATGTGCCAGATCAACACCGGCGAGATGAAGAAACAATTCGGCTGCATCGACGTGCACGGTGAGCGCCCGGAGGGTTTGTAATTTATTGTGTGTAACGCGGAACCGTTGAATTCCGACGGTTGACGGGTCATTTTTCACGAGGCGTTGGCGTCGGGAGTGCTAACAATAATGATAAAAGAACGCGAACTTGAAGTATGTACGGCGGAAATGGCGCCGCTTTTCTGTCCTCCTTATATCAAAGGCATTGCAGATATTACAACGCAATTTCCAATGTTTGCTAATAAACAAGATATTCTAGCTTTTTGAAGTTATGTAATCGCGGCAAATAAACGATAAACTTTAACTCGGAGGATATAAAAGAAAGAGAAGTATTACAATTTGTCACAATTCCTTTGTATCTTGTTTAACAACGAGCTATTCATTTCGAATATCGTCCTTTTTCTTTGCTCGGTCTTTACCCGATTATAGCGGACAAAGACAAAGTCGACGATAAAAAAATAAACCATCTTTTATTAATCTACAGCCAGGTTATGTAGGGAAAATTACAAAGGATTTTTTTGGGTATGTACTCTATACATCGCTTTAACGGACCCGAATGGAGATTTTCGACAGTCGGGCTATTGTATCCTTAAAAAAGGGTATTTTAGCTTGTATTAAGATGTTTGCTTTGATCCTAGAAATTGGGTCTTCTGTGCTAGTGACAGGAAATTTTACCCTACGGACGTGCCTATTAAAAAAACATTTTATCTTTTTTACGGTCGACTCAACACCAACAATGGTTAGACATGTGTTGCCTCTTCTACTTCTGCATTGATTGCCTTTCGATACAGAAATAAACTACTTGGTATTTTACCGACCAAAAAAAAATGAAAAATCGGTTGGCTGCATTTTCCCGTTTCCCAGAACGCAGCGTTGCAGGTAGAAATCTGGCGGATAAATTTATTGTTCTGGAAGCCTTTCACGTACGAGGAACTCCATCAAACCAGCCGCGCCTATTTTATCTACCTGTTTCTCTTACAAATTATCAGTGTAGCTGTCTGACGGTGAATACAGAACGGAATTTCCAATAGAATATTCAACGCGACTGGAAATAAACCCGTGCTTTTCATTCGCTCCTCGAATTTATCCATGCAATTGTTCCTGCGAATCCCGAATTGACGCATAACCGTTGACGTTAAAGCGAATGCGGCAGCGATTCGAATCCCATTTTTTCCGCTAATCGGAAACTCGGTCTTCGGAAAACCCATCTGACCGACTCGTGTCGGCGGAATCTCTTTAAACCTCGTGGAAAATTAATAAAGCCGGCTGGAAACTCTATTTTACGTCAGATCGACTTGTCATTGTCTTTTGACAAAAGGGACGCGGTCTTTGATGAGTTTGTTTTTACTGTTGCGGAAGTAATGGGTGAAAGAAACGAGGGAGGAAGTATAAAAAAAGGAGGAATCCGGGGACGGCGATGGTCCGGAACGGTCGCAAAAAACGGACGCTTCAGCGAAAATATTGATAAAGAAGGATGATCGGATTATGGAGGAAGAACATATTTCATTGGCGATTTTTATAATATACAGTTGACCTAACATAGGTTTGTTTCTCTGAAACATATATGTACGTAATTATTTATAGATTAATTAATTGCAATTAATTAATTTCGAATAAATTAGCAGCGATCAGATTTAGTCCGCACTAAATGTATTTGCGTTGAATTAAATGTATGCTCATTAAATTATTCAGCGATCAATTGTCAAAGGATAATTAGAAATTTTAAAATAAAAAAAAACTTTATTTTAAAATATATATACTTTAAAAAAAATTATTGACGCTAAAAAACAATAAAAATTTTATCGTTCGAATTTAATTTTTACATTTTTTTTAAACGACCAGTCGATTTTTATATCGCTTTTAAAAACGGTTAATTTGACGCGAACCGACAAAATTCGAGTTCATTAGAGAGTTAGTTGCCGGTTTATACAAACATCAATCAAACCGACTGCAGCATAGTCGAATAGAAAGCGACACGTGATCCGTACACACGGGTTTTTATATGAAAGCCGGCGTGTTATCGATTTAAACACAAAAAGCAGATTTTTGCAAAAAAAAACGGTTAGAGATACGTACGTTTATATAAAGAAAATCGTTTGAGGTATAAAAGAGTCGGTGCTAACTGGCAGTTAATTTTTTCACATAGTCGCATATAAAGCCAGTAACACGCTAGCGATAAAAAAAATCCCATATCAATTACATAGCAAGTATATCTAACTCACAAAGCTTGTAAGTTGAGGCATTATTGTATCGAGAGTAAAAGAGCTTAAGACTTCCGTCTTTTCTTTAGCTTAAAATTCGCCGGTTGAATTCTGTTTCAAAGAACTTTATATTCCGGGAACTAGACAACTGCAGTCGGGATATCTAAAATTCAGTCAATTCGATGAACAAACCGAGCGATAAGAACCCAAACCGATCTTCCCATTGCGAGGGAGGCGCATCAGCCGTCGACACCGCTCCTCCTGGGATAAATTATCGCGCATTGTCAGTAAATCTCCGTTAATGGTAATGTGTATAACTTCTCCGAATATTTATGGGTTTAAGTAGATTAGAGAAATAACGGCGCGCACTGCAAATTCGCATGTACAACTTCGCCGGAATTTAATACGACCCGTGCAGAATTAATGACGATTGTTAATTAAATATAACTTCGCTTATAGGTGGTACTTGAATTGGCATATTCGAATAAAATTAGCGCAAGAAATAGCAATTATTGTAGTATCAAATTTTTTTATTGCAATCAACAAACATGAAGTAATACGTGTTTTTCCGAATGAGTTCAGGAATGTGAAACTTTTGGCATATTCCCAACACAAAAGGCGCAAAGACAAAAGGGAAGCAATCACTTAAGTTCCTGGATTCTCCTGCCGTTGCAGGAGCTATAAGACGAGCGCGGCTTAAAACATATTGCGGTTTACAACTTAAACTCATCGTAGTGTAAATTCCGTGGATGCCTCGCTGGCTTCCAGTTCCAGGCGGCTCAAAAATATAAAACGCGCAAATTAAATGTCAGAAGAAATAAATTTTAATGCGTTTAGCGGGAGACAACAAGAGGGGAGTCGTGTGCGAGGTGTCGTTCAGCCCTTCGGGCATTTCAATTTAAACATTTATCAAAGAAACGGTCTGATTTCAATATGGCAAAAGGTTGGAATATTCCGGATGGATATCCAGGCAACTCAAACTAGCGCCGTTTAAGCGACTTTTAATGAAATTTTTATTAGTAAATGACGCTGCGAGTAAATTACGTACTTTTGATCTCGTTCTTTTCTAAGGATTTAGATTGGGTCGGTTTTTTGCTGACTGAAAATTTTAGCGAATCTAATATAGTGCTAGTGCAGTCTGAGTGAAACGGAAAAAGCGCTGCAAGAACGGTTTTAAAAGGAAGCTTTTTAAACCTTAAGAAAATTTGAACCGTAATTAAATTGCCGAGTAGTCGAGTTTAAAAGTAAAAATACCCGAGAGTAATTAAAATTTTGGATGAAACTCTCAATGATTTTAACAGGGCTTCAACCAACTCGCCTAATAAAATTAATAAAAACGATTTTCCTTAAACGAAAAACGAAAAATACCAGCAAAATTGAATAACCACTAGCCGTTTAAGGAAAACTTCATACTACACATTCTCAGGTATCTTCGACAATTATTCATCGAATCTCAAAACTAATGGGGAGTATTTCTCATTTCTTATCCTCCGAACTTTCCATAACTCCTCAAAGCTTCGCCTAGCTGTGGAAACGGTGAAAATATCCGCAAGGAAACGTATACGCTTGGTCTTCCAGTTATCGGGAGAGCGATTCGTCAGGCCACGTACGCCGTATATAGAGTAATCCAAGAAAGGAGTCACTTATCTCAAACGTGACTCCTGACTTTCTGATGTTGCTCATCGCCTATATCGAGCTGTATTTTTCTAATTTCAGGTAATACATTTTCAATTAAACTAGGCATATTAAATACATACAGGTTGTTTTTTAATTCCATGCTAATACTAAAAGGGGTGATTCTTGGGCATATTTTAAGAAAAAAACTTCATACGAGCCTATGTCCTAAACGTCTTAACTTTTGAGATATAGTATAGGGTGTTATATTTTTAAGGAAAAATCAATTTTTTACTGTCATTTCCATATCACTTTAAATATTTTTATTAACTTTGGCGTACGGCGTTTATGCATTAAAGAGCATTTTTTTACCTAAAAAACATTTTTTTATTTCCAACAGTGGCGTCCGTACTGCACTCAAGCCAAATATTTTTGAGGGTAAAAGTAGTAAGAAACTGCTTTCTCTTGAAATAAAAAATATTTTTTGAGACCCTGTTCAATTAGAAGCCCTGACTTTTTTGCACGACTCATCGTTTCGCATAAAAAATTAAGTCTTTTTTTTTTAACGGGTCCATGTAACACCCTGTATGAGTGTGCAGCGCTTACGCTAAAATTGGATACGAGTTTATGGTGGAAATAAAGCTTCGATTGTTAACATCTCCAGTTAATTTTTTAAATATAATCGGTTCAAACTACGCTTTGTTCCGTTCGAGACTATATTCTTGCGGTACTTCACGATTTATTCATGAGCGCTCTCGATGAAAGTAAGCGGTATCTAACGCCCGTTCCGGTGTTTTACAGCCCGCAGGTTATCTTTACAGTGTGTGGGTAATATTTTCCTGTTGTCGGCACTAGATTCAATCTGCGCGTAAAAATCCCCATAAGCTGCTTCTAATGGCCGTTTCATCGGAGAATAACGTTCGTTGTGAATTAACTCGAAGCGCCGTAATTACGGGCGTTAGATAAAGTTCTTTTTCGAATTTAGATCTGGGGATTTGTCGCTCTTTTTATCCTGCTGCAACTCCAACGGCGCCAAAAATGTTGAATATTTAGTTTGAATTTTTTGCGATTTTGCTTATCTCGATAGGAATTTTGAAACTTTCGCTTTTACCGTCTACAGTACTTTTTAAGGAAACCGTCCATTAGAAGTTATATAGGAGATCCTGAAGAGTTAGAAATATTAAAATTTAAAAGTAAAAGATAATAAATGTTAGTTTTTCTAAAATATTTTCAACCATATTTGTGAGTTCCATGTATACTGGAAGTACCATTTTTGACTTCATTTTTGGATTCTGTTGTTTTTTTTAACTAGACTTTGATAACACCATAGGTATGCCAAAAATGCGCCACTTTTGAGTTATTTAATTTTTTTGGAATATTTTTTGGAAAAACGGTCTTTCAAAACGACTATAACCGCAAGTCACATATGGTTGAAAATATCTTAGAAAAACTCACAAACATTGCTTATATCTTTTACTCCTACATTTTCAAATTTATATCTCTTCAGGATCTCCTATGGCTTCTAATAGACGGTTTCCTTAAAAAGCACTGTATATAGTGCGCAAAAATACTGCACATGTGGATATAAGGCATACGAACATAAAGTCACAAATGTTTTAGATATAAAAGGGTTTTTTTTCGAGCCACATTTGTGCCAGCTTTTTATTCGGGTAAACTTTATGTACTACCGAAAACGTGCTTCACATTATCTCACGAAAAGAATCGCGAACTCATGTGGATAATATTAAAGATTGATCCTGCATGTACTGAATACGCTCCTGCTGCATTCCGAAATTGTACGTGTAACGCATACATACGAGTACATTCTTTTGCTTGCATTCTGTAGTCGCATTGTTCGAAATAAAATTCCTAATTAATATATCTGAAAACGATGCTTCAACGATGCTTCTCCTGCTAGCGGAAAATTGAACGAAGACCTGAAGTTGACTGCGCCATTGTGGTCGCAAAAGGACGGCGACTTCTGCGTCCCATCAGATTAAAAACGGATTTCCATCGGAATTACGATTTATGTCAAGTCAGAGTCGAGCAACGGAAGGCGACTTTCCCGGACTTTTCCGGAGATAGCCAGAACGTAAAATTAAAGCTCGCAGTAGATTTTGTATTAGTTTTGTAACTACATAGACAACGATTTCGCGATTAAAGCATGATGAACGCTGGTGTATAATAGATATACGAGGTACAATCGAAAATAACAAGGGCATTTAGTATAATAGGGGCAAACATTAATTAACAGTCGATCGATTGTAATACTGAAATATAGGTGGCTAAATTCTGATATTAAATTGATACTTATTTATGCATGAAACGCCAATGGGAACTATTGAAACTATTGTAGCTATTGCCCGATAGCGAGTTAATTTGCAAAGTTACTAATAATATATTTATTCCAGTTCCTCCGGATATCGACGATTCGGGAACAAGCAAAGACATTACGGTGAAAGAAGGCGAAAATGTGACAATGACTTGCAGCGCCACAGGTCACCCGGAGCCCCGGATTCTCTGGAGAAAGGAGGATGGCGGGCATATGATTGCGCAAACATCGCAGGAGGCTCAAAAAGGTAATTTTGTCGTTTGTCGACCGGGCGATTACATCTTAAATCACCACTTGCAGACTAGTAAACCCGCAGAGGCGACTGTAAAGCCGGATTATAGACTTTGAATCGGCTTTTATAGCGCCATCCGGAACGCCCGGAGTCCCCGTTGGTGTTACATCGCTATCCGCGCTACGGGATTCATTTTCCGGATAGGTATTTAGTTCGCTCGTAAGCACATACAAATCCTAATGGCGCGGTTAAGACGTTTGCCGAGCTAATTGTAAAAGCCGAAGAAAGACACAATTGAATTCTGGTTTCGCATTTAATCCTGATGTACAGAGCCGATGATAAACGACAAGCGGAGAATAATTGATAGACGTCTCGCCATTGTGTGTATAGATTTATTTATGGATACAACTAATTGGTTAATGCCCTTCGTCCATTCGACGTAATTAAATATCTTTCGTATCGAAATTTCGTTAGGTATTCGAGGAATTTCGAGAAAGCAACTACGAAATCCCGTCGTCTTGTTTTATTAACCATTGTTACGGCTGTCTTTCAAACGAAACGCGAAGAAACGTGTTCGTTCCGGCGACCGGTCAAAACCGTTTCGAAGGAAAGTTGCTGCATAATTGCATTTCGCGTCGTGCCGGTTGCCTTTCCACGATTGGGAAAATAAATAAATTTCAGCACGGAATTCGACGGTCGGTTTTTTAATAGTGCAACATTTTTTCGGTGTCGAAACGGAAAATTACCCGAGGTACAATTCAAATGAAGTAATTGCACCTAGCAGATGTCGCAAACAAACATACCACGACGAATTTCCCCGGGGAAAAGAACCGACGACGTTTTAGCGGAAACCGTTCGTTTCGAAATTAAAAAAGGCAGTTTTTAATTAGGAAATATTCCGCATCTCGCAGACCGAGAAATCCTCATAAATTACTCCCATACGATTCGCAATCGAAGTTTACGCCTCGAAATAACTACGAAAAGTACTTATTTCGCAACCAGCGAAAATTATCCCACTTCTGATTCGTTAAATAAATCATCCCACTTCTGAATCGCCTAAAAATCTGGATAAATGAGGATTGCGGTTCATTTTCGTCGGCTTCGAGTCGGCGAAACGGCACTAATTTATTTCATGACGGACGCATTTGTTCCTGACTTTCAGACTAAATAAATACTTTTTACATCAGAATTCTCGACGAAAAAGGACGTCGACAACGGCTGCATTTGAGATTTAATTCAAACAAGCGACGTGGAAAATTATTCTTAGTAAAATAATTAGTAACAATACACCCTGTAGAAAAGCCGATACGCGAAAATGCCGTTGTGTGGCAGAGTTTTCCAAAGGAAAGCTCCACGTCGACGTTGGGATTTTGTATCGAGGAAAATCCCCCTTTTCAGTTTGATGCCGCTGCCAGACTTGAGGTATTTCCCCGAGATTTAAAGACCGATGAAATTGAAATTCATCCCGTGCGTTCAGCTAAACCCATTATATCGTTGGAGAGGAAAACTGCACGAATTCGAAGAAAATTCGATGGAAAAGTAATTAATATCGAACGCGACGGTTACACTTTTTTTTGTAATATAGCAAGCTGTATTATTTCCACTAATAAAACATCGAATGATAATAATTTGAAGCGAACAATAAAAAACGTAAAATCAAATAAAACTCGCTGGCAACACAAAACGTAAATTGCCGGGAGAATAAAAGGATGCCGGATTTAATTGCCGAGTTAATACGCAATTCGATCGTTCGAATAGTAATTCGCGAAAATTTGAAAAATCTTTTATCTCGAATAAATCGTACACGAAATTCAAACGGCAATTTTACAAAGTTTTACGACGTTACATTTTTCGAACATCGGTTGGAAAATGTTGGGTACCGGCTTTGCGTTACCCGCACGATGGAAATCGATAAAGTGCAGCGGAAAATCGGCCACTTCGAAAACTCATTTTAATACAGTACAGGGGTACAAATTGCCTTTCGTCGCCACTAGAGATTTATTGTTAACTCAAAAAACTGATTACGCCGCACAAAAGACTGGTTAATTACAATTCATGAATTAAGTTACTCATAACAGGCGAACTTAAAGTCACTTCGGAACCAATCGAATCAGAAGTGGGATAAACACCGAACATCTCCGTCTCGGAATTTTCTATTAAACTTTTCCGCATGTAAATTCGAAAAATTTTACTGCCCCTTCGATTCGACACGCTTACCGGCAGCCCGGAGCATTTGCATTTTACGAATTCCACATACACCGGTCGGCGAAACACTAACCGGAAACTTTATTGTTTCAGTGGAAACGTTCAGGGGACCGTCTCTGAAGCTGGTGAGGGTCGAAAGGCGGCAGATGGGCGCTTACTTATGCATCGCCAGTAACGACGTGCCGCCGGCGGTAAGCAAACGGATCACTCTGCATATTACTTGTAAGTATATCTCCTGCAAACCAGTGTTAAAGCCCATTTTCTATACGCTTGTCTGATACATATCCATGCAGTACCTACTGAACATCTAAAAGAATAAAAGTATGTATATGAAAATTAAATGTATCATCAATAACAAAGGTTAAGTATGATAAAAGTTCTAATTCGTTATAGGTATTAGGAAAATATTCTTATCTACTAAATAAATCGATTATTTTAAAATGCGAATCCCCTTGTTAATTACTTGAGATTCATTCACTTTACGCTGAGAAGTTTCCGAATGCAATTAATATGTAAATTAGACTTCTCGATTGAAGGTCTGTCGTTTAATTGGCCTATATATTTCGCTGAAGCGTGTTTCTGTGGAAATCTATGGAATAGCATTAGCAGTTTTTCCCTCTTTCGAGGTTTTTAATTTGGAGATAGAAAATTTCTCCTAGAGCGAGTAAACGTGAAATTAATTGAAATCAAATGGCTACAAGGAAAATCGCGCAGTTAATTTACTCGTAAAAATATTTCTGGCGCATTCAATGGAGGTTTCCATTTCAGCGAAGGCTCGTTATGCTTGCTGAAAAGCGCTTTTATTCATACTGAAACACTTAACAATCGGTCGTGCGGAGCAGGAAAAACGAGATACATCACGCCCCGAACATCGAACTCGACTTTTATGCGGCTTCCTAACAAATACCGAGCAATTAATTTTCCAATTTTCCTTTAGCTAAGTTTGGAAAAATTCGCCTTTTCCTCCGTTGAATTTCCCCTTCGGACAGATAAAAATGCGAATTGGAACGTTTCCGATGGAATACCCACATCAATCCGAGACTCCAATAAATTGAAAATTATTTATTTTGTCCTAAGTTCATCCTAAATTTACATAAAAAGCCCTAATTGGACGAAAATACGTTATTTTCAATAGTAATTTCGAGTAAAATTCGAGGAAATTAGGAGTGGGTACAAACAAGTATGAAAGGATGTCTAGACAAAAGCTGGGAAGCTGTTTTTGAAGGAAACCGGTAAGCTGTTTTCGAAGAAAATTTTTCAAGATATTTCTAATTTTATATTTTGTTATCGAACAAAATTTTATTATAAATAACTACACAATAAAAGAATAATAGTAGTATTCGGAAGTTTCGGTAGGTCTCAGAAATTATTACAAAAGTTTTATTATTTTCGTTTCCAACTTCCTAATATTTATCGACTTTTTCCACAGTTAGGGGAATTTAGCCGCTCTATTAACGATTTTATTCACGTTTGATAAACGGTTATTATGCCAAACTCAAGAACTTGCTCGATAAGTCTGTGTATCTACGTACCGGAGGAATTTATAAAACATGCACATGCTCTATACAGCGATGGGGCTGCAAGTGCAAATATTTCGAAAATTCGCGTCGACAAGTGTATTCTACGTCGCATCCTATTTATTAGCGGCATCGCGAAAAACACGTTATATCGCGTCGAAGGCGACGTAGCGCATACGAAATGCACACCAACGATGTTGCAACAAATTCGATTCAATATTCATGAGACCGGCGTGCAACGCGACGGATTCGGGGCTAGAAGGAGATTCCGATAGTTTTCCGACTCTACGCAAACGGGTGTTACGACCCCCGAGTTAAGCTGGAATCTATCGAAACGCGAGTTTTATGCCAGGCGAATGTGGCGCATTGAAATTACGTACACAATTTTAATTTTTCCGATTCGGAAATTACTGGCATTAAACACATCTGTTGCAGTCGTTGTGCTGTTAATCTAATTATTATAATTTTCGGAATTTCACGTTTCATGTTTCAGTAACTAGCGAACGAGCGAAGGAGAGTTAATTGAATTAAATTAGTTTCCAGAGACACCATGAGATGACGCTGTTTTCGGTATTTAATGGATTATCCCATAGTAATAGTCTCATGAATATGAACCCTCTCTGCCCTTGTCCCACTAAGGACATTTTTTTATGTACCTAATTGACCCAATGCGAATTTTTATAATAATATTTTGCCACATTTTTAATTGTTCATCTGCGAGCTGTGGGATTAAACATTATTTGAATACCACACTTGGTACTTAAAAATTGGATATATTACAATGTTAATTACTGTTTTATTTACGGCAGTTCATAATATGTACAGTATTTACACTCTACTAATTTATCTGCGTAATGTAAATTCTCCATTTTGAAGTATTATTTACAATGCCATGTAAACCTAATGGAACAATGTGAAATTCATTACAGTCCGTTGTAATTACGACGCAAAGTAACGTAAATACTATAAATAATAAATGGAATCTTATGGAAAAATAATGTACAACATCTTTAGGTATTTTTTTCTTCAAAGTCCACATTCCGAAATAACTCAAAAGAAAAAAAATCATAAGTCTGTTACATTTGAATTTTTTAGCGCTTTCTCGTATTCACGATAAATTAGGCCGGCAGTGCCATTCGGAATCGTTCGTTAACGTCTCAAAGCGAAGACCATCTTTCATTTCTCCGGCGAGAGACTCCGGGAAAAAATAAAATCCCCGCTATTGGGAGAAATTCCACGCTCGCGAAAAAATCGGGCGCTTCCATTGTCGATTTATAATCTCGTTTCATTCACTTTCCCTTATTTATTCCGGATCGTTTTCGTTTGTCGCTGCGGAGTAATTCGCAGGAGTCAATACAAAAGTAAACAGAACTTTGTTGGGAAACCCTAATACTAGTTTAATTTTTGGTGTAACCGCTAACGCGTCCGCCGTTATTTGAATATTTTACGACGAATTTGGTAGATATCGAAACGCTTCCGCCTTATTTTCCAGAAGGTACTTAAGAATTTATCGGAAAATCGATAACAGCGCTTTGTGCTACATTAAAAATTATTTTTTTCTCTTACATCCCCTCTCGGGATGTATTAAAGCACGAGCTCGAAATTTGCGAGTTTATTATTTATTGAAACGATGATATATTATTTTCTCGTCAAGGAAATTCACAATAACTAAGCCATCTCGTTTTCGCTCTTCCGATAGAAGATGCGTTTTTAAACGACGACACGACGGGAAATTTCTACGTGTTTATTAGCGAAACGTGCGAGGTGAAGTTTTCCCAAGACTTTCGCATTCGTCCAACTTCGAAAGAAAGCGCGCGAGCAGCTGACAGCTACAAATTCATTTTAGTTTCACGTCATTCCGAGCCCGGTACCCCGAAAGGGACTCGGAATTTTTCTCCAATTCAAATGAACGTGGGGTTTTCAACGCTCATCGAGCGCTCGGATTTCGTTCCGCAGTTTCCATACGGATGAGTTAGTTTCCCACCCCTTTCTATGCCTCTATTTTGCGTTCATAAATCGGGAGGTTCGAATTTTGCGGGCATTTGTGACCGCTAATTAATGTTCCGAAAAGGTTGTTGGGATTTCAAAGTTTTGGATTAAACATGAATAGATTATAGATATTAATATTATACGTTTGAATACAGAAATACCCTTTTGTATACCTAACCAAATAGTTTTAAATAACCCTGCTTCACAATTTAAAAATAAAATTATATTTTACAATATTTAGCAGAAAACTATTTTTAAGCGACTTTGAACAATATAAAATTTCTTTAATATGTAAATTTCTTTCATATACAAATTATCTACTTTGAACATTGGAACATAATATCAAATAGGTCATAACAATCGGTAGCACTTAGAGAATTGAAACAATTCGCAAACAATTAACTGCAGAAATGTCGTCGAGCAATGGAATAAACACCGAATGGGGCAATAATGCGTTAATTTATAGCACTGGACGCGTCGGGGAATCGATCGAACGCGTTTAATTGAGCGATGCAATTTGAGCGGATCATCGATATTGGAAATTTGTTGTTTCAGTTCCGCCGAAAGTGCAGGTTCAAAAGTCGCTGGTCGGCGCTCCAGAGCACTCCAACGCGAAGCTGAAATGCGACGTGGAGGCCTTTCCAGCTTCCAATAACTTCTGGACGAAGGGAGAGGAGATGGTTTACAAAAGGTACTAAATTGCGTTTGATTTTACGCAGGAATTTGTATTTAATTGTTTGTTGGTTTCAGCGATAAATACACGATTCTGGAGAAGAAAACCGGATACAAAACTGTTATGCTTCTAACTATACATAACGTTACGAAAAACGATCTCGGTACGTTCACGTGTGCCGCTCAAAATTCCATGGGAAGATCCGAGGATTCTGCTCGAGTTTACGGTAATACTTTTCCTGCATCTCTCAATTTCAAAGTGTATTAATTAATAAAAATTTTCCAGAAGTCAAAATACCAACAACAACTACCACGACTACTACTACTACTACTACGACCACTACCACTACTACAACTACAGAAACTAACTTAATATTAGGTAAGTTGGTGTATTTTTAAACCTCCATATTCTTACATAAAATAGTTTAACAATAAAGACCAGAGCGGAAAAACACTGAAAATATTCTGAATGCCAATCTAAGTTAAAGGAAATCGAGTTTATTTATCCAAGTAAATTGACATAAAAATAACCATAAATATTGGAATTTTATCAATTGCCAGTTGAACGCCTATTCGTCTCAGCGATCGCTCTGCAACTAAATCGAACGTCAATATCCACAAATAGTAAAACGGACGGATTATCTCCGGAAATCCGTTTAACTTGGAAACCGTAAAATTCAAATTGAAAGTATCTAAAGTAGGTATCGATTTTGTACAGAAATATTCTGACAAGACAAATTCGATGATAAAGGGAATCCAAATTTTACATTAAGATTTAAACATATACATATACGAGCGTTTAAATTATTGTTTGAATAAAATACCAATGCATTTATGTTCATTAAGTGCAGTTTCACATATAACGATTTTCTATGAAAATTGATGTAATCATATTGCAAAATAATCCGATATTTTAATGAAGCGATAATTCAATTCCCTCTTTGTTTGTATATTTTCAAATTCAACTCGCTTTGTAGAATAGGTTTCTATTATACGTAATTACACTAAAATTAATTGTCAGGTATTGATGCAATTCACAAATTTATTAATCGATAATTAATTATGCAACACCAAATAAAGCTAATTTTATCATTCCAGAAATAACTAGCAGCATCAAAAGTACAGGTTCCTCGTTATTCGGAATCGGTAAGTAAAAAAAACCAGCCAATTTAAACTTTCCACGTATCCGCCACTAGGTGAAATACATTCGAGCAATGCCCGGACCTTTTCTGGTTGAGTTCTAAAATCTTTTTATCGCCCGGGCGTTAATTAAGTTCCAGCCAAAATGCAAAGAAATTATCTGCGAATCTTCCGATTTTCGATTTGGTAAATCGAGAAAAACTTCCAGCAGGGAAAGTTTAATCGGTTTAAGATGTAACGCCGGATCCGGGCTTTCGACAAACCTCGTTATTAAGTTTCGCGAATGATTACTAAATTTAATAACCGAATTTTTCAACATGACAATTAATTTAAGTTTAATTAATTTCACCCCTTTTCGGTTGTATTTCATACAACAATCGGAGTTTTTCGGTCGAATTCTCGCGATTAGGCTTTATTAAACGGTTGCAAAAGCCCTAATTTACGTTCTGCGTTCTGTCTTCGCAGGTGGCAAAGTGATCGATGAAGATCCGTCGGAAAACTGGCTGTTTCCAAGCGTCGCTCCGGCACCTCTAGAATTGGAAACCCATTCGGATTCCACTGCGAACAAAGGACCGTGCCCGGCTTTCCATCTGGGTGTCGGTTCGATCGTGACGTTGATTGGTTTTCTCAGGTGACACGTAACTTATGATTAGACAGGGCGGGAAGCGATCGCTTGTCCAGGAAATTTATGTAATAATAACGACGCAAGGGGGAAAAGAACGGATGTCGAATCGTTCTGTAGCTTACGGGAAACTGGGGGAGATATGTCATGTAAATAATTAGGTATGTAAGTTGGATTTTACCAGGTAATACGATTGAATTTTTATGACATACGGAATTTTTTTATCTTGTTCCGCACAAAAAAAATAAATGTAATATATAAATTTTCAAGAAATACATAGGTGTTCAAAAACCTATCCACGCACTCAACTTATTTTAAATGTACCTGCTTAGATGTGTGTTCGTATTATAAATTGATTGTTAGCATTGACTTTTTACCTGGTAAATAAAATTAATTATTTTCGTGGTAACCCTGTAGATAATTATATCATATCACGGAATACGATAGTAAGTAAATTAGTCTTACCTGATAAATTGGATTGATTAAACACATCCAAAACTGTGCTATAGGAATTTGAAAACAGTAGTTAGTTGTATTAATGTATGCGATATGTCAGTTTTCCCTAGTAATACCTTAATTTTCCATTTTCATTCCAGAGTAAATAATTTATCTAAACGTTAATTTAATCACTAGATAGTTTTTTTTCAATTTAGGCCCTGTAAATAAAAACAAACGCTTGTATAAAATGTAGGTAAAGCGAATTTCAATAGATTATTTGTGTTAAATAAGGCTTGATATTTTTTTGTTGAATAAACGTATTTCACAAGGATAACGACGGGTATTTTACGAAATTGCAAAAATGTACTGTTTCAACATTTTGTATTAAATTATCGTTTCATTTTGTATTGATTTTATTCTATTTAAATAGCCTTAATATTTTTCAAATGAGTTATTTTGATGAATAACGAGATAAATAACACATCAAAAGCGGTTAATTTGCGAGAGACATCTACAAAACGAGAGCTTCATTGAATACACAGGCTCATTACGGTTTTATACCTAAGGGAAATCAATGTAAAATGAAATGAGTTTTCTCATAAAATACATTCTGACTTTATTCACCCCAAAAATACATATTTTATAATAAAGGACGTATACTATAGATAATACCGAATTATTATTAATAGTAAAATCACCCTAATGAAGGAATTATGTAATATTCTATGTGAATGTAAAATGTAAATGAATGTACATATCCTGCGTACGGCAGTAATATTGTTAAATATTATAATGAAATAAAAGGTTTAAATGTACTTCAGAATTTTACTGTAAACCTATTTTTACCAACAATCTATCCAACAAATATTGACTTTTATAAAAACTATAAGCATGAAAAGAACGTGTTATTTCTCCAAGAGTTATCAGTTTTTCAATTATTAGATTTCCTTCGAGAGGAAAACACGAAAAGTGAAAAATCGCGTCGTCGATAAAATACGGCCGTGTGAAATATAAATCAACTCTTTCGTTGGCTATTATTAAGTTTACTGAATGAAAAGGATGACGGACGATGATGTATTAGGACAAGCAGTAACACTTGCTGTTTGTTCGAAAAACGTGCCAGGAAACTCTTGTGTGTGGGACACAAACACTCGCAGGAAACTTCCAAACCGACAGATCAAATAAACGATTTTCCGCCATATTATCACAAGATTTTGTATATTATCGTTCATTAATAAATTTATCATTTAATTCAATTGTAGTGTAATTTTGCAATTTCACGAAGAGCAGACTATTTTGCAAGAGAGTATGTATATTACTCTAGTCATGTATGAACTTGTTTGTTGAATATTATCTAGATTAATAGTACACTCCTGCTTTGTTAATTAAAACTTAATTCATTTCATTATGTAGAAGACTCAGGTAAATTCAATCATCTAAAATGTACCGAATTATTCGATATCAGCCAAACATCTGGAAAATCGACGCACTCCGAACGATTTCCACCTCGGAGTCATTAAAAAAAATTACATTTAAAATTTCACGCCGACTCGCCCCGTCTCATCTCTGCTGTTCGTCGCTGCAGGATTAATTGAAAATATCCTCGAGCGCGTCCCCGAGGATCGGATCGACTCATTGAAAATGTGTCGGGCTAATTTTCTTAATGGGATTTTCCTCTTTTGTAATTCCATTTTAGCTGTTCGCAAGATATTACGTAGCAATCCAGCAGGACGCCGAGTCGAAGGTTCCGATTCCCCGGACCTTTCGAAAAATTAGGGTCAGCTTTGCAAGTTGGAATTTTCGGTGAACCCTGTGGACTTGTTACTAATGCACTTTGAGTTGAATTTTGGTCGATGCGCTCAAGCCGAGCCATTAAATATTTTATTAGTACTGTAAAAACCGTTTTATGAAAGCGAGTATCGCCAATATTGCGCTGTGTATTCGCCAATTAACGATGATAGCCGCAATCGTTCATTTTAATGTGAGCCGCTTAGTAACAATAAAAAACCCGGCGACCGAACAAAAGATGAGATGTTCAACGTCATCTCGACCAGCAGGAGATCTTTAATTGCCCTGGCGTTTTTTCTTACTTCGCTAATTGCACATAAACATCCACAATCAAGCGTAATTTGTTAGCCGTTATTGCGGCGATGTTGCTTCTCGGCCGGAAAGGATGAACGAAATTAATTATACCGTCTATAATTTCTCTACGATAGAAACAGGAGTGTTTTTTAGATGTTTTAGAGCTACCGAGTTTTTAGATGTTACCGAGTCATAATTAAATTTTGCTCAACGTGTACTATGTGTAAAGTATAATAACTTCGATCAAATTAACAACAACTGGCTAGTTTATTGTATAGATGTAGGTACATACGTTTCAAAAGAGTTAGTAAGGAGATCCACAAATTGGTATTGTGTGACCTAAATCTCTAAACAACGGCATAATACGTTTACATGTCGAAACTTGTAATTTGTACGTATACTGTTAATTAAAGCTCAATATATCAGTTGCGCTAATTCAGAACACCTGTCTACGAAGCCGCATAGCAAGAGTTGAATGCATTTCGAAGTTTCTCGAAATCGAACTCCCTTACTATAGCTAATTATTAAGCAGAGCAGCATCAAATGGTAGGTAAATTGTTTGTTTTCAAATGATTTCGGATTGAATTGAGCCAATAAGAAGAGAATTACTACAGAGCATCTGCCTAAAAGGTACGAATGACTATTTTCATTTAGAGTGCTCGGATCAAAAGCTAAGGGGTTGGAATATGTAAATAAGAAGGTGTGCATGAACTTTCCAACGAATACTAGAAGAGTAGAATTCTATTAAAAGAAAATTGGTTTCTAAAGGGATCGCTTTAATTGCCATGCGAAAGGCGACTTTCTTTTCAACTAAAACTTCTCAATCCTACATAATATAAAAATAAATTCAAGCTGCAATATTATTATGAAACGACTACTTATTTTCTCTGCCGCAATTTGTTCTGTAATATTTTATTTAGTAGTCCCGCATGGGAGAATAAAAGTCGCAGGAGGCATTTCCTTATAAAAGTGAACTAAAAAGTATAAAGCAGCTGAACACTGTTTTCTTTACGGCAATGTAATCGTTTCAGTTATTCTACTAAAATAATAACACTTTTCATTACTCTAAGCGAAACCAACTACTGGCATTTTTATTATTTAAGTACAAATATGTTAGAGGTACTCGAAATATTTCTTAGGAAAAATTGTAGTTTAATTTAAAATAAAAAACATTGTTCATTGATATCTCAAAAATATTTCCTTTTTAAATATTCATTTAATCAGATACCTACAATATTTGTTGTTTTTAAACATAATATCAATATCACTACATTTAAATTTCTAATTTAAGTTAGGCTTAAAATAAGTATTCGATTTGCATCAAACGAAACACAGTTGGAATAGAGGGTAAAAGCTGTGTAAGTCGGGGAAGTGAGGGACGTGAATGTGTTGTGCAGCAGACAAGGCCTGTTGTTTAAAATGCATCATTATTGCGATTAAGTGCAGCAAGGCGTAAACACAGTTGCAACACATGTATGCAAATACTCCCTGCAAGAGCGACTCTCTCCCGCTAAACAAAAAAACGAAACCGACGAAGAGAATATCGTAGAGACGATTCGTTTCGCGTTTAATGCTGATTTATGTGCGTTTGTTATTTAAATAGATGCAAAATTCATACGATTTTTTAGTACGTAAGTAAGGATACTATTAGCATTAGAGTAGAAAATGTAATATTTTTTATTACTAACACGTTGCATTTATTATATGCATGCTGTATACCTATTTATTAATATTAACTTCCTTGATCATCGTTTTCTTTGAGATTTTTATTACATATTTCTTTACACCTTTTCATTATTTTCGTTTTTCTTCTTCAATTCTTCTGTAGTCTACAATCTACAATATAACTTTTTTAATTTACATTTAAAAAATGCCATCTAATTAGTAACATGAACTGATAATTTATTGTGTAAATTTCTATTTTTTAAATACATTCCTGCGACAAAATTATCCTGCAAGGTAATTCTCTGAGCCAACTTAGAGAGCCCTCTGTTGACACAACTCGATTCTCCTCCTTTGCAGGATATGTTTTCTGACTATAAAACTTTAGAGACATCTGGAGGGAAAATTCTAAACTAACATTGCAGGATTTATTTTCCGAATATTATAGAAAACAATGATAAAAAGCCACCTAGCGATAAGTTATCGAAAGTGTTACATTGCAGGAAATTTCCAGTAAAATGTTTCTTGCTGAAAATAAATTATTTTATAATAACTAAAGTATTAAATTATGAAGATTGTTATTATACAAATGTCATTAAATTCGATACTGATCCTGGAAACACATGTAACTTAAATCGGTAAGAAATACGAGTAAATCAATTTCCCTGCAAAAATATTCAACTCTGGTACGAAAATTTCCTAGATTTACTTCCACAATTTTACCACAGAGGACGCCTTTCGTCCATATGATTCCTTATCACTTGACATTGATACAAATTAAAACCCACCGATTTCTTCGGTCCTTCTAATTACCACCGAATGAAGAAAAACCGCTTTCCATCTTATTTCCACCCGAAACACCCGAAAGTAATTTCGAACGACGGTTCTTCGAAGGATTAAGTTAATTGCGAGGAAGCTACCCTCACTATTTCACTGTTAGAACGAGGCCGGGCAAAGAGGGCAAAAGGTAAAGATGACAAAGTAGAAACTCTATTTAAGTTCAGTTGTCCGTTCACGACCTAAGTCGTCGAGATTTATCAACGCGACTCCCTGTTGGAAAGGAAAATAAATTCCAACACCCAATTTACTTGATCGGGAGTTTTCAAACAAGCTATTTCTGGTAAATTAACCCTTATTTCTTAACAATACTTCTACATGGTGATTCATGTAAAAATCCCCCTTAAATGAATAATTTAGCACATTTCTTACCGCAATATTAAAATACTTCCTATTTTTTACACGTTGAAAGGAAACAAGCTTGTTTTACGATAAATTAAATTAATCACTTAGGTAGCGTATCTAATTTTCTAATAAATTTAATAAGGATAAGAGGATGACAAATTTGGGGGGAAAATGATTAGCTAGTAGTAAAGAAGTAAAGTTCCTAGTGCCACTTACATCCTCCAAAAGTTAATCAAAACCTGAGCTCAGAATCTACTTAAGCCAAATTATTTATTAAAACTCCTAATTAAGAATCCCAATAAAACTCCCACTCCGACTTTGATGTAGAAAATTCGCTCTAATGAATTAATAGTGAGACTCGTCGACATCAAAGTCAGGAATCTTCGATACCTGCTCGTGCTACAACTTTCGCTCAGCCGGAGTAAGTTTTCGATGCTCAATCTCCAAAATTCAATCTCTAGAGAGAGCCACTATTGATCATTAAACGGCGAATTTGCCGGAGTTTCGTTTCAGGTCAAGTCGTAGTTTTACCTACAGCAAGAATCCTTCTTCCCGTGAATTTTTCAGTTAAACTGCACGGAGTTTACAGAGCGATAAAGAATTGAGCGCTCAGAATCCTCTTATCCGATTCGCGACGATTTTTTGCTCGTTTTTTACAAGACTCCTATCCTAACACTTCTTTTTGGAATTTTCTTGTTAGTCGCATCAGTGACGTAATAACAAAATAGTTGTTTCCTAAGGAAACTTCTGTTCGATTTTCTACTAAAATTTTTGTTTTTAGTTAATGTAAAAATGTAGATGTAATTATTGCAGAAATGAACGTAGAATCTTCCTATCGTAATTCGATTGAAAATTTAATAATTGTACACCGAATTCGTACATACCTAATTAACCGAACTCAATGGAAATTATTGAAATTTCCCATTCTCTACTTTATTGAACTACTTTCGGAATGAATTTCCGTCCACCATCCATTGGAAGAGAGAACTCGATTCTCGGCCCGTGGAAGTTTCGAAAAGAATTTTATTAAAATTTTAAGTTCGGTCGGAATTGAATTCGACACATTGTTTGTAACAAAGTTTCCCCCGTTTTGGAGAAAATTTCAATACGGCTGCATCAGACGCCAATGCCGCAAATATTTGCGAGGTATATATATGAGGATATTACTCAATTTTCCATTCAACAGATGGAGTGCTTTCTTCGATTTTCCCGATGGAGCTATTCCAATAATAGTTAATAAAATTTGTCGAGTAAGTATGAACTAATAAGAAAATTCCATTCCGTATGCGATGAACAAATGCGGATATTTTTCTTCTACTATATTGGAATTTTAAATTCGATTTCATATTCTAAACAGGTATTGAATAGAAAAATAATAATGATAAATCGCAGAAATATAAAACGGTTTAAATTTATTTAAGAGAAGCAAAAATGTAAAAAAATATAAAAGCCATCCTGGCAGAATAATGCGCCAATTAAACCAACCCCACGATCTCTGTCGGGCAAAGTTCCATCGCATAACTTAACTCAACGTCGCCGGCGTACAGTCCATCCGATGTGGTCTGCATACCGTCGGAACCGAAGCCATTTAACAGAAAGTTAAAAGTTGAAACTCCCGACTGCGATTCGGTCGTTGGGAGTTCGCGATGTATCCGAACGTCGGCCATGCAAAGCGCCATCCGTAGGGGCGTCCCCGGGGAGCGATTCCGTTCGGATTTTCAGGACAGACTGCATTAGCGTCTACTGGTAAATTAATCGACGTAAAATTTTGAGATTCGCTCGACATTTCGGCCGGTCATATTTATGACATGTATTATTCGGAAGTCCACCAGGTATCTTATTATAATTTCAACTGCCGGCGAGTCCCGAGAGGAAGCTGCATTCCGAAATTTACAGATAACACCGTTCGTCAATTAAGCGGTGTTCGTTTTTTCCGCGATTCTACGTTACTGGCTCGGTCATCGTTCGCTAAAACGACAGAAGTTTGCACTTTAGGGAATCTCGCCACCTCAGTCGATTGCTCCCGAAAATAACTTTCTGATTAATTGAAATTTTATAAAATCTATTTGGTCTTGAGAGGAGACTCAGTAGAATTAACGCTCTAAAATCCGCCGGGGATCGTAACGACATTCACGAAAATTTTGTCAATTTAGCTGGATTACCCAAACAGATTAAATCAGAATTATCTATCGATAAATTGTGTCAGTATTATTCCGTATTGCAATATGCGCAATTCTACTAGTCAAGTCTAAATTCGATAACGAGCACTCCACATGGCACTTGTTCGTACAAATATTATCGATTCTTCTAGTCAAAACGATCCTAATTTGGTGCTTATCGATATCAAAGCACTCGCCTGTTTTTCCTTTGAACCGATACTCGAGAGTAACTAGTTCAATAAAGCTAAAGGAACGAGCTCTTTTACTGAAAATACGGCATCAACAAATTATCGAATGAACGTCTTTGGGAGCGAAGGGAATTTTAAGTTAATTCGTACGTTAGTCTTTTCAATTTGAGTTTATTTTTTGTAATGCGGCAATATTGGGCAATTCTGCAATCACTTAATCAGCTATTTAAACTAAAAGATATTCTAATTAATAGATAAATTGTAGTTTTCATAACGAAATTTTGTTGCTAAGTACATAAAATATAATACGTGCATGTAGTATGTAAATTCAAATTTGTTTGCTCTATTGTTGCAATTCGGTCATTTCATTAATCAATAAAATAAATAAACTGAAAATATCTTTATAATGTTAATGTAAAATGTATTAACACTAAACCTACACTGAATTTTGTAACTAATTTTTATGCAAATCGCTTAAAAATAATGTTAATTATACACAGACTTTTTTGTGTTTTTTTAATTAATATTATTCAACTAATGCACTGTCAAATTAAATTAATTTACATTGTATCAAACATACTATCAATAAAAATTGCTAATTATTCGAACATCGACTTGAAACATCCTGTTTTATTAGATTACTTACATAGGATTATCCACAACAGATAAATAAGGGAATATTATTTATCTTTAAATGGATTAAATACCAATTAATAATATATGACATATTCGTGGAAAAGATATACAAAGTAGGTAATAATTGTAACAGTATCATTTCTTAACATTTTTTGTGATTAAAGATAAATATAAATTCACTCCATCACATTACTATTTTACTAGTCCGTCTCAAATTTGCAAACAAAAATGAAACTAATCCTGCTGTTCATATTTAGCTGCGGGTTAACATTAGTGTACTCAAATTGCGGTAAGAAAACTGTTCCGAATAAATTCTCGAAATAATAACTTTTAATTGGTATTCTTAACCGTTCTCAGAGAGAGATCGCGAAATAATTTGCTACTGGGGCAGCTGGTCGATATACAGGAGGGAAATCGGATTCTTCAACGTCAGCAACATCAATACGGATATTTGCACGACAATCGTGTACGCTTTCGCCGGATTGGATTTGAATTTGGACTTGGCTTCTATCGACTCAAATGCAGATATAACTAGAGGTGCTCATACCATTTCTTTTATCAACTACTTTACAGGTATTGATAATGAATTTGCTTTGTAAATTTTGATAGGTGGGTTTGCCGAATTTGTCAAACTTAAGCAGAAGGAACCGTGCCTAAAAACCATGGTGGCTGTAGGGGGATGGAATGAGGGTACCCGGAAATTCTCTGTGGTATGTTAATTATCGAATAATTATGTAAATGTATAAAATGTATATTTATATGAAAGTACGCAGTTATCTAACCGTTGGAGCAATTAAGGAAATTTTTAGAATTTAAAATTTTTCGTACCTATGTACATATATGTGTAGGCCATAACATTCATAAAGCTGAAACACAACAAAAAAATAATTAGTAATGATTTATAGAAGTAATTATTTGATGATATGATTTATACAGTACCTACAAATATACTAATTTATACCAATTATCTAAGTTTTTAACATGTATTGTTAAAATAGGATATATTATATTTTCCGATAAAGACAAAAAGTTATTAATAATTTCGAAAGGCCAAATAATGATTTTACATAAAATAGTGCTGATTCACTTAGGTAAAAGAACAAATAGACTTAACATAATATAGATAACCAGAAGATAGCAACCAGATTATTGCAACAATAATCTTCTATAAATAGGCATCTTCAACGACAGAAAGCCGAAAGAACCTCGCCCAATCAATTCTCAAATTCCTCGTTTACTACGGATTCGATGGCATCGATATCGACTGGGAATACCCTACTTCCGAAGGCGGCTTACCCGAAGACGGTTCTAATTTTGTGGAGTTATTGAACGAAATCAAAACAGCAATATCTCCATGGGGTCTCAAATTATCTATTGCCGTATCCTTCGATAACTCCCTCATCGGAACTGGATATAATATAATAGGAATAAACAAGTTAGTAGTGTCATTAAGTTTAGGTATAATTCTGTGCATTCTTAAATTATGAAATATCTTTTTTATTTTGCCTAATTCTATTCGAATTTACTAATCTTTTATAAATTCCAGATCTGTAGATTTTGTTAACTTAATGGCTTACGACTACATTTCCTCAAATTCTAATTACACAGGATTGTCTGCACCGTTGAGTAAAATTGTAAGTTTTAGCTGAAAAATATTTTTCTGCTTATGTGGAAAGAACCTTTAACACTAAATAGTTTAAATTACGTAGAATGAAACTGTTACAAAGTGGCTGAATGGTGGACTGTCGTCTAAAAAACTCGCCTTGGGCATTCCAGCTTACTGTAAAAATTTTGTTCTTAAAGACCCCCAAAAAAATGGAATAGGCGCAGAAGTAAAAGCAATAGGGTTACCGGGAGATTTTACTCAACAGGAAGGCCTATTGGCTTATTACGAGGTAGGTAACTAATGTATTTACAAGCGATGGCAGAGCCAATTTTATTATTTAAAATTAATTCGACAGGTTTTACAAATTGAAAGTATTAGGAAGACAGCAGTAAATATGGTTGATGGTACTATTTACGGTTATCATGATGATGAGTGGATGACATACGATAATGAAGAAACTGTTTCAGGAAAGGTTAGTTTACATAAGCAATATATTATACTGTTTTTACCATGCTGTAAAAAGGTTGGGTTTTTGCTTTGTAGATATGGTGTATAGGTGTTGTATGAATAATTAAAATTGTAGGTGAAATACGCAATATCTCAAAATTTGGGAGGAATAATGTTTTGGTCTTTGGAGCTGGATGATTTCAATGGCGAATTTGGCGACCCTTACCCCTTGTTGAATGCTGTTCACAAAGAATTTAAAGATTTTGTTTAATTAATATGTTTTATTTAAATGTATACCTATGGTAGTGGATACGTAAAATCTTAATATTTATTAACACATAATTAAGATATGGTCTTATGTCTGTTTTATAAAGAAATAAAATATCAACCAATAAAGATTACAGTTGGAAATTTTATACCTACTCTATCATTATTAAAGATGCTGTAACCAAATAGCTATTTAATATTTTAAGGCATAATTTTAAACATTTGAATATCGGTATTTAATAAACAATATTCATCTACCTACAAACCTTCAAATACAATTACTTAGTAAATGTCCTGCATACATGCGAGAAACCTAGAAGACCGTATTTACTTATGATACTCCAGAATTGCGTCACTGTGACCACCGGTCGTGACCGAACCTACATTGAAGGGTTGAATCGTTGAACGGGGTAGAGAGTAAACGTAAATATTTGACAATATAGTTTTCGGATATTAACATGAATTTCGTATAATGTATCACGTTTCAGTTCTCTGCGAGCAGCACGAAGAAGTAATTAATAATTTTAATTAACTGTAATTGGCACGCGGGTTTGATTTAAACTAGCAGCTCTCCTTAATTTAATTGATTATCTGATAATGATGACTCAATTATCATTTGAAATATCAGAGTACAGACCTAAATATAGATAATATAAATATATCCATGATATTAATATGCAACAATGTTAAGAGGAAGTTATTCAGTAAATGATAAAACAAGTGTATTAGCAAATATTTACCTTGGTAAATGTTTATCAAATCATTTATGTTATTATGAAATAATTAAATAAATAGGTAAAAATATTGTTAATAATTCTATTCTTTATCTACCTATACTTTTTTGGAAACCCTTGTCCTCCAAATGTTGTGATAATATTCCACGGGCGAGGTTTTTAACAATTTTAACAAAATTAATATTAATTGTCTCATTTTGCCGTTGATTTATTCCAGTTTACATAGGAAAATGTCTTCTTATCGTGTTCATTTTACGTTGATTGGACTTTAAATCATTATTTAATGCAAAAATAGGCAAACCATTAAAATAATACTTAAAATAATACCTACACTAGGAAACTGCGTATTTGTCGGTGAACTACCTATAATTTTAAAATTATGTTCCATGGATGGAGTATTTATTTAAAAAAAATAAGAATTTCACTTTAAGAAGGCTATTTTAAAGTTAGAGTTAAACAGTTAATGCCCAATTCCCACTAAGTAGTTAATGCTGTCTTTGAAATAAAATACATTTTAATTTAATTTAGTATTTTTTTCTCTAATAAACGACAATTTTGTATAGACGCCACTGAAATAGGTACCCACCTACTTTCGATGACTCAAAATTCATATATAAATATTCCGGAATCATAGATGGACAATATTCCGAAAAATTATGAACTTGTGTTAAAAACTGCGAGTCATTGAAATAAAGGGATAAGCATGTTTTTTTTCTACTATTTCCTAACGGTTTTTTTGCCGTTCATATTGACCGATGATGAATGCGGTGTTACTGTAACAAAATGTGTAAACTCCAAATACAGGACTATCACTGGAGAATGCACTAACTTGAAGAATCCCAATTGGGGCACCCCTCACTCCACGTACGACAGATTATCCCAACCCAGATATGGACCAGGTAAGTTAAACCATACTCTCTTACATACATCTCAAATAACGTTAATACAAATTGCAGACGGTTCGATCCGTAAAGCTGTTAACGGAAGCGATTTACCCAATGCTCGACTTGTTTCCCGAATGGTTTATCAGGATGATACTTTACCAGAAAAACACCTAACTATGTCTGCGATCGAAACAGGACAATTCGTAGCGCATGATTTGAGTTTTAGTTATGTCGGTAAGATCTAGGAACCTGCTAAAATCATTATGCTTTTAAAATTTTTAAAAAACTATTAAAAATCTTCTTGACCTGTATTTAAGTAATAATAGTTAGATAGCAAGAATAAGTGGTGAAATTACCCCCCAAAATTAATCAGTCCATTTTAAATCTACAGTTGGAGACACTGAAGGATGCTGCTCAGAATCTCAACAATGGCTAGAAAAAGAACCTCAAGAATGCAGGAGCGTTAAAATTCCTGAAGGTGATCCAGTCTATGATCTCTACAACGTCACATGCATTTCCAATTCCAGAACGTACACTAACAGAGATTTTAATTGCTCAACCAATTTGAAATATGATGAGCAGGTAAAACAAAATAAATTAGTCCATACACTTAATTTAACTTCATTAGCTAAATAAATAATTTTAAAGTTATCAGAAACCAATGCCTTTCTGGATTTGTCTATAAACTACGGAGTATCGGAAGAAGACCACAAAACATTGAGAGCTTACAAGGATGGTAAATTGAAATTGGACGAAAGGAATGGGCAAGAGTGGTTTCTTCAATCAAAAACACGTACAGAGTGCCCCTTTTCACGTTCGACTGATAGATGTTATCGAGCCGGTAAATAATTACATAATTCATTAAATTATTTTTCAAATATAGCACAAAAAGAGGCTTAAACTTTAGTCTGTTTTAATTTACTTACGCTATTTTATGATGTAATCGGATAATAGTAAAATTACAAACTTTCTATTCTTATCGTTTTTCAGCCGATTCAAGAGTAGATCAAAATCCTCTATTAACGATCGTTCATTTGATGTGGGCCAGAGAACACAACAGACTGGCTTCGAAGTTGAAAAGCCTAAATCCCAATTGGAACGACGAAAAATTATTTCAAACAGCTAGACAGATTGCGATAGCTGAGCACCAGTATATTTCTTACTACGAGTTACTACCTTTGTTTCTTGGTAGAGAAAACATGTTGAAAAGCAAGATTATATACGAAAAGCAGGGATTTATCAACGATTACGATGAAAATATGCGACCGCACGTTTTTAACGAACAAGCTCAAGGAGCTATGAGGAGGTACCACACCATGATCCAAGGAGAAGTAGAGTAAGATATGAGGAGAAATACATATAGAAGCGCATGTACAATTGTGTTTCTTGCAGCTTGGTAAATGAAGGAGGCTGCCCGTACAGGTACGCCAATCTTCGGGACGTCGTAAACAAACCAAATTGGCTGGAAGAGCGCGACAACTTAGACGGAATCGTCAGAGGTATGAATACCCAACCGGCCATCGCGCCTGACACTTTCGCGAAAAGAGAGGTAAGCGCATACAAATAAATTGATTTTGAAATGATGGGAGCATAATGTTAACTTTTAAGATTACTGCGTATCTATTTATCAACAACAAACCGGTGGGTCTCGACCTTATAACCAGGGATCTCCAAAGGTCCAGAATTCACGGATTAGCTAGTTACAACGACATAAGGGAAAAGTGCGGTTTCAAAAAAGCGGAGACCTTCGACGATTTTTTGGATCACATAGAACCAAAAGTATAGTGCTTGCTATTTTTTTCTTCATTTTCATATCCTTTTTTCATTCTTTTCAGTATTTTTATATTATGTAAACTTGGTTATTATATTTATATCTCAGGATTTGAAAAACTTATAATATTTTTAGAAAGTTGAGCTATTGAAGAAATTATACGACCATCCAGATAGCGTCGACTTGGTAGTGGGTGGTACAATCGAGAAAGCCGAGGAAGGCACGATGTCAGGACCGACGTACAATTGCATTATGATGAAGCAGTATTACAGAACGAGGAAAAGTGACCGGCTATGGTTCGAGAACAGCGAATCCGGTTTAACAGAAAGACAACTAAGGGAAATTAAAAAAGCCAGTATGTCCAAGCTGTTCTGCGACAATGTTGTCGGAGTAAAAACAATGCAGAGGCACGGTTTCCTGCAAGTATCCAAGAGGTAAAGTTATTCTACAGTTTCCACTTAATATCTAATATTCTATTAATTTGTAGCAACCCACGAGTTGATTGTAAACGTATCCCTGGACCTAATCTCGAATTATGGCGTGAAACACCCCGCATTCGTGGAAATTGTTCGGAATAACCTATAATTTTTTACTACTCTGTGTTAACTATTGTTTAAAATTACCATTAAATACCTATTAGTAGTAAAAATATTAATTTCTGAATGCTAACGAAATTTAATTACCACACCTAATTCTCTATACCATATCCAAGTGTATTTCAGAAAGCGTCAATTGAATTTCAGAATAGTCACTTATATGATAATTTCTTCATTCACAAATGATAATTTCTTAAATACAATTGACTATTCTGAAATTCAATTGATGATTTCTGAAATTAAATTGACTATTCTGAAATACAAACAGATACTTTTCGAAATATAAGTGACTATTCTTAAATTCAATTGACGCTTTCTGAAATACAACTGAAAAAGGTGTAGTATGTGTCAGAGGGGCAATTCTTGATTTTACGAAAAAAGTTATTCTTCATATTCTGCATGGTCTAAAACAAAAAAGGCAACCATCAGATATTACATTTTTTCCGTTGTATACGAGATATCTAAAAAAATATGAATTTGGTACAATAGCAAAGTAACTTTATTTATTACAATATCGAAATTTGTTATTAAGAAAAGTTGATTAGAATCTAAAAGTATGTTCAGATAACTAATTCCACCACCTTTGATGAAAATGAAGTTTCTTTATTTTTCACGTTCGCTCCATATGGAACTCTTTTTCATCATTAATATTAAAGCACCTTTATTTTTGACAATATCGGAAACTATCGGAAACAACTTTTCTTAATAATAAAATTCCGATTATGTCATAAATAATGTTATGGGTCCTGTAGACACAAACAGGCATCCATTGAAAAGGACTGAGGCCTTCATCGAGGGACTCGGCTTTATGGATGCATAAACAGCAGTAATAGCACAATGGGCGGCCCAGAGGCCGCAGAGACTGAACCTTTGCCTGTGCCAAGATTCGCCTCTGCCCTTAGTGTAGTAGTAGTAGTAGTAGTAGTGTTCGTAGTATGTCATAAATAATGTTACTTTACTCTTGCATCAAATTCATATTTTTGCATACCTCGTATACGACTAAAAAAATGTTATATGATGATGGTTGCATTTTAGGTTTTTTTTCGTAAATATAAAAATCAAAAAGGTTTTCCATATGGTGCGAACTTAAGCAGACACGCTGTATTAAAAAATCTGAAAAAAAATAAGTGACAAAAAATGGGCAAAATGAATTCATTAAATTAGTGGAGATAAGAAAACCTAAATAATTTAAAGTAAAGAAAAAATAGGGTGAGATTATATGTAAAAGGCCCCTGTAGAAATTTGGACAGTCCAGTTTTGTCAATTTTTTTATTAATAAACATGCTTTTGTTATAAATGTAATACGTGGCAAATTTCATGTAGATTTGTTGAGTATTACTTGAGTTATAAAAAAACAAAACAATTTTTATTTATTAGCACTGTAAACAGGTACACAAACGGCATTTATGCGGCATTTTGGAATTTCTTGACTTAATTTTGACACCAGAATTGATATAATTTATGACCCATCTATTTGTTACACCCCTTGCTCTTAATATATCAAAGAAAAAATTTATGAACATCCTTCTTATCGACTTAGTTAAGGATTCTTTTTGAATTTTAAATTATTTTTAAGTACGTTGGTTATGTGTATTTGTAAGCCATAACTATTTAGAAACATGAAACGCTAACTATTTAGAACCCTGAAATATAGCAAAAAAATATAAATATTAAGTACCTAATGACTTATGCCGTGGCAAATCTAAAATTCATAATCAGCACAAATATACGTAGTAATTTATACCAATTATTTAAGTTTTTAACATGTTTTGCTAACATGGGACTTATTATATCTACGACGAAGAGAAAAAGAATTAAATAGAATTATACAATAATTTATAAAAGTTCAACATTTATTATTGTATAAAATTTTTTATAAGCTTCGGCCGGTTTATCTGTTAACAAGGAAAAATATAATGGAATGTCGTCACAATAACCGTAGTATTGTTAAAAATTTCTTAGGAAAACACCTCACAGTAATTGAATGATCCTTCTAAATAAATTTTAGAAGGTAGATATTTTCTTGGATTATCTGAACGAATGATCTTAAAAAATTTATTCGGATATCCACCACAACATTTCGTTTGCAGACAGAGTAAAAACAAACGATTTGCACTTTCTTATTATTACAAATTCATCTTTTCTCATCACTTTTCAACAACTCTTCAACAACTCTTCAACAACTCTTCAACTTTTAAAACTCATATAGTATAGTTATCTAAAACTAATAAATGTTCGTCGTTTATTCAAATTAATATCGGGACAAATGATAGAAATTAATAGGTTAGTTCAATTCAACTTCAAGCACAAATGAAAACTACTGTACTACGATATTAATTGTAGAGTGTATGAAGACAACTTCCATTAGTTCCGGTATAAAAAACGAAAATAAAACTCACAGAGTTAACCATATTGCTTTAATATTTGCACTCATCTACATAAGCAGGATCTACAAGGACGTATTTACTCAATTATATGTATAGTATGTACCTAGTATACTAGTATTAATGATTTATCGTTGATAATATTAATTAATTAATAGGTAAAATATTCTTATTATTCTAATTTGTTATCAATATTAATTTTTTTATCATCCAAATTTTCCGACAATATTCTAGGGAGAGGTTATAAACTGAAACTGTTAGCAAAATTAATGTTAATTGTCTAATTTTGCCGTTGATTTATTCAAATTTTACTTTTGAAAATATGTTCTTATCGTGCTAACTTCACGTTAATTGGGCATTAAAACTTATATTATTGTAAACAATGGGCGACAAAAATTAAAATAATGTCGGCAAAAACATACTCCGTAATTCTATTATCGGGCTGATAACTATACCTATAAATTAGATAAATTATTATGTTCCATGGATGGAGTAAATTTAGAAACAATAAGATTTTTGTACGTTAATTGTAACAAAAAAAATTCTAATAGTTTTATACCAAATATGCTCAATTCATATTAATTAACGAAGTCTATGAAGTACATAGATTGTAGAATAGTTGTTAATTTAATAAACTTGGGCCGTGTTCCCCTGTGAAGGAAAACATGTAGCCATTCCAATGATATTTTTGCCGATTTTAAGACGAATTTAGCGACCTGCAACACAAGGTCATTCTTTAAATATTCTGGTTCCCTTTAAAAAAATTTAGTTGACCTTGACGTAGCTCTAACGCCTCCAACGATAAAAAAGAGGGTGGCCCTATATGACAGCCTTCTTGACTGTTATTGCTTTGTAACACTTTATGTGTCTCACCCTGTATATTGATAACACACTTTTCTTTTCACAAAATTGATTGTAAATAATAAAACCATGCACAATTTGTTAAGTATTTTTATTGGTATTCTGACAAGCGACAGTGATTTATTGTAGCATGTTTTTTACATGTCTTTACATATTACACGCCACTGAAGTCCTATCAAACACTCAAAATCATATACACAGGTATACGGATTAAGGGTATTCCAAATATAATCCGAAAAAGCATGAACTCACGTTAAAAACTTCGAGTAGGCGGTTGGAATAGACCGATAAGCATGATTTTTGTCTACATTATCCTGACGGTTTTTTTGCCGTTCATATTGACCGATGATGAATGCGGTGTTACTGTAACAAAATGTGTAAATACCAACTACAGGACTCTCTCAGGAGAATGCACTAACTTGAAGAATCCCAATTGGGGCACCCCTCAGTCCACGTACGACAGATTCGCCCAACCCAGATATGGACCAAGTAAGTTAAACCACGCACTCTTACAAACATCTCAAATAACGTTAATACAAATTGCAGACGGTACGATCCGTAAAGCTGTAAACGGAAGCGATTTACCCAATGCTCGACTAGTTTCTAGAATGGTTTATGGAGATAATACTTTACCAGAAAAACGTTTAACTATGTCCGCGATAGAAACTGGACAATTTTTAGGGCACGATTTAAGTTTCACTTTTCTTGGTAAGTCTTGGTAACCTTTCTAATATTTGCGCCAATAACGTTTTTTAACCACGGTTCATGGACTTTGAAGTATCTATTAGAGTAGTACTCAAGTATCAATAGTTTACCAGCCAGAATAAATAATGAAATTACACCCTAATAATAATCAATCTCTATGCCACATCTGTAGATGGACAGTTATATAAATGTTGCTCACCATCCCAACAAGTGTTAGAGAAAGCCCCTCAAAGATGCAGGAGCGTAATAATTCCCGAAAATGATCCAAGCTTCGAACTCTACAACGTCACATGCATTGCTATTACCAGAACATACACGAATAGAGATTTTAATTGCTCAACCAATTTGAAATACGATGAGCAGGTAAAAATAGAACAAATATGTCTATACACTTCATTTAATTTCATTTCCTAAATAAATTAACTTTAAGTTATCCGAAACCAACGCCTTTCTCGATTTGTCTTTAATATACGGACTGACGGAGGAAGACCACAAAACATTAAGAGCTTACAAGGATGGTAAATTAAAATTGGACAAAAGAAATGGACAAGAGTGGTTTCTTCAATCCAAAACACATATAGAGTGCCCCCTTTCACTTTCTACTGATAGATGTTATCGAACCGGTAAATAATTGCATTATCCATTAAACTGCTTTTCAAATGTGGCACAAAAGGAGGCTTAAATTGTAGTCTGTTTCAATTTACTCACTCTATCTGTTTTATGTTGTAAACAGATATTAACAAAATTACAAAAATTTTTATTCTTTTTGATTTTAAGGCGATTCGAGAGTAGATCAAAATCCTCTATTAACCATCATTCACTTGATGTGGGCCAGAGAGCATAATAGACTGGCGTCGAAGTTGAAAAGCCTAAATCCCAATTGGAACGACGAAAAATTATTTCAAACAGCTAGACAGATTGCGATAGCTGAGCACCAGTATATTTCTTACTACGAGTTACTACCTTTGTATTTAGGCAAAGAGAATTTGTTGAAAAACAAGATTATATACGAAAAGCGTGGATTTATCAACGATTACGATGAAAATATTAGACCGCACCTTTATAACGAACACGCTCAAGGAGCTATGAGGCGGTTCCACACTATGATCCAAGGGGATGTAGAGTAAGTTATGAGGGAAAAGGTAGAATTGCATATATAATTGTTGTATTTCTCTAAGCTTGGTAAATGAAGAAGGCTGTCCGTACAGAAACGCTAATCTTCGAGACCTCATCAACAAACCACATTGGCTGGAAGAGCGCGACAACATAGACGGAATCACCAGAGGTATGAATAACCAACCGGCAATCGCGCCTGATACATTCACCAAAAAAGAGGTAAGGGCATACATATAAATTAATTTTGGAATCTAGGAGTTTATTGTTGACTTTTAAGATTTCTGCGTTTCTATTTCTCAAAAACATACCAGTAGGCTACGACCTTATAAGCATCGATCTCCAAAGATCCAGAATTCACGGATTGGCTACTTACAATGACATAAGGGAAAAGTGCGGTTTAAAAAAAGCTGAGACCTTCGACGACTTTTTGGATCACATAGAACCAAAAGTATAGTACCTACTCGCTATTTCAACTCGGTAATTAAAATTATGCCTTAAAACTAAAACACTTATATTCTTTTCAGAAAGTTAAGCTTTTGAAGGAATTATACGACCATCCAAATAGCGTAGATTTGTTAGTCGGTGGTACGATGGAGAGAGTCGAGGAAGGTACGATGGCAGGACCGACATTCAATTGCATTATGTTGAAGCAATTCTACAAAACGAGGAAAAGTGATCGGTTATGGTTCGAGAACAGCCAATCCGGTTTAACAGAAAGACAACTGAGGGAAATTAGAAAAGCCAGCATATCCAAGCTGTTCTGCGATAATGCTGTCGGGGTAAAAACAATGCAGAAGCACGGTTTCCTGCAAGTATCCAAAAGGTAAAGTTATTCTACAGTTTCCCCTTAATATCTAATATTCTATTAATTTGTAGCAACCCACGAGTTGATTGTAAACATATCGCTGGACCTAATCTCGAATTATGGAGTGAAACACCCCGCATTCCTAGAAGTTGTTCCGAATAACATATAATTTATTAATACTCTGTGTTATCTATTGTTTAAAATAACCATTAAATACCTATTAGTAGTAAAAATATCAATTTCTGAATGATAACGAAATTTAATTACCACACCTAATTCTCTATACCATATCAAACTGTATTTCAGAAAGCGTCTGGTTTATTTAAGAATGCGTCAATTGAATTTCAGAATAGTCACTTATATTTCGGAAAATATCGATTGTATTTCAGAAAAGTCATTTCGATTTCAGAAAACATCAATTGCATTTTAGAATAATCAATTTGATTTCAGAAACCATTAGTTGTATTTGAGAATAGTCAGTTTGATTTCGGAAAGGATCATTTGAATTTCCAAATAGTCAAATTCATTTCAGAAATCATCATTTGTATTTTGGAATACTGTAGTGGAATCCTACTTTTCACAATATTCTGTCGATCGTCTAGTTCTTGAATTAGTAGGACACGCCTGGTTGTTTTGTACATTAATACGGAATTCAGGCGGGGAGAATTAGGAGGATATTTAATAAAATACGAAATTATCCCATTATACCATTTATTGGGATTAAAAAAACCCTTGAAATAAATAAAACGAAAAAAAAAATACATGAATAAATAATTAAATGAAACCTAAAAGAAATAGAGAACTAAAAGGTTAATGGGCAAACAAATAGATTAACAAATCAATCAATATACAAATAAAAAAAACAGTAAATAAATAAATAAATCAGTAAATCAATCAATAAATAAATCAATTAAATAAATAACCAAAGAAACAAGGAAACAGGAAATAAATAAATAAATCAGTAAGTAAATAAATCTTGAAATCAAACAATAAATAAATCAATTAGATAGATAAATATGAAATAGTAAATAAATAAATAAATGAATGAATAAATAAATAAAGAAAGAAATCATTAAAGCAATCAATAAATAATCAATTAAATAAACAAGTAAATAAATACATCAGTATAGGTAAATAAATAAATGGGGAAATAAATGAATCAATAAATAAGGATAAATAAATGCATATTCCGCAAATAAAATAGGTACCTTACATTTACTACTATCGAGGACCATGCTACCCTAATACAAAAATCACGCAAAAATCTATACCTTTTCATGCCATACACTTTTTATACATGCAGTCACTAATTTTCTAATCTGCAGTTAAAACTACCACTCCCTATTAGCGTCAATACTCTTCTGAATTTCGTCGCCGATTCCACCTCCCTTCACACCCCAATATCTTTCAAAAACACAGCAATGCGCTGTATTTTAGAATTCTGAAATTTTCTGTGACGTAGTCCCTTTGTTCCTACACTTATTGCGACGCAAAACTAGCCACTAATAAAACATCTGGTCGAGCGCGTCGGGGTTTTACAATGCGGCGTAGAATTAACAAAATTTCGAAAAAGACCAGTGCCGGGGATGAATATTATAAATTCAATTTGATCCATAGGCAGGATCCTTCAATACTTCAATATCTATAGCTTTTTAATCTCAATTTCAGACAAAATTTTAAAGGTATCAGTTCCTGAAGAATAATTGCGATTTCAGAAAAAAATATTTCAAGTCCGAAAAAATAATATAAATTGTGGAGTAGACTGCGTTTTTCTTCTTCGTTAATAATTGTCATATGATTTCTGCATTTCAAATGGGACTCTGAAATCCTTTTGACGGTTTCCGAAATATACGAACGACACTTTCCGAAACACAAATGATTATTTCTTAAATACAATTGACTATTCTGAAATTTAATTGATGATTTCTGAAATCAAACTGACTATTCTAAAATTCAATTGATGATTTCTGAAATCAAATTGACTATTCGGAAATACAATTGATACTTTCCGAAATATAAGTGACTATTCTTAAATTCAATTGACGTTTTCTGAAATACAACTGGAAAAGGTAGTATATGTCAGAGGGGCAATTCTTGACTTTACGAAAAAAGTTATTCTTCATATTCTGCATGGTCTAAAACAAAAAAGGCAACCATCAGATATTATACATTTTTTCCTATTAGATAACCAATTCCACCATCCTTGATGAAAAAGAAGTTTCTTTATTTTTCACGTTAGCTCCATATGGAACTCTTTTTCATCATTAATATTAAAGCACCTTTATTTTTGACAATATCGGAAACTATGGGAAACAACTTTTCTTAATAATAAAATTCCGATTATGTCACCATTATGGGTCCTGTAGAGACAAACAGGCATCCATTGAAAAGGACTGAGGCCTTCATCGAGGCACTCGGCTTTATGGATGCATAAGCAGCAGGAATGGCACAATGGGCGGCCCAGAGGCCGCAGTGCCTGAACCTTGGCTTGAGCTTGCCTCGGCCAAGATTCGCCTCTGCCCTTAGTGTAGTAATAGTAGTAGTAGTGCTCGTAGTATGTCATAAATAATGTTACTTTACTCTTGCATCAAATTCATATTTTTGCAAACCTCGTATACGACTAAAAAAATGTAATATCTGATGGTTGCATTTTAGGTTTTTTTTCGTAAAATTAATAATCAAAAAGGTTTTCCATATGGTGCGAACTTAAGCAGACACGCTGTATTAAAAAATCTAAAAAAATTAAGTGGCAAAAAATGGGCAAAATGAATTCATTAAATTAGTGGAGTTAAGAAAACCTAAATAATTTAAGGTACAGAAAAAATAGGGTGAGATTATATGTAAAAGGCCCCTGTAGAAATTTGGACACTCCGGTTTTGTCAATTTTTTTGTTAATAAACATGTTTTTGTTATAAATGTAATACGTGGCAAATTTCATGTAGATTTATTGAGTATTTCTCGAGTTATAAAAAAACAAAACAATTTTCATTAATTAGCACTGTAAACAGGTAAACAAACGGCATTTATACGGCATTTTGGAATTAATCGACTTAATTTTGACACCAGAATTGATATAATTTATGACCCATCTATTTGTTACACCCCTTGTTTCTTATCGACTTAGTTAAGGATTCTTTTTGAATTTTCAATTATTTCTAAGTACGTTAGTTATGTGTATTTGTAGGCCATAACTATTTAGAAACATGAAACGCTAACTATTTAGAACGCTGAAATATAGCAAAATAATACAAATATTAAGTACCTAATGATTTATCCCGTGGCAAATCTAAAATTCATAATCAGCACAAATATACGTAGTAATTTATACCAATTATTTAAGTTTTTAACATGTTTTGCTAACATGGGACTTATTATATCTACGACGAAGAGAAAAAGAATTAAATAGAATTATACAAATAATTTATAAAAGTTCAACATTTATTATTGTATAAAATTTTTTATAAGCTTCTGCCGGTTTATCGGTTAACAAGGAAAACTATAATGGAATTTCGTCACAACAACCGTAGTATTGTTAAAAATTTCTTAGGAAAACACCTCACAGTAACTGAAAGATCCTTCTAAATAAATTTGAGAGGGTAGATAAAAGGTTCCTATATTTTCTTGGATTATCTGTCCTACGAATGATCTTAAAATAATTATTCGGATATCCACCACAACATTTCGTTTGCAGACAGAGTAAAAACAAACGATTTGCACTTTCTTATTATTACAAATTCATCTTTTCTCATCACTTTTCAACAACTCTTCAACAACTCTTCAACTTTTAAAACTCATATAGTATAGTTATCTAAAACTAATAAATGTTCGTCGTTTATTCAAATTAATATCGGGACAAATGATAGAAATTAATAGGTTAGTTCAATTCAACTTCAAGCACAAATGAAAACTACTGTACTACGATATTAATTGTAGAGTGTATGAAGACAACTTCCATTAGTTCCGGTATAAAAAACGAAAAGAAAACTCACAGAGTTAACCATATTGCTTTAATATTTGCACTCATCTACATAAGCAGGATCTACAAGGACGTATTTACTCAATTATATGTACCTAGTATACTAGTATTAATGATTTATCGTTGATAATATTAATTAATTAATAGGTAAAATATTCTTATTATTCTAATTTGTTATCAATATTAATTTTTTTATCATCCAAATTTTCCGACAATATTCTATGGATGAGGTTATAAACTGAAACTGTAAGCAAAATTAATGTTAATTGTCTAATTTTGCCGTTGATTTATTCAAATTTTACTTTTGAAAATATGTTCTTATCGTACTTCACGTTAATTGGGAATCAAAACTTTATTATTGCAAACAATGGATGACAAAAATTAAAATAATGTCGGCAAAAACATACTCCGTAATTCTATTATCGGGCTGATAACTAACTATACCTATTAACTAATTAGATAAATTATTATGTTCCAAGGTTGGAGTAAATTTAGAAACAATTTGTATTTGTGTACAATTTGTATAAGATTTTTGTATGTTAATTGTAACAAAAAAATTCTAAAAATTTTATACCAAATATGCTCAATTCCTATTAGTTAACGAAGTCTATGAAATACATAGATTGTAGAATAGCTTTTAATTTAATAAACTTGGGCAATTGTAATTGCAGTGAACTGAAAAGTTATAATAATACGAGTACATCTACAGCGTGAGGCACATAAAGTGTTACAGAGCAATAACCGTCAAACTATTTATCATACACCTTGCTTCATTTCCGTTTGCAATATGGTCATTTCTATGACTGGAACAAAGAAAGATTATTAAAATGACAGTTGTCAGAGTAAAAAGTTGCAATGACACAAATGTCACTCTTTCCTTTTCCTTTGTAAGTGTCTATTGGAAGTTGTCCACCCATGGCCTATATAACCTATGTTGCGATCAAAAATGGAGCAACTCGTATACAAAAAAGTTTCAGACAAATGTTGAATTGTTTGAGAAGGCCGTCATACTGGGACACCCTCTTTATTATCGGCGAAGGGGCTGAAGCTACGTCAAGGTCAACTCCACTTTTTTAAAGGAAAACATGTATAGTTTCTTTCCGATGATATTATTGCCGATTTTAAGACGAATTCAGCGACCTGCAACACAAGATCATTCTTTAAACATTCTGATTGCCTTTAAACACTTTATGTGCCTCAACCTGTATATTGACAACACACTTTTCTTATCACAAAATAGTTTGTAAATAATAATAATAATAATAAGTATTTTTATTGGTAAACAGACAAGCGACAGTGATTTATTGTAGCATATTTTTTACATATCTTTACATAATACACGCCACTGAAGTCCTATCAAACACTCAAAATGCATATTCACAGGTATACGGATTAAGGATACTGCAAATATAATCCGAAAAAGCATGAACTCACGTTAAAAACTTCGAGTATAGGCGGTTGGAATAGACCGATAAGCATGATTTTTGTCTACATTATCCTGACGGTTTTTTTGCCGTTCATATTGACCGATGATGAATGCGGTGTTACTGTAACAAAATGTGTAAACACCAACTACAGGACTATCACAGGAGAATGCACTAACTTGAAGAATCCCAATTGGGGCACCCCTCAGTCCACGTACGACAGATTCGCCCAACCCAGATATGGACCAGGTAAGTTAAACTAGACTCTCTTACATCTCAAATAACTTTAATACTAATTTGCAGACGGTACGATCCGTAAAGCTGTTAACGGAAGCGACTTACCCAATGCTCGACTAGTTTCCCGAATGGTTTATCAGGATAATACTTTACCAGAAAAACGTTTAACTATGTCAGCGATAGAAACTGGACAATTTTTAGGGCACGATTTAAGTTTCACTTTTCTTGGTAAGTCTTGGTAACCTTTCTAATATTTGCGCCAATATCGTTTTTTAACCACGGTTCGTGGACTTTGAACTATCTATTAGAGCAGTACTCAAGTATCAATAGTTTACCAGCCAGAATAAATAATGAAATTACACCCTAATAATAATCAATCTATATGCCACATCTGTAGATGGACAGACATTTAAATGTTGCTCAGCTTCCCAACAAGTGTTAGAGAAAGCCCCTCAAAGATGCAGGAGCGTAATAATTCCCGAAAATGATCCAAGCTTCGAACTCTACAACGTCACATGCATTGCTATTACCAGATCATACACGAATAGAGATTTTAATTGCTCAACCAATTTGAAATACGATGAGCAGGTAAAAATAAAACAAATATATCTATACACTTCATTTAATTTCATTTCCTAAATAAATTAACTTTAAGTTATCCGAAACCAACGCCTTTCTGGATTTGTCTTTAATATACGGACTGACGGAGGAAGACCACAAAACATTAAGAGCTTACAAGGATGGTAAATTGAAATTGGACAAAAGAAATGGACAAGAGTGGTTTCTCCAATCCAAAACACGTATAGAGTGCCCCCTTTCACTTTCTACTGATAGATGTTATCGAACCGGTAAATAGTTGCATTATCCATTAAATTGCTTTTCAAATGTAGGACAAAAGGAGGCTTAAATTGTAGTCTGTTTCAATTTACTTACTCTATCTGTTTTATGTTGTAAACAGATATTAACAAAATTTCAAAATTTTTTTTTCTTTTTGATTTTAAGGCGATTCGAGAGTAGATCAAAATCCTCTATTAACCATCATTCACTTGATGTGGGCCAGAGAGCATAATAGACTGGCGTCGAAGTTGAAAAGCCTAAATCCCAATTGGAACGATGAAAAATTATTTCAAACAGCTAGACAGATTGCGATAGCTCAGCACCAGTATATTTCTTACTACGAGTTACTACCTTTGTATTTAGGCAAAGAGAATTTGTTGAAAACCAAGATTATATACGAAAAGCGTGGATTTATCAACGATTACGATGAAAATATTAGACCGCACCTTTATAACGAACACGCTCAAGGAGCTATGAGGCGGTTCCACACCATGGTCCAAGGGGATGTACAGTAAGTTATGAGGGAAAAGGTAGAATTGCATATATAATTATTGTATTTCTCTAAGCTTGGTAAATGAAGAAGGCTGTCCGTACAGAAACGCTAATCTTCGAGACCTCATCAACAAACCACATTGGCTGGAAGAGCGCGACAACTTTGACGGAATCACCAGAGGTATGAATAACCAACCGGCAATCGCGCCTGATACATTCACCAAAAAAGAGGTAAGGGCATACAAATAAATTTATTTGGGAATCTAGGAGCTTATTGTTGATTTTTAAGATTTCTGCGTATCTATTTCTCAACGACATACCAGTAGGCTACGACCTTATAAGCATCGATCTCCAAAGATCCAGAATTCACGGATTGGCTACTTACAATGACATAAGGGAAAAGTGCGGTTTAAAAAAAGCTGAGACCTTCGACGACTTTTTGGATCATATAGAACCAAAAGTATAGTACCTACTCGCTATATAAAGTCGGTAATTAAAATTATGCCTTAAAACTAAAACACTTATATCCTTTTCAGAAAGTTAAGCTTTTGAAGGAATTGTATGACCATCCAAATAGCGTAGATTTGTTAGTCGGTGGTACGATGGAGAGAGTCGAGGAAGGTACGATGGCAGGACCGACATTCAATTGCATTATGTTGAAGCAATTCTACAAAACAAGGAAAAGTGATCGGTTATGGTTCGAGAACAGCCAATCCGGTTTAACAGAAAGACAACTGAGGGAAATTAGAAAAGCAAGCATATCCAAGCTGTTCTGCGATAATGCTGTCGGGATAAAAACAATGCAGAAGCATGGTTTTCTGCAAGTTTCCAAAAGGTAAAGTTATTCTACAGTTTCCACTCAATATCTAATAATCTATTAATTTGTAGCAACCCACGAGTTGATTGTAAACATATCCCTGGACCTAATCTCGAATTATGGAGTGAGACATTCGTAGAAATTGTAATAAATTACCTATGTAATTTATTAGTACAGTTTGTTAACTATTGTTAAAAAACGAATAAATGTTATGATAATATCAAATTCTGAACGCTAATGAAATTTAATCGTCACTAATAATCCTCGAGTATTTAGATGCCAGAGGGGCAATTCAAAAATGGATATACATATAAAAAAATTAAATGGTAAACAATGGACAAAATGCGTTCATTAAATTAGAGGAGATTAAAAATAACCTAAACCTAAAGTACAAAAAATTTTTGTTAATTTTTGGTAAATAACATACTCTTGTTATAAAAATAATACGTGGCCAATTTCATGTAGATTTTTTGAATACTTTCAATAATAACTTTGAATACTTTCAGTTGAATACTTTCAACAATACGTGTTAAAAACTTAAATAATTGATAAAAATTACTAGGTATACAGGGTGTCCGGAAATTCAGGTTACAAATTTCAGGGGGTTGTAGGGGTGGTTAGTCAAGCATTTTGAATATTGGAACTTGATTTTTAGGGCCCCATGAAATCGTTAGTTTATCAAGGCGAACCCATCTTGAACCACGCAGAGCTTGTGGGCAGAATTGTTCCTGCTGCTGGCGAGATCAGCATTTCGTTTGCAGACAGAGTTCTCCTAAAGTAAACACAAACAATTTGCGCTTTCTAATTATACAAATTCATCTTTTCTCATTTCTTTTTATTAACTTTTTAACTTTTAAAAACGATATTTATAGTTGTTTAAAAGTAACAAATGTTCCTCGTTTACTTGTTTAAATTAATAGGTATAGGTAAGTATTATTAGAATTCAACTTCATGTACAAATGAAAGCTACTATCCTACGATATTAACTATAGAGTGTAACAAAGATAACTTCCATTAGTCTTTGTATAAAAAACGAAAAGAAGAAAGAAAAAGAAAACACACAGAGTTGACCATATTGCTTTAAAATTTGCACTCATCAACATAAGCGGGATACCTACAAAGACATATTTACTCAATTTTTTGTTCCTAGTATATTAGAATTATTGATTTATCGTTAATAATATTATTAAATTAATAGGAAAATATAGTTAAAAATATTCTTATTATTCTAATTCGTTATCAATGCTATTTTTTAATCATCAAAATTTTCCGACAATATTATATGGATTAGGTTTAAAAACTGTTAGCACAATTAATGTTAATTTCCTAATTTTGTCGTTAATTTATTCAAATTGTACATTTGAAAATATATTCTTATCTTGCTAACTTCGGGCTAACAAAAATTAAAATAATTCGAAGGTGCTATCGAAAACTCAAAATTCATATACAGGTTGCTCCATTTTTGATTGCAATATAGGTTATATAGGCCATGGTTGCGAATACGACAACTTCCATTAGACACTTACAAAGGAAAAAGAAAGAGTGACATTTGTGTCATTGGAACTTTTTACTCTGACAACTGTCATTTTAATAATCTTTCTTTGTTCCACTCATTGAAATAACCATGTTGCGGTAGAATTGAAGCAATGTGTATAAATAATCCGAAATTATAAATCGACAATATTCCCAATAACTCACGTTATAAACTTTGAGTAGGCGGTTGAAATAGATTGATAAGCATGATTTTTGTCTACTTTATCCTGATGGTTTTTTTGCCATTCATATTGACCGATGATGAATGCGGTGTTCACGTAACAAAATGTGTAAACTCCAACTACAGGACTCTCTCGGGAGAATGCACTAACTTAAAGAATCCCAATTGGGGCACCCCTCAGTCCACGTACGACAGACTCTCCCAACCCAGATATGGACCAGGTAAGTTAAACTAGACTCTCTTACATCTCAAATAACTTTAATACTAATTTGCAGACGGTACGATCCGTAAAGCTGTTAACGGAAGCGACTTACCCAATGCTCGACTAGTTTCCCGAATGGTTTATCAGGATAATACTTTACCAGAAAAACGCTTAACTATGTCCGCGATCGAAACAGGACAATTCATATCACACGATTTAAGTTTCTCTTTTATCGGTAAGTGCTAGGATAGCTAAAATCATAATCGTTTCAATATTGCCGCTAATAACCCTTTTAAGCCATTATTAATGCAATTTGAGTTATCTACTAGAGCAGTACTTAAGTAATAATAATATAACGCCAAGAATTAATAATTAGTAAAATTACACCCTAATATTGTCACATGTGCAGATGGAGACACAGTTACCTGTTGCTCAGCATCTCAACAAATGTTAGAGGATGTCCCTCAAAGATGCAGGAGCATTAATGTTCCAAAACATGATTCAAGCTATGACCTCCACAACGTCACATGCATTGCTCTTGCCAGATCGTACACGAATAGAGATTTTAATTGCTCAGCCAATTTGAAATACGATGAGCAGGTAAAAATAAAACAAATATGTCTATACACTTAATTTAATTTTATTTCCTAAATAAATAAACTTTAAGTTATCCAATACCACCGCCTTTCTGGATTTGTCTTTAATATACGGATTGACGGAGGAAGACCACAAAACATTGAGAGCTTACAAGGATGGTAAATTGAAATTGGACAAAAGGAATGGGCAAGAGTGGTTTCTTCAATCAAAAACACATATAGAGTGCCCCTTTTCACTCTCGACTGATAGATGTTATCGAGCCGGTAAATAATTACATAATCCATTAAATTGCTTTTCAAATGTAGCACAAAAGGAGGCCTAAATTGTAGTCTGTTTCAATTTACTTACTATATCTGTTTTATGTTGTAAACAGATATTAACAAAATTTCAAAAATTTTTATTCTTTTTGATTTTAAGGCGATTCGAGAGTAGATCAAAATCCTCTATTAACCATCATTCACTTGATGTGGGCCAGAGAGCATAATAGACTGGCGTCGAAGTTAAAAAGCCTAAATCCCAATTGGAACGACGAAAAATTATTTCAAACAGCTAGACAGATTGCGATAGCTGAGCACCAGTATATTTCTTACTATGAGTTACTACCGTTGTATTTAGGCAAAGAGAATTTGTTGAAAAACAAGATTATATACGACAAGCGTGGATTTATCAACGATTACGATGAAAATATTAGACCGCACGTTTATAACGAACACGCTCAAGGAGCTATGAGGCGGTTCCACACCATGGTCCAAGGAGATGTAGAGTAAGTTATGAGGAGAAAAGTAGAATTGCAAATATAATTATTGTATTTCTCTAAGCTTGGTAAATGAAGAAGGCTGCCCGTACAGAAACGCTAATCTTCGGGACGTCGTAAACAAACCAAATTGGCTGGAAGAGCGCGACAACATAGACGGAATCACCAGAGGTATGAATACCCAACCGGCCATCGCGCCTGATACATTCATCAAAAGAGAGGTAAGCGCATACAAATAAATTTATTTTGGAATGATACGAGTACAATGTTAACTTTTAAGATGTCAGCGTTTCTATTTATTGGTAACAAACCGGTGCTTGCCGACATTATAAGCATCGATCTCCAAAGATCCAGAATTAATGGATTGGCTACTTACAATGACATAAGGGAAAAGTGCGGTTTAAAAAAAGCTGAGACCTTCGACGACTTTTTGGATCACATAGAACCAAAAGTATAGTATCTACTCGCTATTTAAAATTTAAACTCGATAATTAAAATTATGTCTCAGAACTAAAACACTTATATCCTTTTTAGAAAGTTGAGCTTTTAAAAAAATTGTACGACCATCCAAATAGCGTAGATTTGTCAGTCGGTGGTACGATGGAGAGAGTCGAGGAAGGTACGATGGCAGGACCGACATTCAATTGCATTATGTTGAAGCAATTCTACAAAACGAGGAAAAGTGATCGGTTATGGTTCGAGAACAGCCAATCCGGTTTAACAGAAAGACAACTGAGGGAAATTAGAAAAGCCAGCATATCCAAGCTGTTCTGCGATAATGCGGTCGGGGTAAAAACAATGCAGAAGCACGGTTTCCTGCAAGTTTCCAAAAGGTAAAGTTATTCTACAGTTTCCACTCAATATCTAATATTCTATTAATTTGTAGCAACCCACGAGTTGATTGTCAACATATCGCTGGACCTAATCTCGAATTATGGAGTGAAACACCCCGCATTCGTAGGAATTGTTTCGAATAACCTATAATTTATGAATACAATTTGTTAACTATTGTCAAAATATCAAAATAATATTAAACGCTAATGAAATTTAATTGTCCCCACTAATTTTCAAATACCTAGATGCCATAGGGGCAATTCAAAAATTGATAAACATATAAAAAAATTAAAAGGTGGTTCAATGGTGGCTCAATGGACAAAATGGTTCATTGAATTAATGGAGTTAAAAAAATAACCTAAACCAAAAAATCCAAAAAAATGGAGCGAGATTATATGTATGACTTCTCTAAAAATTTGAAAGGTTCAATTTTGTTATTTTTTTGTTAATAACATGCCCTTGCTATAAAAAGAGTACGTGTATATTTTTGAATACTTTTGGAGTTGTAAGGAAAACAAAATGATTTTCATTCATTAGCACATTAAACAGGCAATAACTTGTTTTATAAAGCATTTTGGAAAAAGGTAAATAGGGTCCAATCGGCGTAATTTTGACACCATAATTGATATAATTTATGATCTACCTTTTTATTATACTCTGTATCCGCGAATAACATTGCTCCTAAGGGCAAAAGAAACGAATGAAAATCCTTCTTATCGACTCAGTTAAGGATTTTTTTTTTGAATTTTAATTATTTTTTAGTACCTTCTTCTCCTTCTTCTTCTTATTTTTTAACGTCACCTTACTGATACCAGGGCTAACTGGACGGGATCTACAGCTTATCGTGGATTCCGAACCACGATCATCGAATCACCTTAGAAACCCGGATTGTCCCTTTGCCCAGGTGATTCTACCTACTACAAGTGTGTTTCTTGTGCCACCAACCCCTATCAGTTTATCACGAGATATCCGATCTCATCCGGCCTGGTTACCGGCGGGAATGAAAAATTGCTTATGGCACAGAAACCTTTTACACTTGCTAAAAGTTTATCTGACTTATACCCACTGAATTCCGGTAGTACTTTAGTACCTACATACATACATATTCGTAGGCTATAACTATTTAGAACATGAAACGCCGTTGAAGCGGTAACTATTTAGAACGTTGAAATAGAGCAAAATAATACAAATATTAAGTACCTATCTAATGATTTATGCCATGTCTAATCTAAAATTCATGATCAGCACAAATATACCTAGTAATTTATATAAATTATTCAAATTTTTTACATGTATTGTTAACATGGAACATATTATATCTACGACGAAGAGAAAAAGAATTAAATAGAATTATAGAAATAGTTTATAAAAGTACAACATTTATTATTGTATAAGTTCCCGCAGGTGTATCGGTTAACAAGGAAAAATATAATGAAATAATGTAATGTTCGTCACAATAACCATGTAGTATTGTTGAAAAATTCTCAGGAAAACACCGCACAGTAATTGAATGATCATTCTAAATAAATTTGAGAAGGTAGGTAAAAGGTAAAGGTAAAGGTAAAATAATTATTCGGATATCCACCACAACATTTCGTTTGCAGACAGAGTTAAAAACAAAGTAAAAAACGATTTGCACTTTCTAATTATACAAATTCATCTTTTCTCATCACTTTTTAA